TATACCATAGTGGACTCCGGCCGGTGGTTGCAGCCTCAGAGCTCAGGCAAAACTCCCACCGCTTCTGCTCCCTGAGCCCAGAGACCTTACCCTGTTGGGTATGACCGGATCCTCCACTACCACAGTATGGGTCTTGTCGTTGGCGAAGTCCCGCAAGCAATCGTCCCCGTGGACGTACTAGCGACACAAATGAAGCCGAGAGAGAACAAGTGGGTCTGCTCTGCTAGGCTGACGTAACATAGCGGCTTATAGTGTTGATGAACCTGGTTTCGGAGAAGTCCTTGTTGATCTGAAATGTCAGCGCATCGACTTTGCCTATTGATGAGAAGGATCGTCTTTGAGGTTCTCATACCGAGCAGCTCTATGGTATGTTGTGAAAGATGGATGCCGTTCCAAACTTCCCATTCAAGGTACCTGGCCCTAGCATTGGCGCACCACTCTTTGAGCCTCTCGTCCAGCTCCTGAGGTGTGTGACGAACCCAGTCCAACACGTCTTTGACGACCTCTGTTTCTGTCCACAGGCGCCGCCCGACCAAGGCAATAGGCATTACTCACGGGGCCAAGGCCTGTGAGTTGGAGGTCAGCAGGAAAACCGTACGGAACCTTGCCGACGTACATGAATGGGTGACCCGAAGGGGTCCTGGCAGGCGCCTCAAAGTTCCTGTGCCAGGCAGCATACTCGTCGTAGGTGCCAGGTGGGGCTTGAAACCACGCACAATCGGTGCAGTCGTCTAGTGCACGATACATTGTTAGTAAGTTACAATGAACACATTCTGCCGATTGCAGATATAAGAAGTTACCGGTCTCTCATTGATTCACGAACCATTTTTGTGGTTGACAGCAGCCATCACGTACGCCTTTTTTGCCCCTCTCGATATTCTCGTCGCAGTGCGCCCAGGGTGAATTGAAGTAGGACGTCGCCACCAACACTGGCTAGAGTGGGTCGGAACTTCATCATATTCCACGCGTCCACGAACCGGTCGATGGTGTTTCGCGCGTGGAGGACGTACACGTAACAGAACCGCTGCTGTAGCAAGCGGTAGACTCTGCCGATTGCCTGTATCACGTGGTTGGCCCCGGTCGGGGGCTCCGCGACAACGACCGTATTGCACCCGGAGTGCAGGTTTAGGCCGTATCCCACCAGGGCGATGGTACTCACCATCACGTCGATAGACGTATCAGTGGCATCGTTGAATGTCGCGATCAACTCTGCTCGCTCGACGTCCGGGGTGGCCTGCTTGATGCAGGCCACGTTGATCCCGCTGAGGACACAGAGATGGCATAGGGGTACCATGCTCGCTGGGTACTTGCAGAGGAGCAGGACCTTCTCCTTCCTGACGACGACGTGGCAATTTAGGATCCCCGCCAGGGCTCTTAGCTTGCCCGATCTGTTCGTATAGTACTTCAGGCTGGACGCGGGGTCCAGACGGCCACCGCCCGGGTGATACGGATCCTCTTGCATGAGGTCGGTAAGGTAGACCAGGCCGTGGTCGTCCTCGGTGACGGCGGCCTTGAGCGCGTCTGAAGCGGCGTTGTATGTAGCCGCGGTAAACGCCCGCCGGAGACTCGTTCTTCGTTTTCTTTCCCTATTTCTCGTGAACGAGGAAGGTCGCGGACCGAGTTACCGTGAGTATATAGTAACCAAAGGACTGGTATAAGCTGAATTTTTTGTAGAGCAGATAACTGCAGCTGTTCAATGAGCTTTTATAGACTTCATTATCTGCTTACCGTGTTTTGGCTAAAAGTGTTCCGGAGCACACAGCTTGGTTTTCTAGTGTTTTCGGTTCCAGTGGAAAACGCAATTAACGGGCTATTGATTAAGTTTTAACGAACAGCCTACAAAACCTCATCTGTCCCGTGATGATAAGCAAGCCATGTATCTACTCATGTTTGACAATGCCAACAACCAGGAAACACCGAATCTGATCTGACCCTCTTTAGTTACAACATCTGCTACCCTCGCGCAAAGCAGCATAAGGCGGGAAGCGGCGTACCGTCCCCCAAGCCCATGTAGCTGTCATCGTCGGCATAAAGCCATCAACACAATCAATCATATGCACACTCCACCTCATCCGCGCCACCATAAAAAGACAAGAACCAAACAAAACAAACAAACAAACAAAGCAAATAATTACATACCCTCCTGCCTCCCTCACCGCCCCCCACCGTCCTCCGCCTCCCCCTTCCCCTCCGCCTCCGCCTCCCCCTTCCCCTCCCCCTCCACCCCCCCAACCCCACCCTCCGCCTCCGGCACAAACCCCAACCCCACCCTCCCATCATCCGTCAGCCTCCCCCACTCCAACAACAGCCTAAAAAAATAAACCTCCATATCCTCCCGCCTCAACGTCGCCTCCGCCCACCTGCGCCCCTCCTCCGCAATCCTCTGCCCCTGACCCACATTCCCATAAACCTTGACCTCCTCACCCCCATCATCCCCAATCACTCCCTTAAACCCCGCAAAATACGCCAGCGTCGGCCACAACCCCTGCAGGCGCGGGTCGAGCGGCACGAAGTGCAGCCAGGGCGTGACGCGGCCGTGCCACCACTCGCGGAAGAGGGGGTGGATTTTGAGCGGCAGGCTGCGCGAGCGGAGGAAGGCGAGGAAGCGGCCGGAGAAGCCGGCGCCGTCGGCGTCGACGAGGTAGCGGTGCTGCCAGTGCGCTTGGAGGGGGGTGGCGTTTTTGCGTTCTTGGGCGCGGCGGTGGTGGCGGCGGCGGTGCTGCTGCGCGGATGGGGAGAGTGACTCGTGGTTGGGGTCTGCGGGGTCTGGTGCGGCTGGGGCTGGGGCGGGGCCGATGAAGAGGTCGCGCTCGGCGGAGCAGGCGGGCTCGCCGCAGCGGGCGATGTCGCTGAAGGCGACGTCGACGGGGATGGCGGCGCGGAGCAGCTGCGGCGCGACGGGGACGTAGCGGAGCTTGCGCTTGTAGCTGGCGACGGGGTGCGGGAGCGGCAGGACCTGCGTGTCGTTGCTGAGGGCGAGCGCGTGCACCATGCGCTGCCGCGTCATGCCGTGCCAGAACTTGCCGCCGGCGCCGGCGAACCCTTCGGACGTGGCGCCGCGCCAGAAGAGGTCGGGCGTCTTGTCCAGGAAGGCCGGGTCGGGGAACTCGTCCGTGGGCGCGTAGGCGACGCGGTCGATGTAGTTCCAGACCGAGGGGTAGATGATGTCGTTGAAGCCGGGCGCTTTGCTTTGGCTGAAGATGGGCATGAGGCGGTGGGTGCCGATGAAGGTGTTGGGCGACGTGTAGAAGCCGTGGAGGTTTGCGAGATCGGGCTGGTAGCAGATGTCTGAGGCCAGCGTCCAGTTCGCGAAGAATGCCCCCAGAGTATGGGGAAGGGCGCACGAGGCGCAGAAATCTCGACGGTTCCAAATCCGTTGCGAACGCGCCGGGGAACTGGGTGGACAAGTCATCGCACCGAATTCGTCCCACGTCGAGCGCCTGGATAGAGTCACGAAGTGATCTGCGCTGTGGGGAGCTTCTGGGAGTTTTTGCCATCCAATCTCGCGCTCCGGAGAGAAGTCATTTTTGAGATCTTTCTCGGTACTTTCTTTGCTGATTGCGTCCGCCGCGTCTGAGCTGATGATCTCCATGTCCTCGAAAGGAACAGCCACCCGGCATTCATTGTTGAGATTGAAAGCCAAGTCCATGTCTGGAAGCCACTGCCCGAATTTGTCAATGATGTGTACAATGCTGTCGAGCATCAGCCGTTGGTTACGCGGCACGTTGGGTGCAATGCGGGCTTTGCCCTCGCGGATGAAGATTCCACCGATGCCTTTGGATGGGTCGGCTATGGCCTCCCATGTGCGTTGCCTGATCTCAGCCGGGCTGAGGGACCAGAAGGGAAGCAAATCGTCGTGGATCGAGTCGAAGTCGTCTATGATGACGGACGAACGGCTGGTGGCATACACATACCACGCGTCGAAGTGAGGCGGAGGATGTCTCTTGTACCGTGTGGTGTAGTTCACAGCCGCCGTTTCAATCGAGATGCTGGACGAGGCCCACTGGAGCCAGTGCTCGTTTCTCTCCTTGGCATCAAACATTAACATGTCGATTGGGTGGTATCGGACTTCGTCATCTCCATTGTAAACCAGCAGCAGCTGCAGGAAAAACAGCACAGCAATGATGGGATAGAAACCCCAGAGGTGCGAAAGTGACTTCAGCTTGGAGCCCGAGTGGGGTGGCTCGGGCAGGGAATAGAAAGCCAAGCTGAAAGTCATGCCGACCAGAGAAAGTACCAATCCTCCAGGCAGTGGAGGAAAGGGGTGGGAGTGATTCCAGGTAGTCATAAAGAGAGAAACCGAAGCAGCAGTGAAGAGAATAAGGACCGCAACATTCAGCATCCCGAAATGCCTGATCTTTTTCAGTTGTCAGCGGAACACACGTCGTACAAATGAAGCGAATACTCACAGAATGAACGGCGCATGTCGCGACGAGCGATGCTTCAATGGCCAGCCTGATGACGCTTGAAGTGAAATGCCTTGGAGTGGGGCTGATCAGACTACGCGCATAATCAGAGGCAAATTGATACATGCCAGCACCGATCACGATCCAGATGAGAGCGGAGACCTTGACCGAGTGAAGTCAGCACATGCTATGCTGAGGGTTTTGGTCTGTGATGTTCGCCAAGCACAGGCCTCAAGGCTGGAAAGAGGATTTGACCGCCGACATGAATGTCTCTCAAGCGTCGAAGAATCAGACTTACTACGCACGCCGCTCCCAGACAAGAGAGTGCCCTGGATGTGGAGCTGCCAGGTCTGGGGCCATATGAGTTCAACATTTGATACAACAGTACAGCAAGGAAACCGTCCAACAAAACGCCAGCAATCTGAAGCCTGGGTATCATGGTATAATCGCGGGAAAGGGGAGGGCAAATGTAGGTGGATTTGGCGGGCAAGGCGCGGGCAATGGCGGCAGTACTAGACCACGCGAGGAAGACAATGGCCACCGTCGGCCGCCAGCTACTACCAGCAAGGCCGCTCAGGGCATCGCTGTACAAAGTGGTGTCCATGTCATTATCATTGTCGCCGTTCCGTTCGCGGTGGCGAGGTTGGCGGCGCCGGACCAACCACCAATCGGCGACGGCAATGAAGACGGGCACCAGCGTCTCTCGGGTGGGGGTCGAGCATTCGCTGCCCGCAACAACCTGGCGCAAGATCTCTATGCGAGCGCAGAGGAGGAAGACGGCGAGGGCGCATCGTCGCTTCAGACCGCGGGTCGGACGGGGTTGCAGGACGGCAGGCGGGTCGGCAGGCGACGGCGACACAGGGCGCGAGGGATTTGCATCGCCGAGGTCTGACAAGGGAATTGGCGCATACTGCTGTTCCGAGGCGGCGGACTCGGATCGCAAGGGGCGTACTTTGTCGGCAAGCAGCAGGGCGACGCCGGCGATGAGCAGGACGGCGACGGAAGCATGGACGGGCCGTTGGAGAGCGATGGATTTATCGAGGGAGGCGGTGAGGTGTGCGGTGCAGGCGAGGAGGCCTCTGCGGCATGTGAGTTGAGCTGCGGGTGCGGGCAGCGGAAAGACGGCGGGAACGAGCGTACGCGATGCAGAGAGCGGCTAGCCGCTCCATTGGGTTGTGTTAGCCGGCAAGTACCATATTAGACGCGGCAGCAAGGCTCGCGACAGGAGAGGCGGCGGCGAGGCAGAATAATGCGAGGCTGAGAGGCTGTGCGACATGGTGGTGTCTGCAGGCCGCGTCGTCGCGAACGGAGCCCGTCCAGAGCTCGGGGCAGCCCAGGGTCCAGCCAGCCCGGAGCTTATCTTATCGCCGCGGCATCTTGGCGCACTTTTTTCCTCCAGCACTCACCACCACCGCTTGCCCGTCCGACGCGCCACAGCTTCCGCCCCGATCCCCGAGATACCCTTCGCCGCCGTGCGAATCTCCCCGGACGCCCGCGCCATCCCACGCCCGCAACGCGCCCCGCCCGCACCCCGCGCATCGCCTGCGCCCGCCCTCGAATCCACCGCCCGCCGCGGACACGGCGCCGCAGCCATCCACCATGGTCAAGAAGGCCATTGATGCCCGCATCCCCGCCCTGATCCGCAACGGAGCCCAGGAGCGGAAGCGCAGCTTTTTCGTCGTCGTCGGAGACCACCAGAAGGATGTCATCGTCAACCTCTACCACATCCTGCTGAACGTCGACGTCAAGCTGAATAAGAGCGTGCTGTGGGCATACAAGAATAAGCTCTTGGGCTTCAGCAGCCACCGCAAGAAGCGCGAAAAGAAGATCAAGAAGGAGATCAAGCGGGGCATCCGGGACGCCGACGAGGGCGATCCATTCGAGCTGTTCATCTCCACCCAGAACATCCGCTATGTCTACTACAAAGAGACGGAGAAGATTCTGGGAAACACCTTCGGCATGTGCATCCTGCAGGACTTCGAGGCCCTGACTCCCAACCTGCTCGCACGCACCATCGAGACTGTCGAGGGCGGCGGTCTCGTCATCCTGCTGCTCAAGAACATGACCAGCTTGAAGCAGCTCTATACCATGTCCATGGATGTGCACTCTCGCTATCGCACCGAGGCCCACGGCGACGTCGTCGCCCGCTTCAACGAGCGCTTCATTCTCTCCCTCGGCAGCTGCGAGTCGTGTTTGGTTGTCGACGACGAGCTGAACGTCCTTCCCATCTCTGGCGGCAAGAACGTGCGCCAGCTGCCGCCCCCCGACCCAGAGCTCGAGGGAAAGACGCCCCAGGCGAAGGAGCTGGAGGAAATCAAGGAATCGCTCGCCGACTCTCAGCCCGTCGGCTCCCTGGTCTCCCTCGCCCGCACCGTGGACCAGGCCAAGGGTCTGTTGACCTTCATCGATGCTATCGCCGAGAAGACGCTCCAAAGCACCGTTACCCTGACTGCTGCGAGAGGTCGGGGTAAATCTGCTGCGCTCGGTGTCGCCGTCGCCGCTGCCGTCGCCCATGGCTACAGCAACATCTTCATCACCGCCCCGAGTCCCGAGAACTTGAAGACCTTCTTCGAATTCGTCTTCAAAGGCTTTGACGCGCTGGAATACATGGACCACGTCGACTATTCCATCATCCAATCCACGAACCCCGATTTCAACAAGGCCATTGTTCGCGTCAATGTGCATCGCCAGCACAGACAGACGATCCAATACATTCAGCCGCAGGATGCCCATGTTCTGGGCCAGGCTGAGCTGTTGGTCATCGATGAGGCCGCCGCTATCCCCCTGCCTTTGGTTCAGAAGCTGATGGGTCCTTATCTGGTTTTCATGGCATCGACAATCAACGGTTACGAGGGAACTGGAAGGTCACTGTCTCTCAAACTCATCCAAAAACTGAGAGAGCAATCTCGAGGTGGCTCCAAGAAGAGCGCCGACCAGGTCATTGCCGACCGCTCGACCGGAAGGGAGGCGAAGAATGGATCCGATTCTGTCGCGTCTGGCCGTTCGCTCCGCGAAATCACTCTTGCCGAATCCATCAGATACGCACCGGGCGATGCTGTGGAAAAGTGGATGAACAAGCTGCTGTGCCTTGATGCAACTCTCCCTCGTTCAAGGATGAACACTCAGGGATGCCCTGACCCGTCCAAATGCCAGCTTTTGCACGTTAACCGAGATACCCTGTTTTCCTTCCACCCCGTTTCCGAAAAGTTCCTGCAACAGATGATGGCTCTATACGTGGCAAGCCACTACAAGAACTCTCCTAATGATCTGCAACTCATGTCCGATGCCCCGGCCCATCAACTGTTCGCTCTGGTTCCTCCCGTCGACGAGGGTAGCAACAAGCTTCCGGAACCTCTCTGCGTCATTCAAGTTGCCATGGAGGGCCAAATTAGCCGAGAGAGTGTGCTGAGCAGCTTGAGTCGGGGCCAGCGGGCCGGTGGTGATCTTATCCCTTGGCTCGTCAGCCAACAGTTCCAAGACGATGAGTTCGCCGGTCTTTCGGGTGCTCGTGTCGTCCGCATTGCGACAAACCCCGACTACATCGGCATGGGATACGGTCGCAAGGCCATCGAACTTCTCACCGATTTCTACCAGGGCAAGTTCACCAGCTTGTCTGAAGTCGACCCTGTCGAGGAGGAGACCATGGTTCGCGTGACGGACGAGGAGTTGGAGGAGTCGAACCTCTTGCAAGACAACGTCAAGGTCCGCGACATTACCGCAATGCCACCCCTTTTCGCTCGTCTGTCCGAGAGGAAGCCTCCAGCCCTCGACTGGATGGGTGTGAGCTACGGCCTCACAAAGGAGCTCCAGCGATTCTGGAAGCGCTCCTCCTTCGTGCCCGTCTACCTCCGCCAAACCGCCAACGACCTCACCGGCGAACACACGTGCGTCATGCTGCGCACCCTGGACACCCCCACGAACGCGGACCCCAGCTGGCTCGGCGCCTTCTCGCGCGACTTCCAGCGCCGCTTCCTCTCCCTCCTCTCCTACCAGTTCCGCACCTTCGAGTCCCCCCTCGCCCTCAGCCTCAACGAGGCCGCCTCTTCGGGCATCAAGCACGACACATCCGCCCCGCCCACGCCGCTCACCAAACCCGAGCTCGACGCCCTCTTCTCCCCCTTCGACCTCAAGCGCCTCGACAGCTACGCCAACAACATGCTCGACTACCACGTCATCCTCGACCTGCTCCCCGCCATCGCACACCTCTACTTCCTCGGCCGCCTCGCCAGCCTCAAGCTCTCCGGCCTGCAGACGGCCCTCCTCCTCGCCATCGGCCTGCAGCGCCGCACGCTCGACGACGTCGGCCGCGAGCTCGACCTCAGCAGCTCCCAGATCCTCGCCATGTTCATCAAGACCGTGCGCAAGATCTCGGCGCACTTCCGCGCCCTGGTCGAGGGCGCCGTCGCGGAGGAGCTGCCGGACGCGCTTGAGGAGGAAGAGAGGGAGGATGCGCATCATGATGCTGGTGAAGTGGCAGCGGAGAAGGCGGCGACGAGAAAGTTCCAGCCGCTTGCGCAGAGCTTGGGCGAGGAGCTCGAGGAGGAGGCGGACGAGGTGAGGCGCGCGGAGAGGGAGAGGATGAGGAGCATGATTGATGCGTTGCCTTTGGATCAGTGAGTGCCTTTTTTTTTCCTTTCTCTTGCTTGATGATGATGAAGATTTTTTTGCTGACGTGTTTTCGATCAGGTACGCCATGGCGTCGAACGACGCGCACGACTGGACCGAGGCCGAGAAGCAGGTTTCGAAGGCGGCGCGCGACGGCCGCAAGAGCACGACTGTCAGCATCAAGTCGAAGAATGGAGGAGGGTCGAAGCGGAAGGCGGGCGAGGCGGTCGAGGAGGCGTTGAAGGAGGCGGAGGCGGTGAAAGAGAAGAAAGGGAAGAAGGGGAAGCATAGGTGAGGTTTGGGGCGGCATTAGAGGAGGGTTGATGGCATGGGTTTTGGAGTTATGGTTGTGAGTATTATTTCGTGTGAAGAAAAAAAAGTTGGGATGGGAATATGTGTGTTTTGCTTGGGGTGTATCGCAGCATTTTGCGGTGGGTTGTGTGGAGAGAAGAGGTTCAGGTGGTTGAAACCCTCGAGCAGATAATCGTCTTCGGTTGTTCAAGGGTTGCCGTAGAGTTTGTGGCTTCTTGATGTCTAGAGATTTGTATCGATATCACGCCACCGATCCCCCACTATCTACCGCTCGCCATTCCTGTCATGACGAGAAAATGTCGCCCGATATTTTGAAGCGGGAGAGCTGAATGTTCGCCAGATATTGACCGACTGCTTTGCATCTTTTCATATTTTATTCGTTTCGCAATTACGTTGTCCGTGGTCCCGAGCAGCATATGCAATCGTCTCGTGGTGTGCCGGCTTACACTTTCGTAGAATAGCCGGTTAGCAAGACCGTCTGGTGTGTGTATACCAAGGTCTTACGGAACTACTGAATACAGCTCACCTGACCCGGGGTGATAACCTTTGCTTCTTCCCGCCGTTTTACCCGCGCAGAGCCGCCTCAAGCTCGTCCTGTTTTGGGCCCGGGTAAATGCATGGTAGGCTAAATCGGGTAAAAAGAGCACCTCCCCGCCACAACCCCACGTTTATAAGAATAGAAGACCATTGCAGGCTGATATATACACATGAACAAACATCGAGGAGCCACCGACAAATTGGAACTGGAGAAAAAGCCAAATCCTTCAACACATCCAGTGCCTGAGACCATATTCACCCCACCCCACCAGAGCAAGACAGCACGAAACACCACCACCACCAACAACCAAAACCGCCCACAAAATCCAAAAGTCAAATAGAAAAAAAACCCCCAAACCAGCCATGGCCTCCCCCAAACCCCTCATCACAACCCTCTACACCGCCGACCCCTCGGCCCACGTCTTCAACGGCAAACTCTACATCTACCCCTCGCACGACCGCGAGACGACCATCCCCTTCAACGACAACGGCGACCAATACGACATGCACGACTACCACGTCCTCTCGCTCTCCCACCCCCCTCCGCCCCCCTCCACCCCCTCCTCCTCCTCTTCACCACCCCCGCCCGCACTCTGCACCGACCACGGCACCGCCCTCGCCGCCCCCGCCGTCCCCTGGGCCGCCAAACAGCTCTGGGCCCCCGACGCCGCCCGCACCCCCGACGGCCGCCACTACCACCTGTACTTCCCCGCACGCGACCGCGCCGGCATCTTCCGCATCGGCGTCGCGGTCGGCGACAGGCCCGAGGGCCCGTTCGTGGCGCGGGCGGAGCCGATGAGGGGGAGTTATAGCATCGATCCGGCGGTGTTTGTGGATGATGGCGACGACGGGGACGGCAGGGCGTATATGTATTTTGGCGGGCTGTGGGGGGGGCAGTTGGAGTGTTGGGACAAAGAAGGCGTGTTTGATGCGGCGAGGGCGGGGCCGGAGGGGGAGCCAAGGGGGGAGGGGGTGAGGGCGTTGGGGCCGAGGGTGGGGGTGTTGAGGGGGGATATGTTGGAGTTTGATTTCGAAGGGGGAGGGGGCCCGAAGGAGGTGTTGATTTTGGATGGGGAGACGGGCGAGCCGCTGGCGGCGGATGATCACGAGAGGAGGTTTTTCGAGGCCGCGTGGATGCACAAGTATCGGGGCGTGTATTACTTTTCGTATAGCACGGGGGATACGCATTTCTTGGCGTATGCGACGGGGACGAGTCCGCTCGGGCCGTTTACGTATCGCGGGAGGCTGTTGGAGCCGGTGTTGGGGTGGACGACGCATCATTCGGTGGTGGAGTGGGAGGGGAGGTGGTGGTTGTTTTATCATGATTGCGAGCTGTCGGGCGGCGTGGACCACTTGAGGTGCGTCAAGATGAGGGAGATTTGGTATGATGCGGAGGGGAGGATTGTGCATGAGAAGCCGCAGGAGCAGTGAGGTGGCAGTAGGTGGGAGTGTGGAGTGGGTTTTGTGGCCCTGAGTTCATGATTTTGCCATCCACTGGTTGTTCAATTAGAAGTGAGGAGCACGGGAGTATTTTACAGAATATGCTTGATCTCTTTCTCAGCTCAGAGGACTGCTAAACACACGCCTCGATCCAAACTCCCCATGACAGCATTGTTGTTCTGTTCTTTGTCCAAAAGATAAGCGTCGGGACCTGCCCCACAAAGGTATACAAGGCAGATTTGATATTACCCGTGAAGATCATCCCGCTAATGAGGATGTGTGAAGTTTCATGCGATTAGCGACTGTTTTCTAATCACCGGATCCTGATTGTCGCCATTGTTCCGGTAGCGGCGCGACCATGACGATTGTCTCGATCGCGAGCCAAGCGATGATGGTGTTTTAAGGCCTGTCAGCCTCGGCGGCCAGGCTGTGGCTCGACGTAAGACCAGGCGCTGCCCCTGCATCGGCTGTGTGGGGCTGCCTGTCCCCGGATTGTCGGCCGAATAAGCCACACCAACTTGGTCGCACCCTGGCCGTCGCGTGCTCGCATGAACGGTTTTCGGCCGGATGCGGAAGGTGGCGCCGAGCATTTGAAGCAGTTGGAGGTTGAGCCCGAAACTCGACTCTCCTCGGTATGCCACCTTTTAAATCCGACGTTGCCGGCGTTAAAGCCCGACGACGCACGAGAGCCATGCACGGATTATGTATATACATGCATTGCGGGGGCGACGTCAGCGGAAGCTCACGATTAAAATTAAGCTTAGGCAGGCGAAGTGATGTTCATATGTGCAATTTGCGCGAACCCCGGTCGAAGCCAACATGTCTACGTAGACCTGCCCGCTTCAGTTCCAGGTGCTGTGGGATTCGTCAAGCCTGCAGATCGAAGGACGAGGTCAACTGCAGCCGAACGACCAGTGGAAAAACGAGCGAGCGCTGCAGCACATGGCTTTCAAACAAGGCGGTCGATCTGGGCAGCGTCTAGAGCGTGGCGTGTCTCCTGGCCACTGTTACACGTATGAAACGCCATGTCATTGGCTGTTCTGGCTCGCCCACCAACGAAGGTGAGACGAATAGGGATCGACTCGGTCCGGATCGGCGCCCAGTGCAAGCCGTGGGAACCAGAAACGGCTTGCCGCTGTTGAATATCATCTGCGACGTCAGAACCCCTCGTTTGATCTGCTCGTGATTAAAACTGTTCGCTCCCGCTCCGGTGCGATGATCAGATTTCGCTCGCTGCAAAACTCAATCCATCTTTATGAAGAGAGCGAGCTCCTGCTGTCACTTGGACCACCCAAATGGATCCTTGGTTGGGCCCGGCGGTACGGATAACCTTAACTCTCCCTACACCTGCCTGCATGCACTGACGCACCACCATGCAGAACGCCACCAAATCGAGAACCGGGGAGATTCTCGTCGGCAACATCGTCCCGCAAGCCGTCGCTTCCACATTTGTCATCGCAAGGATAATCTCCAAAGCCTTCATACGCCGCAAATGGGGCGCCGATGACACCATGCTCTGCATCGCATGGGTAATGCCCCTCCCTCCCTTTCCTCCCACATCCACTGACAACACCACCCCCAGTCCACCTCCCTCGTCCTCACCACCCTCTCCTGCGTCCTCACCAACTACGGCGCCGGCATCCACGCCTCGGAGCTCCCCCCCTGGGCGCTCAGCACCAACCTCAAGCTGCAATACGCCTCCCTCCTCTTCTACATCCTCACCCTCTCCCTCACCAAACTCACCATCTGCCTCTTCTACCTCTCCATCTTCGCCGACCCGCTCAACCGCCGCCTCGCCCTCGCCCTCCTCGCCTTCATCGTCGCCTACACCCTCCCCCTCCTCCTCCTCTCCATCTTCCAATGCGCCCCCATCGCCGCCAACTGGGACAAGCAAATCGCCTCCTCCCCGCACACCCGCTGCCTCCCCATGCGCCCCCACTTCTGGGCCTGCGCCGCCTGCAACATCCTCGCCGACGCCCTCCTCGCCGCCCAGGTCGTCCCCAACATCCTGCCGCTGCAGCTCCCCCGCCGCCAGAAGGCCGCCCTGCTCGCCGTCGTCTCCCTCGGCTGGCTCGTCGTCCTCGCCAGCGTCATCCGCCTCGTCCGCATCACCGCCATCCCCGCGGCTACCACCGCCGCCGCTGGTGGCGACTTCACGTGGGCGAGCTACGACGTCACGATCTGGTCGGCCGTCGAGGTCGATACGGGATTGGTGTGCGTCGCGGCGCCGGCGACGAAGCCGTTGGTGAAGAGGTTGGCGCCGGGGCTGTGGAGGGCGTTGGCGAGGGGGGAGGGGGGGGATGCCGATGGTGGGGCGGGGATGCGGTTGGGGAATTTGGAGGCGGTGACGGGCGGGGATGCGGGGAGGAGGGGGGAGGAGGGGGAGGAGGAGGAGCGGCGGGCGGCGAAGGCGGCGGGGGATGGTGGGGGTGAAGGTGTGTCGGCGGGGTGGGGGTATGTGGGAGGGATGGTGAGGTCGTTGTCGGGGAAGAGGGCGAAGAGGGGCTCGCTGGCGAGTACGAGCAGTGCGGGTAGTGCGGGCAGTGCGGGTATGGGGGAGATTGTGAAGGAGGTGGATGTGAGGGTGGAGACGGCGGAGCGCGATTTGGAGCTGGGCTCGTCGCCGAGGGTCGGTCTGGCGGGTTGGCGGAGCAGTTGGAGACCGGTTTTTATGACGAAACTGTAAATGATACCACTGGAGGAGCGTTTGATCTGGTCGACTTTTCGGGAACTCCCGTCGCTGTGTAGCTTTCACCCCGAGCACCCTGGCGAGCTTTGTCTGTAAACAATACGATTCTATGACCCAAACTTACTCTCAAAGGAGACGGCCATTTCATATGTCCGCATAAAAACAGAAAACCTTGGTGCCAAAAACTCCCTTTCGACGCTTCATCTTGAAAGTCCCACGCACCCTCATTGGGATCCAATCAGTGCTCTTGCACGTTCTTCACCGTGGCTTTGGCCCTTTTTCTTTCCGGAATCCCTCTGGATCTCCTCTTTGGACAGAGCATCCTGGGTGTCTTGAGACAAAACACCACGGTTGCGGTGTTTATCAACGAATCTTCGAACCAAAGCGATATTACCCTCCAGATCAACCGGGAGGTAAAAAGAATGACGATTGAGTGACTCCAGCCTTCCCTGCGAGACGAGCTTTTCCAGTGAAACATAGTCTGCATCTCGAGAGATCAAGATCTCCAGATACTCGTCGAACCTGGAACCATCGATGTTTGAGAAGCATAGGTACTGAAGAGGGCTGAGGCCGAATTGGTCTTCCTGGAGCACGTCTGCTCCGTGACGGACCAAAAGTTCGAAAAGCGGTCCGACGGAAGAAGGAGGGGCTTTGTGCAGGTTGAAGACAAGCTCATGGAGTGCAGTCCGACCATACCTGTCTTGTCTGCTCGCGTCTACATCCGTGTATCCAAGGAGGCTCATAGCCTGGTACAGCCCTCCATGTTGGGCTATGCGATGCAAGACCGTCTTTCCAGAAAACGTTTCGGAGCCTGCAATGTCGACGTCAAAGGTCTTTGCAGCATTTTTCCAGACTTTGAGAAATTCATCAAAGAACTCATGTGTCCATGTAGCCGTACTTATTGCCGAGGTTGTTCGCTTTGGCTGCCGTGCATCTGTCTCGGCAAATGTTTCGTCGCCTGTGACATGATCTATCTCAGGGTGATGGCTAGCGCCGTAGTGTATGGCCAAAAGCTCTGGTGTTGGCTCCTCAATCTGATAATACACAACGCTTACCTCGTCCCAGGGGTTTGCATGGTGGTTGAGAAGAAGATGGACGATGCGTAAATTACACACGTCGACTGCGGCCATCAACGGGGTTTTTTGCTCAGATACTGATTGGCCTTCAAGAACCCCCACATTGACGATACCGTCGGAACCAAAATTGAGCAACGACTCGCAGAGCTCGAAATTATCGCTCCAGATGCTACTGACAAGAGCTCTTTGTAAGCTTACTTGGGAGTGCTGATAGCCGAGCTTCTTTCCGGCATGAACAAGAATCTCTTGTGCCATTACAGGGTTGACAGTACATGCATATGGTAAGACGACATCCACGTTGGATCCCGGGTAGTCTTCATGCGCAAGCACCCTATGTTGGAAACTTGATTCAAGCGCCAAGGATCGGAAATCATACGAGGACAGCTGGCTGAGGTGCGCTTTGAATGCTCTTACGATAATGTCCCATCCACTTGTTACCGTCGTGTCCAAAATGGCTGTCTTCGATGGGACCCAGCAGATCTCGAAGCCCACCTTGCTTAGCTGTTTCAAAATTGTGAATTCTGGGTATGTGTTCGTCAGGATGAGCAGTGCAAATACTGCAACGTCTGCTTGCATATCGAAGAGAGGAGAGAGTCTGTCGATGCACTCTCGCGACACATGAGGGAACGCGTCGAGCCAGGCCGGCAGAGTTCCGTCAGAATTCGCGTTGCGCAATGCAATATCGGGACATTCGACCTGCTGCCTCAGATCAAACCTGCGTGAGGCGCCACTTTCTTCCATTTTCTGGAGCGCCAGTCCAATGATTATTCTCCAGGATTTACCGTCTTCTGAAGTTTCAGATTCGTTCATCTCCGTCATGCTCGAAATTGTTTCAGGGTTTCTAGTGAGATCGTGTTGGCGACATGCCGTCTTCAGGAATATGCTTGTCTCGTCGTCCCTGACGCCGCACGCCGCCCAGACCAGAGCTTTCCCCAATGTAAGATTGCTTTCGATAGCCTTACGCTCGGCCATCAGAAGGGTTTCATCCAATGGCTCTTGCTCTTCTCTGGAAAGGTGGGTTCTCAGTACGTAGCGGACCGGGTACTTGACTATATCTGGTCTTGGTCTTGGACAGTCGTCGCGGCTGAGGATCACTATTGCAGTCGAAAAGGCATGGCAAATTGTCTCGACGCGGTCAGGATGATCACGCGTATATTGCTCCATACCCTGGTCAAACAATTCGACGTCATCATGGTGGATGGCGCTGATCACATTAGCCGTTCCGGGCTCAAAGTCAAGTCCCTCGGCGAGGATCAGCATGGGGAGAAACTCCAGGCTTCCCATATCGATTACTTCTCGTGCAAATTCGTGTTTTTGTTTCATTACTGCATTGACAACAAGTTGTGCAATACGCTGGTCTTGCCGTCCGATTGCTTGGGAGATAGTCCACTGCACAAGGTCTCGTGACATGTCATGGCCTAGGAGAAACTCGACTACGCTCATCATCCGCTTTCTAATGGCGAGTTTAAATATCCAATAATGTTCGATCCCAAACACAGTCGAGTCTGTGAGGTGATGGAGGATGCCGAAGATCAATGGCAGATTGTCATTTTTTAACGCAAATAGGAGGGTATCATCGCCGGGAAAAAACAGGGGGATGGAAACAGCCAGGCGATGTCTTGAAGGGTCGCAGAGAGCTATTACCCCGCTGACAAGTTCATCAAGCCGAGAGTCATCATCTGCATTGTGGAGCGCCCACGAACTCTCGTCCGACCGGGCAGCTTGGGCATGGAGGAACCAGTGCCGTGCAGAGTAGTCGTAAAAGCAAGTCTGGAGGTATTGACGATGATTCTTGAGGAGAGGTAAACGGCGAAACATTCCGTTCTCGTCTCTGACCCTGAAGTACAATAGCCAACAATCGATGCTGGTGGATTGCCAATCCTCGAGGAGTAGGTAACTGATACATCTGATAGCAAGAGCACGGTTGGCGGCTGCCAGTCCGATCATCATCGTGCTTGAGGTCTCGAAGAACGTTCGGACCGTGTCGTGGAATAACGTCACGACAGCTCCGCCGATTCTCAGAAATGATCCGCAGTGGGTTTTTAAGAACGCTTCAATGTTGGAGGAGTCTTCCATATTGCGGTGCACAGTCTCCCACGTGTCATTCCAATCTGGGTTGTCGCGCTGAACTGCCAAGGCCACGTTGATTTCGTCCAGACTCAGGGGTGTGGAAGAAGCAATGACTATTTCAAGGATTGACAGCGTAATATGCTTCTCCGGCCTTCTTTCCAGAATCTGCTCGTAGTGTTCGTTGAGACCCGAAGGGGTGTTTTCTAACAATCTAGAGATCTTTCCAACCGAGGTCGTCCTCAATCTCTTGATCTCGTCGAAGAGAAGAGCTTGCCAGAGGAATGTCGCACCAGCTCGCTCCAATATACTCCTGGCAAGGAGACCCTTCTCAGAGTTTTGGATTCCCAGCCGATTGACGTTGTCACGAACGACTGTCTCGATGTCTGTTGCAACAGACTCCTGTCGGCGTCCAAGGTCCATGGTTAAGTGGGAGGGATTGAACCGCCAGTCAGGCAACTCGCCAGTGTGTCTGATGGTGATGATCAGCTTGAATGGAAAATCGGTAGGCTGTGATGACCCCGTTCCTGCGGGTGCGCATAGCTTTTCGGTCAACATGTCTGGATTCTGGCACTCGTCAAGAGCGTCCAGTACGCAAGGCAGCCGTCCTGCAGAAGGCTTGAGGTAGTCCGTCGCTTTGCATATGAGCCGATAGAGAACTTCGACATTCTGTGCAATGTGGGATCCAATGGACTTGTACTCTTGGAGTACCAATGGAAAGAACCGAGGATCAACGAGCGGAGATTCCAAGAGGTAGTGAAGCATGCTACAAAGTGCATTGCTGGCCCTAGACTTCTCATTCCGAGAATTGAAGAAGAAGAAACAAGAGCGCCCGGAAGGGTGTGGCAGAAGCTTCAGTTGTTCAGTCAGAAACTTGGCCAGTACAGTCTTTCCACATCCAGCTTCTGCGGTGATCCACAAGACGTTTGCCTCATGGCTCTCCTTCCAATCTTGATATTGCGAATTTCCCTGGTTTAGAAACCAGACAAGTGTATCCTTGGCGGGCGGTGTGACATTCTCCTCCATGTGGTTCCGGGAACTCATCATTTCGTTGACAAGGGCAATCTTGCATTCTGTTTACTGTAAGCTTAGTTCTCAAAATGCAATGGATATTTTTCTGCCAACGACGTACCTTTCCACTCTTTCGTTTCAAGTAGACCCGTGATAACTATTTCCGCAGACTGTATTAGCTGAACTGATATGAATAACATAGAAGTCCGAATTAGACACACGTGTACGCCGATTATGAAATATGTACGTTGCTGACAGTTTGGCTTCATTACTAACGATTCAAACTACAACCAAAAAACCCGAAAGCCTGATGATAAAAGAACTGAAATGAAAATAGGGGAGAAATTTCTCTCTGTAACACGCTCCTCAGAGCACTTTGAATACTTAATGACTAGTGGCTCAGCCTATGTTTCCGGGGACAACAGCGTTGGTATTGCGTAACGCTGCCAGGCGAGTCTCAAGACCCTGGTCTGGAGAATCATGAACGGGGGACAGTAGAGCGATCGTACCTGAAGATTCCAAAACTTCGACACAGCTGTGAAGCCGTTCGCTTGCATTCTCTTGGAGATAGTATTCAGTCTTCTGACGGATCTCGGAGACCTTATGGAACTCCTCCAAGCCCACCTTGCCAAGTTCCGGAACGTTGAGTCGGATGTACCTCTTCTGCTGGACCAAGTCGGTACGATGATCTCGGTAGAAGTCTTGGGCGATAAGCTCGGTGTCAGTAGCTATTTTGGCCAGACTCTCTACCACGGATATCAAGTTGCCGTCCAGCGATATGTGCCTGTTGAAGCTTGTACCAATGCTCAAGACGGCGATCTTGTCCTTGTCGTTCGGCCACATATCCCCGGCTTCGGCCAACACTTGGGGCACTGGGTTGTTCCACCGAATCCCGCTGTCAACGAAAGCTGTGCCGTCGTGCAGTATGAAAGGATCGAAGAATGAAGTTGCAGCAGAGGTTGCGCGACAAGCTTGCCAGATCTTCAGCTCACGCGATATGCCGTCGTGCATGGCTCTGTTCTGGTATGTCCGAAGGAGTACCGGGTTTCCGATGTCACGGAAAGCAGAGGTGACAAAGCTGGCTTTGGTCAGCACAACCGGTGAGAACGTGTGAAGCAAGAGTTCTTACACATTGCATGCTGGATTCTGCTCCATGAAATCATCCAAGTTGCCATGGTCGTCGCTTTGCGCGTCTGGGTGCAATTGTTCCTTGATGACGGATTTGATCGCACGTTCCAGGATGTCCGAATCAAACTTTCCGTTGACTTGGTACCTGTCGTTTGCGCGGCCGGGAAGGTTCCAGGAAGATCTTTTTGGAGTGAAGATCTTCTTTGAAAGCTCGCGATATGCCTGTTCGCATTGATCCAAAGTCATGTGTAAGCGACCCAACATGACAGCGATGATGCTGGACTTTCTGTTAACAAAGGCAATGGAGCGCAGGACAGATCTTCTTACCCTCCTGTGCTTGTTCCGCCGATCATGTCGAAATACTCGTATGGCTCTTGTCGAGTCAGGCCATTTTCCATCCTGTGATCGTTGATTCTTTCCATGACTGCTTTGAGGATCATGATGGAGGAGAGCCCTCTGATGCCGCCACCATCTTTTGCAAAAGTCAGCCACTAAGCAGTTCGGGGCCAAGCATCTGCTAACATACCGAGCGACAGGACACGACGAGGCCTCCACGGCTCGGCCATGATGGACACTGATGCTCAAGGTGCAGTGCAAAATGATTCGTGTTGAACTTCGAGGGGAACGGGCGATGGAAAGCAAGAGAAAGCAAGGGAAGGCTGTCAATAAATCTTGGACCGCGATGGGCAGCTCTCGATCTCTTGCATTCCTTGGCGGCGAGTTTCATAGGTCGGGTCATAATGTGGCAATAATGAGCCTATCCTACACCGAAGTGACTACACTTTTCGCGACGCGTAAGCAGCCACGATGCGTGCAGGCAGCCCGAAATGTGTACAGGTGGGTTCCACGGCAGAAAATCAGCGTCAGCCTTGTCCTATTTGTAGAACGATGCGAGGCTGATTCGACACGGCACAAAAAATCCTTGGTCGGAGAACTACCAGATGACCACGCCAGAGTTTGATTGCACGAGCGTGCTGCGGGCAAATTCGAACACGGTTGGTGTGAACAGGCGACGAAGAAGACTACATTATGATCTTGGATAGTCGATAGGCAAATGATCAACGCTGTCGGTCGTCTGCAACCCCCATAGGTGAGAGGTACTGTGCATGCGAGCAACCCGCAAGGGTCTGGCTGGCACCATCTGAACGGCGGATCCGGTAGCGTTGGGCAGATACTTGGTCAGTCATGATGCTGGAACAGGAGCAGTACAAGATGACTGCGAAGTGGAAGAAGGGAGGACTGCTGCTGCTTACGTAAGGATGCTTACACCCCGCCTTTTACAGCCGCAGTTGGTGAGCCCGCACCTATCCTGCCCACCATCCAGTCGCCGCTGCCATCTCCGCTACCTCTCACGGCGACGCGCCGACGAGCCTTGATGCCGCAGTCTGAGTTTGCCAAGCGATCCTGCAGCCGGTGCCATGCGAAGAAGATCAAGGTGTGCCTGCATTTCTGCAATCACGTGATGTCGCCCTGGCCTGACCGAAACCTACAAGTGCAACAAAGGGCTGCCGCAGTGTTCTGCCTGCCGCCGGACCCAGGAGACATGTGTATACGAGAAACCGATGAGGACTCCGCTGACCAGAAAGTAAATCTTCGCACGCCTAGCCACAGATGGACGCTTACATGTCTCAGATACCTCACCCAAGTCGAGCATCAACTGGCAGAAGCTCGCGCCCTCGTGCAGCAGTATGCCTCGGCCCCATTTGCCATCCGAGAGGCGTTGGCTCAGCCCGATGGCGAAATTGCCCCACAGGTCACCGCCTCATCCTCGTCCGATACTTTCACAGTCGCTTCAGATCACTCTGACGAGCACACTCCGAACGGAAAGGCCCAGAAACCGTCCAGTTCAAAAGCAATCACATTTCCACTCGAGCCAACGCCAGCCTCAGTCTCTGGCAACCTGGAATGGGATGAACGGAGTGTCGCCAGAAGCCGAACACAGGCAGATGGAATGGGAAACTTGGCCAATGGCGGAAACGAAGGATACCTCGGTATGCCTGGCCATTCGTTCCATCCATCATAATTTGTAATTTGTCCCTGCTAACTCACTTTGAAAAGGCGTAGCATCAGGCGCGTCTTTCTTGCATCTCACCCAAGTTGGCCAGCCGATTGAATCCGAACAGACTGAGGACCCAGCATTACCAAACGTTCCACAGCAGACCCTCCCACCCTCTCGGCTCGACTCCTTCATTGACGACTACTTCACCATCTACCATCCGTCTTATCCCATCATACACGAAGCAACCTTCCGAGCCGAGTACATGGAAGTCATCCCAAGGCCGGCCGGGACCCTTTGGCATGTCCTCCTCTACGTCGTCTCGGCTCTTGGGGCGTGCATATCCGGGAAATATCCATCGGGCACAGATGCTGCGCTATTCGAAGCGGCGAAAAGCAGGCTCTCTTTCGACATCCTCGAGACAGGGAGCATGATGCTCGTACAGGTGCTTGTGCTTGTCGCCAACTACGTGCAAAAGGCAAACAAGCCGAACTCCGGCTACAATTACCTGGGTCTGGCCAAGCGCGTTGCTGTAGGCATCGGGCTCCATAGAGAGTATTCCGACTGGGCCGTCACTCCCTGGCAGATGGAAATGCGTCGTCGAGTGTGGTGGGGCCTTGTCATCTTCGACACTGGGGCGTCCATTACATTTTCACGCCCGATAGATTCGCCTACAGGTGTGGACGTTGGCCTCCCCCGGAACTTCCGAGATACGGTGCGTGACTTGCTCGCGAACCTCATCCGCGGTGACTAACCTGCTAGTGGTCCAGGACCTGACGAGGGCCTCGAGCCAGTTCCCGGATGAAGCTGCCGAGACGACCGTTTACACCAACCTGCGTTGTCAAGCGCTGTTCAACATGGCTATCCAAGACATCTTCGCCGCCCTCATCAGCGGGAACTACCCTTCTCCCGAGGTGCTTCTCCAACTTGATGACTCCCGCATCGGGGGCTGGCTCGCCCATCTGCCCCCATACTTCAACGAACACGCTCCCCAGGTGCCCAAGTTCGCCCTCTGCCATGCAATCCTTCATCTGCGGTGCCGCAACTTCAAGATAATAATGTACCGCCCCTTTGTCATGAGATCGGCCATGCTACGGAACACAGCCCGCGCCGCAAGGACTCGGCAAGAAAGCGAGGATGAGCAGTCTCAGCGGATGGACCCTTCGTCACCCATCAACCTTGGCATCCGGCGATGCCTCCAAGCAGCCGCCGAGACGATAACCACGACGTCAGCGCTCTGGTTTGCCGAAGGGGCGTTCAGCAACGCCGCCAACAACAGAACCCCCATGGCGTGCTGGTACGGCATCTACTTTGTGTTCCAAGCCGTCATCATCCCGGTCGTGTCGCTGAGGAACGAGCCGCAGTCGGGACAGGCGGAGGGATGGCGGCGGCAGGTGCGGCAGGCCGTGCGGACGCTGGAAGACATGGCGCACGTCAACCCGACGGCGGCGCGGTGTCTGCGTGTTATCGCCCGGCTGTGCGGGCCGTTCCTTTTGGGCGATGAGGTTATCGCGACGGAAGAGAGCCCGCAGACCCAGCTGAACGATTTGAATTCCCTGCTGTGGCCCCTGGATTCCACGCAGTTTGGATACGAGGCAGTCCCGTAAGTGTCGTTCTCCAACAAGTCCGTATCAGGTGCATCTGACGTGTATGGCAGTGGCGATGGAGGGATTACCGACTTCTTCAATCAGCTCCCGGGATTCCAGTGGGAATGATCCACCTTACGCATTGCTTGCCGTCACGGGGACCAAGTGTGGAGTCTTGGTTGATCTCTCCGCTTACCCCTGCTCTTGGAGTCGCGGCTCAGTTCCATGCTTTTATATCTATTGGCATCACCTTGCTTTTCTCGGATCCATGATACCCATCCATCGTACCCCTACAGAGACGCGAATACGGCCATAAACAGGGCACGCACGCAGTAGTAGCGACGATGCGTCATGACCGGAGCACGCTCCAGCGGCCAGGCCCCCTCGATTCACCACGGTCCAATTGCGACATGGCATTATTCCGCATCTATAACGGGTAGCTATCGTGTTTTCTCTCTTCGAAAGGGGCCATGGTTCAGCCGCAATCGCAGGTCCCCGTCCGTTTCCCCAAACGGGTTCGTTGCCAGGGTCCATCGGAACGCGACGAGGGCAATCCCGGCGCAGAGCTCAGCCGCCACGCCGCGTTCGGGTCCAGTGCGCAGGCTGGCCCTGTCTCCGTTCCCAATAACGACATGGCTCGGGAAGGCACACTCCCGCTTGATGATCCCGCCCCATGGCGCTGGGAAATCACTCGCACCACGACGACGATGAGACCCAACTGGTCTCTTGCCCTCATTACGCTATCGCTGAGATGCGTCGTATGCCCGTACTCTGAACTTGGCGGGTCCCAGCAACGCGGATGGCTTATAGGCCGACGGTTGTGCGTTGCGCGGCACGATGCCGTATATGCACATTGATGACTCGCTGGCGGTGACGAAAAAAAGCGGCGGCCGGCCCGAAGCTGTGACAAGCGCAAATCCAGGGCGCAGCGGCTAGCATGAGTCGTGGCTCTGAATATAGCGGATCATTGGACGAGAATGCAGCGCTCTCTCTCAGATCTGCGGTTCGAAGGGGGGTGGTGACACGGGAGTACCTACTTTCAGCGGGACGCTGTCAACGATAATGATGCCCAAGCCGCCCCGCAGGATCCAAACACCTACCTACCCCTGGCGGTCTCGAACGTGTGCCGGCCACATGGTTGCCCGCGGTCGCAGCACACGCCTGGCGGACCGGCTGGCACACTTCCCCCCGGAACCTTAATGCCCGGATCGTCGGCGAGGGCCAGCCTGGCTCGCACACCGAACCCCAGCGACCACGCAGGCCCGTGATTAATGGCCAGAAGAGGTAGGTACTGCAGACGGAGATACCTAGGCAGCAGAGACCGGTGTGGGACGGCAGCGGCAGCAGTGTCTTTAGCCCCCGGCACACGCAGCAGCCGTGGACTAGCAGGACGGGGAGGCGTGTGCTAGCCTCGGCCACGAAGCCGGCGGAAGTGCGTCCGGGATGCGTGATGCGCCCGCCGCCAACTCTAATCTTGCGACAGAGGAACCGCCAGCCAGCGCTAGCCTGTTGCATGCACTCGTCGCGCCCACGATCGGAAATCAACACGGACGGCTTTGCCGTAGCCAGCTCGTTTGCGCCGCCGCCGCGTACGGCCCAGATGTCGACACCCCACCCCTCGCGTATACTACACGCAACCGGCATCTGTTGTATCTAAGCTGCCGTGCTGCCTGCCTTTCCTTTTGTTCGCTTGCATCCCTGCCCGTCGTTTCTTTTTGGATTTTCCTGCGCACCTGTTGCGTCGACAGTGGCCGACCCTGGCCGCCTGATCACCCGTACCCGCTCCCGATCTTGACAGTGGTTTCATGCAACCGATGATATAACGCATCCCGCTCCCCGGGTACATACTCCGTCTCCTCCCCGCTGCTGCCTCATCCCCGCCTGTGGTGCCCGCCGCCGCGGCTCCTTCCACTTGCAGCAGTCTTTTCCGCCGCCGAACCTCGACCACGGCCATGCTGCCCTGCCATGGCCCCGTTCAACGACACCTATCAGTTGGACGAGACGCAAAAGTTCCTGAGGGCCGTCGTCATCGCCTCCTTTACCATCACCGGCGCCTTCGTCGCCACGAGATGTTGGATCCGCGTCCGCCTGCAGGCCATGTTCAGCATTGACGATTACTTGCTCGTGGCCGCCCTGGTGCGTGCCGTCTCTCCTTCCCCGATCAACCCACTCGACTAAGCAGAACGAACACAACACAGACGGCCTTTGCCATCCAAACGAGCTTCGGCCTCTACGCCACCAACTACGGCGGCTTCGGCCGCAAGACGTCGGATCTACCCCGAGACATGTATCTGTTAGGCTTAAAAGTACGTACATACATACCTCGTAGCCCCGCTTCCCTGCCGAGCAGAGCAGAGCAGAGCAGCGCCCCGCTAACCCGCCCGGCAGTGGATGACCCTCACGCAATGCATCTACACGCTCGCCCTCATGTTCGTCAAGCTCAGCATCGCGCTCCTGCAGCTGCGCGTCATGGGGCTCTCGACGGCGACCCTCCGGCGCATGCACCACGCGTCGATCGCGGTGACGGTGCTCGTCGGGCTGTACGAGTTCCTCACCCTGCTCTTCCAGTGCTACCCGGACCCGGACGGCGCCGTCTTCCGGCCCGTCATCATCGCGCCCGCCGACTGCACCGACCGCGCGCCCATCCTCGTCTCCGTCTACGTCTACTCGGCCGTCAACATCGCCCTCGACTGGTACTACTCGCTCGCCATGGTGCCGCTCATCTGGCGCCTGCAGAACATGAAGACCGTCATCAAGGTCTCGGCCATTGCCATCCTCGGCATGGGCGTCTTGTAAGCTTCTTTCCTTCCCTCCTTGCCTTCTTTCCTTCCTCCCCCATCCCCACAACTAACCCCAACCCCCCCCAGCGCCTCCGTCGCCACAATCGTCCGCCTCAAATACCTCGTCGGCTTCGCCGACTCCCGCGACCCCCTCTTCGCCATCGTCCCCGTCGGCCTGTGGTCCTGGATCGAAGAGTGCATCGGCATGTGCGCCGCCTGCATCGCCACCTTCCGCCCGCTGCTGCGCCTGATTCCCGGCCTGGTCTCGACGACGAGGGGGAGGAGCGGGAGTAGTAGTGGGGAAGGGGGGGAAGGGGGCCAAGGGGGAGGAGGGGCGGTGGGGAGTGGGAGCGGGAGCGGTGGGGGTGGGAGTGCGGCGTTTGGGACGACGTGGAAGGGGAGGTTGGATCGGGTGGCGGAGGAGGAGAGGAGGAGGGTGAGGGTGGCGAGGAGGGTGAAGGGCGTGGATGGGGTGAGGATGGAGGAGTTGGAGGAGGGGATGGGGGGGACGGTGAGGGGAGAGGAGGAGGAGGAGGGGGAGAGGGAGGAGGAGGAGCAGGGCGCGACGGCGAGGTGCGGGATCGATCCTGCGATGGGGCGGGGGGTTGTGGCCTATGTTTCTGACGAGGACGAGGACGACGAAGCCGGCGTTGACGGTGTACGTACGGGCGATTGCTTTCTCCACCACCACCACCACCACGACGAAAACGACGATGGAACGACGACGATAACGACGGGTAGCGGCAAGGATGATAATGTCGAGGTTCACACCGTGCTGGACGATGCCGATAGCCAGAAGAGTATATTGCAGCAAAAGTCCGCGGGGGGGCCGAGGGAATATTCGTGGACGCCTTGATGTCACTTTGTACTTCTGACACGATTGCGATTGAACGGCCGCTTTTTGTCTTGTTTCCTCGCGCTTTGCTTCTTCTTCAACGGCCATGTACGATGCGATAGACAGATGCATGCGTGTACTAAGATCTGATAACCGCAAGGGGGATATGTGCCTTGGTATTGGCACTTGGCGTTCGGGGAAGATGCCTGCCTCGTGGCATTCTGAGCATATTGTCTTCCTGTTTTTTTTTTTTGTCTTCTTTTTTCCCTAGATACCCTCCAACCTTCTACAACTGTATGAACAGGCGCAACAAGCCACTTTCAACGGGATCCCTCCTACGCCTTGCTAGTCTGCTTATATGGCTCGTCCGTCTGTCTGTGCCCTCAACAAATCGTCATCCTCATGGGTAACTTTCTGTCAGACAATGACGATCACATGTGACAGATAACGATGAAACACATGCTTGCTGTTTGACGATGGACGTCGTCACCAGCTGAAAATAGTGCTCATCAACCGGACACAGTGCTCATCTGCCGAAAACGGCGCTTAGGGCGTGTTTTGCGCAGGCCAGACGTATATGAGGGATTATTATTATCGCGAAATAAGGGGTGATAGAGCGGGTACCGTACCCTGGCTCACACGTACATCATAGATCTGGCCATGGCGGAGTGTTTTGTCATCATTTTCTCCTACATCTACCTTCGAGTTTTTGCCGTGACTGGGCTTTTCTCGGTAGGCGTTGGTGGCTGACGCCACACCACGCACCCGCTTGCGTACCACCGCCGCCACCGCCACCGCCGCCGCCTCCCGACGGCCATCAACTTAATGCCCCGGGTTGTGGGTACGGCTTAATTCCCGCTTCCGAGGAGGGATCCGCGACGTGGGACTATCGACTTTTTTTTTCTTTTTCGTAAGGGAATGGTCTTGCCGATGGTCCTTTTTGTATTAGGGTTCGTGCGGCGGATATTGGATGGCCGTCGAGTGGCTGTTGAAGAGTATCGTATAGCGAGCGCTCTATGTTGAAACCTTAATGGATCGACTCTACAAGGGGCTTCACGGCTGCAGAGACTGATATACACGCGAGGAAGTGGGACTAAGCCCAAACAGGCTCTCTATTCTGGGTAGGCACTATGAGCACTCTACTATAGCTTCGTCGTTCTTTTCTTCCTTTTGGGGCTCATGTTGCGTTAAGGCCCGTTGAAACTTACTATTGGGAATGCCGACGGTGTTTGAATATGCGGGGATTACGAACGGTGCGCTGATGTGTGGAAAGTCGGTCGGTAAGCAGTTCAGGGGTAAAATGATCATGTTCTTTTATAAAGCATTCTATAGGGGTGTGGGGTTTAGTTACTTAGCTGAGGATGATTTGAAGAGATGGGAGCCTCCTTAGCTAGGTCTTGATCTGTGCCGAAGTTGCAGTAAGTGTAAGGTGCAGCAACATAAACGCACGGCCTGCGCTCGACACATTGATCAGCATGATAGGTCGGGGGTCTGCTGATCAAGTAGCCTAAAGTCCACATACCGCGATTATAAGCTTTGTGCTTGCGAATCCATTTGTGCGGACTAATTTCCAGACATGTAGCGTAGTGAACTCAGTCCAACAGATGCACTACATGGGTGAGTGGCTCCATGTGCATGACACTCCTAGTAAGACAAAGATCTCGTAGTGGAATGGAAACCTGTCTTCGAATGAACGGAGCTAAAAGGATGCTATCACACTTGAAAAAAATGTACAGCGCCGCACTTGTTTTCCAGTGCTGGCTAAAGGCCTTATATCTGACAGATACTGTTTAGCGTAGCGGTGCCTTCTTGTTCCCGGATTCTGTTGACTTTGAAAGATCGAAAGTGGCGCGTTGGTTGCCTTATCATAAAAGACAATTGGCTCAGCCTCAGCAGCTGTGATCCGCAGCAAGAGGCTCACCTACTCGGCATGGTAACAAGCCAGTCTCAATTAGTACAGGGCTGCGCCCGGCAGGCGATAACCATCGTGAACTCAAACAACGACGCGGGAATGAACACCGGGCACCAAGACAGACGCCAAGCTACTACAGACAACATCTTGTAGTCAAAAGACGCTGATTCGGCTGTAGGGGCGACCTCGACGTCAGCTAGTCTCTCCGCCCTGTCCAGGCCGAGCACGCGAGGCTACTCACTCGGATGTAACTGAATATGCAGGACTCACTCGTCCATTAATCAGACAATCTCTAATCCCTACCTATGCAGTTTCTTCCACGATCTCAATCATAACTTGGTCAACCAGTGATTTTCCTCTTCAAAGAAAGGCGATACCCATGATGCGGGGAGGGGTCGCGGAAAACGCCGCTGCATGAGACAGCTCCGATAGGGTATCTCCGATGAAACAGTGGTTCGGCAGATAGCAGTGACGTCTGATGCAGAAGCTGCTCTATCGGCGGGGAAGCGGCACGACCGCAGCTGATGCCGGGCGCGGTCGCATGCGGAGAAGGCGTAGAGCTAGCTCAGCGACGTATGACAGTAGGAAGGGAGCAGTCGCAAAAAAAAAAAAAAAAAAAACAGAGCGAATTCAATAAATCCCGTGCATCGATCGAAACGCGGGACTTGACCACACTTCTACTCCCACCACCACCACAACCATTCAACTCAAACAATCCACACCCTCCCAAAAAAAAAAAAAGGAAAACCCCCACAACCACCGCTCGACCTACCTCCCCACACAAAACCACAACCATGCCACCCACCCCAGCCGCCAACGACAACGACAACGACATAACCATCCACACAAGCACCCTCTTCGACCCCAAGCAAAAACGCTTCCTAACCAACACCACGCTCACCGTCTCCCCGACAACCGGCCTCATCACCTCCATCCACCCCACACCGTCCCCGCCACCCCCCTCCACCGGCCACACAATCGACCTCCGCAGCCACCAAAACCAACAACCCCTCACCATCCTCCCCGGCCTCGTCGACGCCCACACCCACATCTTCCTGCACCCCTACGCCGAAGCCGCGGCCCTCGTCCAAAAACGCGACGAGTCGGCCGCCGAACGCATCCTGCGGGCGGCGAACCACGCGCGCGCGGGCTTGCTAGCGGGATACACGACGTATCGCGACCTGGGGTCCGAGGGGATGGGGGACGCCGACGCGCGGGTGCGGGACGCGGTGGCGCGGGGGATAGTGGCGGGGGGGCCGCGGATGTTCGTGGCGACGAGGGCGTTGGCGGGGACGGGGGGGTATGAGGTCAGGAGTGAGAATGCGGCGGGGGATGGGTGCTGTGGTGGGGGTGGCGGGGGGGTGACGCTGCCGGCGGGTGGGGAGGCGGTGGATGGGGTGCTGGAGTGCAGGAAGGCGGTGAGGCGGCGGATCGCGGCGGGCGCGGATGTGGTCAAGTTTTATGCGGATTATCGGCGGCGGATGATGCGGTGGCCGCCGGCGCAGCAGCATCCGTATGTGGCGGGGGTGCTGTGTCCGCCCGAGGTGCCGAATCCGGATGTCATGGTGTTGGACGAGGAGGAGATGGATGCGATTGTGAGGGAGGCGAGGCTGGCGAAGTGTCCGGTCGCGGCGCACTGTGGGAGCGTGGAGGCGGGGTTGGCGGCAGTGCGGGCAGGGGCGACGACGGTGGAGCATGGGTATTTTGCGAGTGAGGAGCTGTTTGAGGAAATGGTGAAGAGGAAGACGATTTTTGTGCCGACCTTGGCCGTGTGCGAGAGGCTGCATCAGCACAGGTTTGGCGAGATTTTGGCGAATGCGGGGCTTGCGTATAAGATGGGCGTGAGGTTCGCGGCGGGTGGGGACACGGGGACGTTTCCGCATGGGGAGAATGTAAGAGAGGTGGAGTTGATGATTGAAGCTGGTATGCCACTGGAAGATGCTCTCGAGTCTTGCACGGTTGGCGGATGGGAAGCGTGCGGCGGTGACTGGTGCGGAGTCAAATTCGGCTGGTTCGAGCCTGGGTGCAGGGCCGACATCATTGCACTGGAAGGTGATCCGCGGGAGGATCTAGGCGCGTTGAGGAGGGTAAGTTTTGTCATGAAAGACGGAAAGGTTTGGAAAAAGGACGGAGAGGCTGTCGGCATGATTTGATTGGGTATATGATGCAAGCAAACTGGCGAATGACGCAGTAGATATTCTGTGGTAATACTCCTACTTTCCAGTCACAGACTCTGGCCGTCCTTGAAAGCAGCAAATATCTGGTCCAAATCTACACCGGGAAAGTCCCAAGTCAGTTCATCGCTTTTGAGGCTAGGGGCAGCACCGTCAGGTGACTGGTTCCAAAAGAGTTCAAAATTCCACGAAGTATCAACAGGAGTATCGATACTTGGCATCTCATCCATGTTGATGCCATCCAGAATTGGTGGCAGTTGGTCGTCTCGAAATGAATCAATAGTGACACGCTGCGGGGCCGGAGTGGCTGCGGGAGCAAAAAGGTCTGCCATGGGATCCACGGCCGGCGGGTCTGGCGGTTGTTGTTGTAAAACTCCTTCTGTTGGTACCATTATCCGACGAAGAACAGCCTCTGCGCTCAAATCCATGTCCCTGATGGCTTGCAGATTTCCACAGCTCCGGTGCGAGAGGCATTCCAATGCGACCGAAGAGTGATCTTCTAAGAATTTCGCATGTGTCAACACCTTGGGCCACCGCAGAGCTATCTTTCGGAGCAGATGCGGGATTGTCCGAACAGTACGTGTAAGAACGGCTGCATCGAAGCCATGCAAGCAGCATGGTTCTCCTGCTGCGGCTTGTCGGGTTGCAAACATGATGGTCTCCAGGAGGCATACGCCGGCATCAAACAGCTGATAGAGTGCATGCCAGATGTAGAACAGCTTCCCCAACCGAGTGTTGCGCGCGTAGATGCTGGCCATGGCAATGGCTGCATTCAGGGAATTCTTCCTCATTTCCAAAGTGGGCTCGGGGAACCTGATCGAGGAACAGTTGAGGCGAAAGATGTTGTGCTGATACATCAGCTCACGGAACTCGATCCTCTCACCAGGGCGGCCATTACCACTGGTGTGTGTGGCGGCATACCACTCTTCGATGCGCTGCACGGCCCGTTTCCGCCAAACTTCGAGAGGAAGGGGGCATGGGGAAAGCGACGAGGAGCTGTTCCTGGACAACATGGCCGATACCTCAGCCTCGTACTGGCGCAGAGGCCAGATGTGCGTGGCGGGCGATTGTTCCGTCCCAGCTGAATCTTGCGGGTTGAAAATGGACTCGGGATACTGGAGCACGTGAGCAAATTGTCCAATGGCTTGGAGGGGCCGCCTACTTTTGCGGTGATGGCGTTGCGCGGGAAGACAAAGGCCCGGTAGAGAACGAAGTGGCAGGCACTGGGCTGGCGTCAGCATTACTTGCAGCCAAGGCGGAATCGGATCACTCACGCGTCGACGCTGTAGATGGCCCAGAACAGCTTGCGGCGGATGTCGATGGTGGACCAGTCAAGCTTTGCCTGTTCTTGAGCGGGCAGCTCCTGGTGGAGGCCAAGGTGGACGGCCAAGCGAAGGGCTGCACCGATGGTGTTTACCAAGTTGACAGCGCGTGGATTGACAAAACCGTAGTGGGTCAACATCAGAAGAGCGCGAAGCCGCTGCCAAGGCTGTTCATCGTTGATGTAGACCAGGTGGCCTTTGGCCGTGTTCCAGAACTCTTCGGCGGCAGCCGTGGCTCTTCCTTCATCATGTCTGATCAGGGTCGTAGCCTGGAAGAGTCAACGAGATGCGCAATGGGTCAAGCGAGGAGCATCTCACGCTAACGGCCAGACATATGGCCACGAGGAAGATGTCAAAGTGCGAGGCAGTGGCGCCGTCTTGAGCGAAGACACGTTCGCACGAGGCGTGCAGCTGAGTCTCCTCGATGTAGGGAGCCTGGGGAAGGTAGATGTCGGTGTAGTTCTTGAGCATGATGTCGATGACATGGCGGGGGATGAGAGCGATGGTGCTGCATCGCGTGTTCTCCGGCCGCGACGGGGCCGGATCCGCAGCCACGCACACCGGGGGAGAGGGAGACTGCGAAAGAAAAAGAGGCGAATGGAGCGAGACCAGCGGATGGCGGGCCAGCGCGGGGGTGCGGGAAGAGTGAGAGACGGCGCGGTTCGGGTGGTGATTCGGGTGACTGATGGTCTTGGCCAGCGACTGGGTCAGGGTGGAGATGGCGGTGTCGACCAGCTTGGACGAGTCGACGGACTGCACGGAGCGGAGGCGGCGCAGCTCAATCTCCAGCTGGGCAACCTTGTCCTCGAGATAGGCGACGTCACTGCGCGGGCGCTCGCGGCGCTCGACGGCATCGTAGCCGACGCAGGGCACGTTGGCGCGCTGGCAGGCGCCGCAGGTGGGGAAGCGCAGGTCACATTTGGACTTGCGGTGGCGGCAGCGGTAGCAGGCCTTGGTGACGCGGTGATTGGAGTTGGAGGTGCGGACGGGAGGCATGTCTGGCCGGTCGAGGTCGCGGGCGGCTGGCGGTTGCGCGGTGGTAGAGGAGCAGCGGCCACGACTTTCCTTATCGCAATCTCGCGCCGCCCGCGGCACCAGCACCGGCTCTCGTCGCCATCGCGGCCCCGTCTCCGTCCCCGCTCTCGAGTCTCCGCATGGCGCTCCAGACATGCAAGCGCTGTCGCAAGAGACGCATCAAGGTGACTCGCCTGCCCCATGCCCCATGCCCGCTGCGTGCCTGCTCTAACCGCTTTTAGTGCGACTTGCAACTGCCCTCGTGCAGCTCGTGCCAGCTCGCCGACGCCGAGTGCCTGTTCTTCGACGACTCTCTCGGCCACGAGGTTCCGCGCAGGTAGACCCGGCTCCTTGGTCGCCCCCGGTGACGTCCGTTGATCCGTCTGCAGCTACTTGCATGCCCTCAACGTCAAGGTAGAGGAGCTCGAGGCCGAGATCCGATCCTTCAGATCTCCCCAGCCCGCTCCCGTTCCGCAGCTCCCCGTCCATGTCGCCTTGGACGACTACAGCCTGCAGCCGCCGAGCCAGGAGCCCGCCAATCCGCGATATGCCTCCTCCGACTCCTACCTTGGCCCGGGGAGCTCGGCCGAGCTTCTTGACAACCTCCTCACCACTCTAGTGCGCCGCAAGCTGTCAAGCCCGCATTCACCCTTGCCCAAGTTCGCATCCACCTTTCGTGACGGCAGTGATGAGCACACCCTTGCCTTTCCCGCCCTGAACCTGAAAATCAACCCGGGAAAGCTGGACACTCAGTCTCTGCAGCACCCTCAAGTCCAGCGCGCCCTGATCGAGTATTACGCAAAAGCCGTCCAGCCGAGCTTTCCGCTCCTGTCGCCTGCCCAGCTCAGGCTCCTTCTTGGCTACGAGAATCCCCTCCGTCAATCCTCCAACGATTGCGAGAGACTTTTGATCCATGGCATGCTTGCCATCTCTTCCCAGCTGGTTGCCCGCGATCTGGACCGAGACCAGACCATAGCCGCCTCTCTGTGGACCGAGAAGCTCTTCGACCATATCAATCGCATATACTCACACTCTGCTTCGGACGCCATCAACGGAAGACATACCGTCCTGGCCCAATGCTTCCTTGTCTTGCTCGACTTGATCATCCCAGGCAGCTCCCGCGGATCGACGTGGGAAATTGTTGGTTCCGCATCTGGCAACTACGCTGCCTTGTGTGAGGAGACGGACTCGTTCGATGACGACTGCCAGCGCATAGGCTTCTGTCTCTTTGCATTCGAGAGGTGATGATTGTTTTCAGCCGGTGAATATCCACTTTCGCTAATTCTCCACAGCACCGTGGCCTGTCACTTTCACCGGCCTTCGCTTTTCTGCAACTCGGCTCCATCTCGCCTCGGCGCTTTCTCGCCCGAGTCCGAGTTTCTGTCGCCATCACTGCACGTCTTCCGCGCAATGTACTCCATCAACCAGCACTTCACCTTGGATCCGGATCCCTCTCCCGCCGCCATGGAGGCTCTGATACCTGCAACTTTCCGGATCCCAGCAAGCGCACGTCCTTCAGAAATGTCGTTGGCGCAGGCGCAGATCTACCTCGCTCTGCATCCGCTTTTCACATCTCCATCGGCCGGTCCGCACAGCTGCTCTCCAGAGCTGTTGAACAACATTGCTGGTGCTGCTTCTGCCTTCATAGCATGCACGTCGAAGCTGAACAGGGAACACCGCATCATCAGCATCTGGACCACAGCCGAATCGGTTCTCCAAGCTGGCGCAGTCTGGGGCGCATATTTGATTCTTAGCAAACAGGAAGATCCCAGCATCCTTCCAACCCGGTCCATCGGTGCTTTTGGATCAGGATCATTGATGGAGCCTCTTCTGCAATGCTCCTCTCTGTTGGCGTCTTTTGCCGAAAGATGGAAACCCGGCCGCCATTACTTCCAGGCTTGGGAAGCTTTTGTAGAAATGCTTTGGGCTGATACGGATATACAAAGAAGAGCTTCGTCCAACTACCAAAGCCAGCACGAATTATTGGTCTAGGGCTTGCCAAGTGTCCTTGGTGACCCTTTTTTTCATGGACAATCTATCATGTACAAGCAAGCACCCATTTTGAACCCTTACGCCAGCACCAAATGGGACGTCGCATTCTTGCTCTGCTCCAGGTTTCTCTCCAGCACCTCCCTCGGTTCCCTCTCCTCCAGCTTGAGCCTGAACCTTTTCGGCAGGACCGAAGCATCCTTCCGGTTCTCGTTGAAGTCGATGTAGTCAAGGGTGGGCGGTGCCTCCTTGCTGGCGGTGAACTTGAAGTGGATGATGAGCCTCACGAACATGGTATACAAGATCCTGTTGGAGAGCGCAATCGCCGTGCACGCTCTCGACCCAGCGCCATAGGAATAGTGGTACGGAGCCGGAACCTTGAACTTGTTATCCGGATCGAGCCAGCGCTCCGGGCGGAAAACATGCGCGTCCGGCCCATAAGCCGTCTCATCTACCAGCCTGTCAGCAACGCTCCCCTTCCCCCCAATCAACAAACTGACTCACCGTGGTTGATAGCCTGCGCATTCACATACACCGTCACGCCCTTCGGGATGCGCACGCCCTCGTACTCCATCTCCTTGAACGTCTGCCTCGGCGGCAACAGCTGAATCGCGCAATAATACCTCAACATCTCCCTCACCAGCGCCACCACATACTCGACCTTCTCCTCGCCCAAACACTTCTCCCACGCCTCCTCCACGTTCCCCCCATACGCCTCCATCACCGCCTCATACGCCTTCCGCTGCACGCCCTGCCCCTCCTCGCTGCTCAAGAACCCCAGCCCCGCCACCGCCGTCGTCGCCAACGTCTCGAACCCCCCCGACACCAGCCCCACATTGATCGACCGTATCTCCGCCTCGTTCAACTTCGCCCCTTCCACATCCCCATCCCGCAACAACCCCTCGGCGATGCAACTCACCGCCCTCCCCTCCCCCACCGCCTTGCGCACCCGCTCCAGCAGCGCGTCCAACCACACGTCGCGCCGCGCCGACAGGCTCTTCGCCAGCGCCCGCCGCTCGCTCCAGCCGCGCGTCTGGGCCCGCATGCTGGGGATGGGGACGTAGCACAGCAGCGGCGAGACGTGGTCCTGGTCGTTGCCGTTGGTGCTGCGGAAGGTGGACACGGCGTGGGCGGTGGCGAGGATGTCGGCGAGGAGCGGGTCGGCGGGGGAGGCGAAGCGCGAGGCGTAGCAGAGGAGGGTGGTGAAGTTGAGGGTGGCGCGGAGGAGGAGCGGGCGGGGGTCGACTTCTGTGGGGAGGGAGAGATCGGAGGGGGAGGATGAGGGAGATGTTGATGATGGTGCTGATGCGGCGTCGAGGAGCGCGGTGATGAGCCCGTGGATCTCGAGGTCGAAGAGCGGCGCCGCGCTGCGCTGGATCGCGGGCCGCGTCATGAAGGCGCCGACGGCGGTGCGCTTGCGCTTGCAGGAGGCGTCCCATGGGGAGGTGCCGATGGTGGCGCCTGTGTGTCGTCGTTAGCGCGCCGTGGGGTTGTAGAGAGAGAGAGAGAGAGAGAGAGAGAGAGAGAGAGAGAGAGAGAGACAAGCACAACACAACACTCACCCTGCGACCCGCTCACCACGCCGTGAAACGTCTCAAACACGGGCCGGTCGATCGTCGCCGCCGCGTTCTTCTTCATGAACCACTCGGCCGCGGCGAAGGTGTTCAGCACCACCACCCGCCGCCGCCCCAGCCGCGCCTGCAGCACCGCCCATCCGTTCTCGACGGACCATTTCTGAAACCGCGTCGGGTGGTCGCCGCCGAGGAGCGGGAGGTGGCCGAAGAACGGGACGGCGCCGGGGGGCTCCGGTAGGCCGCGGATGTAAGGCGTGTTGGTCGAGAAGGCGAGGTGCGTGTAGAGGGCGTAGAGGCCGAGGGGGAGGAGGACGACGAAGGCGAGGAGGAGAGTGGTGGGGGTGGGGAGGTGGGCGAGGGTGTGGGCGATGGGGCCGAGGGGGGCGGTGGTGGTGGTTGTGGTGGACATGGTGGGTGGTGGGTGGTGGTTGGTCCTGGCGATGGAGTGGTGGTGATGGTGATGGTGTGTTGAAGTAGGAAAATCAACGGGCGTCGGGTGTTTTCTCTCGTTTCACCCACCGGGTTGCACTGCTTATTTTTTGCCCTCTCATGTAGCTTTGCTCTCATTTGATATTTTGCATTGCAGAAGCATGCATGCATGCATGCATGCTACGAACCCCACCCGGTCGGGTTTCTGCGCCAGACTGCCGATAAGCGGCGGGCAACTCCGGTGAAGGTGTGGTTCGGTCGGCGACGGGCAGGAGATATCGCACGAAGTGCCGTGTGCGCTGTTCTCCGATGACGACGCTGATTTGGAAGGACGTTATTGGGCCAGGGGATGCGAGATAGTATGGCCTGCGTGTTCCGTATTTACTGCCGTCATGTTTCCACACCACGGCGATATCGTAACTTTGGATTTATACGGAGGTTTAACGTCAAACCTGCGACTATCTCACGAACCCTTTCCTGTCTGTCTAAAGCAGACCCGTTTCAGGCATCCATGTCCTCTCTTTTCGCGTCGTTCACGACCTAACAAACCACCATTCTAGATCTAGGGCACTTTGAGTGAAACTAGTCCAGATGGCGAATGGGTCACCGCTGCGAACCTCCAGCATCGCACTCGTAGAGTTCGCCGCATCCGCCATGTGCACACGTCTCAGAGTCTTACTGCTAGTATACGCCGGTAGTGCAGTCAAGAAGCAAGATGGGCAATGAAATGAGATTTCGGGATGTAGTTGGAGCGTCCGCCGGGTAGCGCCTCGGCGCATGACATCTGGCATAGTGGGTATTTCGTTTCCGCACAGCCATCTTCTTAGCCGCTTCGATTCTTCTCTCGATCTCGGCTCAGCACGTCAACCGGGAGCACGTCGGCGGGTGTCGGGTGGCAGAATGTGGGGAAAAGAGTTGCGTGATGGCGGCTAAAAGAGGAGCCGAAGAAATGGTGGCCTGTCGACCAGCCGCTTAATCAATATACCGTCTGCAAACCTATTTATTCCATCGCTTCACGTATTCCGTTTTTCTTCCCCTCCACCCCATCTCACCGCCAGCCATGTCTCCCACCGCGTTGCCGTCGCCGCCCACGTACAAGATCGCCTCCATCCCCGCCGACGGCATCGGCCCCGAGGTCATCGACGCCGGCATCGAGGTCCTCAACGCCCTGGCCGACACGTTCGGCACCTTCAAGCTCGACTTCACCCATTTCGACTGGAGCTCTGACACGTACAAGAAGACGGGAAAGTACATCCCCGATGGCGGCCTCGATGAGCTGAAGAAGCACGACGCCATCCTTTTCGGCGCCGTCGGCGCACCAGGTACGCCGAATCCCGCACCCATGACATCATAGCCCTTATCCATCACCACCGACACGGGCATATCTCACGTGGTTTTTTTTTTAAAAAAAAAAAATACCAACACCACCCATGCCTGACTCTTTCTCCGCCTTCCCACGTACATACACACCACACGCTCCCAACCCGCCACCCACTAACCCGCCCTTTTCTTTTCTTCCCCTGCCCCACAGACGTCCCCGACCACATCTCCCTCTGGGGCCTCCGCCTCGCCATCTGCCAACCCTTCCAACAATACGCCAACGTGCGTCCGACCAAAGTGTTCCGCGGCACGCAATCGCCGCTGCGCGCCTGCAACGTCGGCGACCTCGACTGGGTCATCATCCGGGAGAACAGCGAGGGCGAGTACGCGGGCCAAGGGGGCCGGTCGCACCGCGGCAAGCCGTGGGAGCTGGCGACCGAGACGTCCATCTTCACGCGGCACGGCGTCGAGAGGCTGGTGCGCTTCGCGTTCGAGACGGCGCGGGCGCGCCCGCGGAAGCGGTTGACGGTGGTGACGAAGAGCAACGCGCAGAGACATGGGATGGTGCTGTGGGATGAGATTGCGGCGGAGGTGGCGGGGGAGTTTCCCGATGTGGCGGTCGATAAGATGTTGGTGGATGCGATGACGGCGAGGATGGTGATGAAGCCCGAGACGATTGATACGGTGGTGGCGACGAATCTGGTGAGTCAGTGGTGTGGGGAGCGGGCGGGAAAAAGACTTCGATACCCCCTGCCCGGCTGTGGATGCTGACGGAGAGTTTGATGCAGCACGCCGACATCCTGTCGGACCTCGCCGCCGCGCTGGCCGGCTCCATCGGCATCGCGCCGACGTCCAACCTCGACCCGACGCGCGAGAACCCGTCCATGTTCGAGCCCATCCACGGCTCGGCGTTCGACATTGCCGGCAAGGGCGTCGCGAACCCTGTTGGTACTTTCTGGACCGCGGCTGAGATGCTGGCCTGGCTGGGCGAGAAGGACGCGGCCAAGACGCTGCTGGATGCCGTCGAGAACGTGTGCGAGAGCGGCGTTGTGACGGTCGATCTGGGCGGGAAGGCGAAGACGAAGGACGTCACGGCTGCCGTCGTGGCCGAGGTGGGGAAGCTGGGGGCGGCGACGAAATGAGAAGATGAGGTGCATTTCCTCATGTATATACCCTCTCTCCAAAACTGTTCTGGATGTGCGTAACGGCTTGATGACATCTTTTCGCCTGGCGTCTGCTTGTTCGACGACCAGACTCTAAAACGCCCCGACAAGCATTGATCGGCATTGACGTCTAGACATTAGTTCTTTCATGACACCACCTACTTCACAACTTCGTACATCGAGCCCACAGTTTGTAGTCAATGGACTATTCGAACCGGTGACGTCATCGCTCACCAAGTAAGGTCCTCTGACAAGCAGTGTCGCGCCAGCCTCGATGCTGATATCCTCAATACTTGAAGGAGGAGCAGTGAACAGAGTTCGGCCTTGACTTTAGTATTAAATCTTCACTATCATGGACGTTCTACTATCTAACAAAGAGGCCTGTCATATCTTAGCAAGGGCAGTAGATAATATATCACTAACAATTAAGCACGAATTAAGATCTTAAGACATTAGAGAAATTGACGAAGAAAAAGATTTCACGCGAAAAGGGAGGAACAAAAGGGACGAGCAAAGCTAACATCTCGTTACTTAATTACTTAATGCATCCGAGACCACACCAGACACTCGAAAGTAAGCTGAATAAGGTGAATAAGGATCAGACACAGAGTCCATATCTTCCGCACTCACGATGCATTCGAGAATCCCCGCACTTTCACCCACCGCCTCATGCTCCCCATCTCTCTCACTACAAGAAGACGGACCCAACCTACCCAGCTCCACAAGCCTCAAATACCCAACGAAAACCGTCCAACCCATCCGCGGCAAAAAAAAAAAAGCCCGCCCTCATCACCACCACCACCAGCGGCATACATCAACCCCGCCTTGGCCCGTCGCCCCTCCTCTCCAAAAAAATCGCAACGTCAATCATCGCCGACCTCCGCCCCGAAGCGCAGTAACCTCGTCTCCGCGCTTGGGGGATGGGGGATGTGTGGGGAATGGGAGATGTGTGGGGGGTGGTGGAGGTGCAGACGGAGGTGATGGGGGAGTTGGTGGAGGGGGAGAGGATTGGATGGGGGGTTAATTGGCAGGGAGGAAGAGGAGGAGGGAGGCGAAGGATGGGGATGTTACGACTAAGAGGGGAATGGTGGTGGAGGTTACAAAGGGGAGGGCGAGGGTGGTGACTGGTGAGGGCGTATGATGACCCTGGGCGGAGAAGGCCGGGGGCGAGGGCGTCGAATATGAATAGGCGGAAGAGGGCGTTGAGGAGATTTTGAGGAGTGGGTGGGGTGGATGGTGTGTGGTTCGTTCTTGATGTGAAAAGGGTGATTGTTTACTTGTATGTCCGGAATGATATCCTAAGTATCCGACTCGTCTGGTGCACTTGGTGTTCAGCTTGGCGCACGGCCTCGACCGGGGTGTCGTGTGCTGTGGCGGTTACGGGGGCCGTTCCGGCGGCTGTTAGCGCAGTACCTCTAAGCTCAATATAGACTGAGACCTCATACGTATCGGGCGATGCGGCCGCCACGACTCCCAAAGAAGGCATAAATAATACTACGGCGGCGACTTAGCGCGTGGGCGCGGCTGAAAATGGAAAAACGGTTGGATATGCGTAGTCAATATTCGGCGTGGCCGATGCCGTACGACCTGGCCGCTGCCGCGCCCAGAAATCGTGTGCGGCAAGCGCTGTAGTATTTGCGGGGGAAGCTGGTGGTGGAGCGCTCTGGCCTCCGCCCTCGTCGTAAGTTTTCGTCGAATGTGGCGTTCGCACACCACCCATATTCTCAGCTGCGCCTGTTGGAGCCATCATGAACTCCAGTCAGCTGTTAACGGCCTGGTCTAGAGTACTCTGTTTTTTTTTTTTTCTTTTCTTTTTCCCAAGATAGGCGTCGTCAACACTCGGAAGTGACGGCTTCCTTAAATTGAAGCTCGGGCGGCGAGGAGTGCAAGCTATTTAAGTAAGTCTTTGCCCACGTCTCTTGAATATCCAACTTCATCGATTGTCTGAGTCTACCACACTCGCAGCTTCCACAGACTTAACTCGGCGTCCATCCCGTCCCAATTTTCTCTTCACCAAGTGGGTTATCAGAACATGTTCTAGACTTATCAGAAATGCTTACAAGGAGTAGACATGGGTTTCTTCAGTTCTGTTGGATCCTTCTTCACCGACACGATCCCCGATGCCTTTTCCAGAGACGGCGCCGTGACCCGAGTAGCGGAGTCGATCCCGGTAGTTGGCCACGTCACCGCCGGCATCCAAGCAGCGGCCGGAAATACCGAACACGCCAAGAGAGCAGTCGCGAAAGCCACGGGTTCGCTGGCCACCGCCGCCGGAGCTGTGGGCGGCTTCTGCGTGGGCGGCCCCGTCGGGGCGGTCGCCGGCGGTGCTGCTGCCTCGCAGCTGGGCGCACTGATTGAGCATGGCCTCGCAAAGACCATCGACGACGAAAAGGTCAAGGGCGATACGGGAGACCTGTCCGCCAAGCGCCTCATCACCGACGCGGTTCTCGGCGGAGCTGGCGGCCTGTTGGGCGGCGGCGGCGGCCAAGCCGCGAAGGCTGTTGGCTCGGAGCTCCTCAAGGATGGGGGCAAAGAGTTGCTCAAGGCCGGCGGCAAAGATGCCCTGGCCAAGTTGATGATGAAGGCAGGCGGGACGGCATTGGCGACTGGCGTCAGCACGGCCGCTTCTCAAGGTCTCAAAGGGTAGGAGTTCAGCAAATAGGGGTATATATGATAGCGACGCTAACTCGGCACAGGGTACAACCACCACCGCGAAGCCGCGGTGACCAAGACGAAGAACAAGCGGGCCGCGACGGTAAAGACAAGGGAAAGGGAAAGGATGAGGACAAGGAAAAGCAAGGGGGTCCGCAAAAACCTCGGCTTGTTACCCAGAAGCAACAGGATGCCGCGACCGTGTTCATGACGTCGGCAAAATGGGGAATGGAGCACTTCCAGTGTACGGCAGTGTGCCATCCCTTCGGCAATGTGAGCCAGTTCACTGAGGGTTATTGCAAGAAGGGACTGTTGTGGGCCACAACCTGGGAATATTATGGCTTGGCAAGAAAGCTATGGGATGAGGCACGGCCTACCGTCAGACCGCAAGCGATCGAACAACTTGGAATCGCTAACGACTCGAAGAGAATTGGGGAGCTCGACGAGGTGCTTCACTACTGCGATACGTATCTCCATGAACTGGAGAGAAGGCTTTCCGTAGATGAGTAGATTTTCTAGAGAACCACCCTCGGGCTTATCCGGTTTCATTGGTTGGAAACGATAGTAGGTAGAGGTTCGGTAACATAGATACAATTGACGTTCAACACTTTCGTACTACCCAGTCTAACTTAACCTGTAAATGTCTTATACTGGAAATTATTTAATTTGCCGGTGAAGTCTTGCGCGCTTAATACAAAACTTTAAAGAATAACTCGAGTACTTAAATTCACCAGTGCCCAAAATCTCACAATACTACGTTAAACGTTTACACGTGACTCCGATTCCCCCCTTTCCTCTACTACGGTCTTATGGAATCAAAATAAGAAACAGTCTCTTTCTTGCAGCAGAAAACCTTGCGGGCCTTTTCGGAGCATTACCGTACTTACTCTCAGCCACCTTCTGCATTCCATCCGGACACTTCACATCGCACTTAGGCGCCTCTACATAACACGTACACTACTCATCCATGTGGTCCCTCACATCAGCCTCTTACTTGATACTGTTTATTGTTAGTTGAGATCCGACGCGGTGTAAAGTTGCTTCTATTTTTATGGGAACTGGTGTTCACGTTACGGCTTCCATTCCTATACGGACTTGTGCGAGACCCAACCCCGCATCAAGCCTACGCCGTACAACCACCTCGTATAACAGGTGGCTGAAGTTTATGCAACTGGTGGGATGAACAAAACCGCTGATCGGCAGGGTGGGGTCAGTGGGGCTCTCCAGGCAGCGACGTGGGGGCGGGCGTACAGCTGCGCCGTTTGAGCCCATGAATAAGTTATACGACCGTCCAAAATATCATCCCTCACCCAAGACATCAACCCGCCAACGCAATCGTTTTTTGCCCCCCCCAACTCACCACCGCTCCAACCACCCAGTTCCGCGGTAATGTCGACTCCAGACGAGATCCTCCAGGCCTGCGCCTCCCAGCCCCTCGAAACAGTCCTCTCACTGCTTTCCACCTGCCCCAACCCGCCGCAGGCAAGGGAGATGGCGTCCCAAGCAGTCCGACACGACCGACTCCCTCTCCTCCAACACATCCTAGCCAACACGCCCCGCGAGTCCCTCGAGCCCACGGGCATGCTCCTCCTCGACGCCGCCAGCGGCCGCTCCCCAGCGTGCGTGCAAGCGATGCTCGACACGGGGCTCTCCATCAACCTGAACGACGACCGCACGGGCGGGGTGCTGCACCGGGCGCTCGGCGGGGTCGGGTGCCCGGAATCCTTCATCGCGTGGCTGCTCGAGCGCGGCGCGGCGGTGAACCACCCGGGCGACTACGACCCGGACGGCTTCAACCCGGACCAGGTGCATTGCATGTGCAACGGCGTCTCGCACGGCACCGTGCCCATCCTGCGGCTGCTGGTCGCGGCCGGCGCGCATGTCGACGGCTCGCGGGCGCTGCATTACGCGGCGTGGTGCGACCGGCTCGAGGCGGCGAGGTTCCTGGTGGAGGAGTGCGGGGCGGCGGTCGATGCGCCGGCGGGGGTGAGGGGGTGGTACTGGCGCGGTGACGTTGGGAGCACGCCTTTGCATGTTGCGGTGGCGGGGAATAGCGTGCGTGTGGCCGAGTACTTGCTGGAGAAGGGGGCGGATCTGGAAGCGAAGAATGCAGCGGGGAGGACGCCGCTTCAGGATGCAGGGTACTTCTTGGGCATCGAGACGGCTGGGACTAAAAGAATGGACTTGCCGTGGGACTTGCGGTTTCTGGCCGGCGGGTATGAAGGGGGGCATCAGGAGATTGTTAATTTTCTGAAGCAGCGGGAAAGTCAGCCAGCGTAGCCACTTCCCTATGATATGCAATCATGGCTCAGATTGACGTCGATTTAAGTTGGTACCTTGGCGCGGTGATGAGTAAGACTCATGTGCAACCTCATGATCAGATAGCGGCATCTGACCATAGATTCTGCTTCTTCTTCTGTGGAACAGTGACCGTGCAGCAATAAGCATTCAGCCTCCCGTAGCGTTGCCTATTCATGATTAGCGCGCAGACTTCAGAATGATTCATCGGGAGATACGGCGCCCTGATTGGCGCAACCCTCGCTTCCACTACTCGGGTCCCGCCTGCCCTTCTTGACATAAGAGACCGCATCCTCACGGCTTTCACACCATCACCCCTACCCTTTGAGCTTCCAGCCTTCCTTCGCTTCCTCGCAAGCACTCCACTCCGCCTCGGACACACCACACCAACACCACCAAATGCTCACAACATCCGCATCAACCTCATCACCACCATCACCAACCACATCGATCATGGCACCCAAAACCACCCCACCACCCCCCAGCGCCGTCGTCAGTGTCACCACCACCTCCACCCAAACCATCACCTGCGCCACCGCCACCTCCCTCACCAAGCTCCCCTCGCCCATGCGCCTCGGCGCCCTCGACCACCAAGTCCCCCCGGTCGTCCCCATCGCCGTCGTCTTCATCTACGCCGCCAGCTCCGCCTCCGCCTCCTCCTCCTCCTCCTCATCCTCCGATTCCCCCAGCACCGCTTCCGGCCTCCCTCTCCCCCTCTCCACCCTCCGCACCGCCCTCCCCCACCTCCTCGACCACTACCCCCACCTAACCGGGCGCCTGCACATCGACCCCTCCACCGGCGCGCGCAGCATCGACCGCCTCGGGCAGGGCATACACCTCCACGTCGCCGAATGCGCCGCGCCGCTATCCTCGCTCGCAGCGTCATCATCATCATCATCATCATCATCATCATCATCATCATCATCATCGGGGAGCGACGGCCAGACGGCGACGCCCGCGCTGCTCACGCTATCAGACCTGCCAAACGGCGGCACCGCGCTGCTGGCGCCGTACGACGACGACGCGGCGACGAAGACGACGGTCGAAGACGTGTGCGGCGACGCGACGCCGGTGGTGTCGGTGCAGCACACGCGGTTCGCGTGCGGGGCCGCGGCGCTGGGGGTGCGCGCGCTGCACGCGGTCGTGGATTCGGATGCGTTTTTTCAGGTCGTGCGGGACCTGGCGGGGATTTGTCGCGGGATTCGGGCCGGGGGTTCTCTGGTGAGGGGGTTGGATGGGGTGGTTGGCTCGACGCCGTTGGAGGGGTATCGCGCGGATGAGCTGGGGGAGGAGGGCGGGATGGATCAGGAGGGGGAGAGGGCGGAGGCGCTGGCGCTGGCATTTCGGCCGAGGTTTTTTGAGGCGGTGGTGGTGGAGGAGAAGGGTGCGGTGCCGGGACGGGATGTTGTGGAGAAGAAGAAGGAAGATGGGACCGCGACGACGATTCCGCCGGCGCCGCCGGTTGAGGGACGGGTGATGCGGTTCACCGGCGCACAGCTGGGGGCGTTGAAGGCGGCAGCGGCGGATGCGGGGGATGTCGAGAACGGGTGGGTGTCGACGTACGACGCGCTGTCGGCGCTGGTGTGGACGCGGGTGTATCGGGCGCGGGTGGAGCTGCGGAGGAGGCAGGGAGACGAAGAAGAAGAACTGCCATCACGCGACTTTCTCACATCCGTCAACTGCCGCACTCGCCTCGCCCTGCCCGCCCGCTACCCCTTCAACGGCATCTTCACGCCCTACACGCGCCTCCCGCACTCCGCCCTCACCCAGGCCGACTCCTCCGCCTCCCTGCGTCTGGCCGCGCGCACGATTCACGCGCTGACCCGCAGCGTGGACGCGGACGAGGCGCGGGCGACGGCGCGCTGGATGGCCGCGGTGCCGGACAAGCGCAGCATGGTGTGGGGCTTCAACGGGGGTTACGGCAGCACCATGATCAGCGCGTGGAACAAGTTTGACGTGTACGCCGGTACCGAGTTCGAAGACGGCAGGCCGCCGGTGCTGGTGGCGCCACCGTTTACGCCCATCTCGTTGGTGGATGGGCTGGGGTATTACTTGCCGACCGAAGCGCAGGACGGCGGGATCGATTTGTATTTGGCCTTGAGTGCGCCGGTTTGGGGCGTGTTGGAGGAGGATGAGGTGTGGGCGAGATTTCGGGGGTAGGTTGGCCGGCGGGGGAACATGAGTCGATTCTCTGCTCAATGGCGCAACTAGTCGCTCCACTTTGTAGCAAAAATCGAAGAAGCCTCCGCTACTGAGAAGGCAACCAAAGCTTAAGGCCAATAGCCTTTGTGTGCGTGGTGACTGTGTCATGCTAGTACTGACAAAAATGACTCGAAAAGTTAGTTTGTTGATCTATACGAGATGACGAAAGTAGCGAGAACCAAGCAATTGGCACCTTCGGCAACCGCAACTCAAAGAGAACCTCACCTTGCCATTAGTCATGGCAGCGCCTCTAACGACACTGATTTCAAAGAAAAGAAAGAAAAAGCCTACAGAAGAGCATTAGAAATTGAAGTATATTATTCCCGAACACCTCAAGTCCGGGAAGAAACACCGAATGCGAACAAGTATGTTGTCTTATGGTCTCGCACTGCGCGGTTTTTGTGAGAGTGGCTAGCCGACGTATGTGTAGGTGATAGGTATCCTGTTCCAATCGAAGGGCATGGAAGACCCGTAAAGGAGTTCGGAGATTGAGTCTGAATAGCTGTTTTTGCCCTGTACAATAGAATAGCGGACATAGTTACGGTATTGATTAGACTCATTTTTGATACCTACAGTGGCGACAAATTGCTTGACTGCCCCAGAGCCTTGCGGATGGCTAATTCCAGTCCTCAGACTCGGGGATAAATATTGCGATGCGCGACATGTTGGCTTTGGGGATCTCGGCCCTGAGAACACCGGGCGAGTCATGGAACTCGACACCTAAAGTGGGACGCTGAATACCGACGTGCTTGAACCCGAGGTCTATGCACCTACGATGATTCGCTCCCATGCATGAGGTGGTGATAGCGAGTAGGCACATGGGGCGATGGCCGTGAAACAGAAGTCGCCGCATCTCTCCAGCGGTGGGTCAGTCAGGCTTCGAGCTGAACCCGTCACATCGTCCAAAACGACCCAAGCATCGCCTCGGGCAAACTCAGCGTCCCTCGGCCCAAAACCTATCCAGCGCGTCCTGCCTCACCTCCCACGCCCAATGATGGCACGTCTGATGCACGACCGGACTCACCTCCCCCCGCCCCTCGTCCCCATCATCAAACACGCTCCTCACCCCCGCCTTGACATAGCCCCTCAACAACGCCCTCCGCCACCTCCCCCTCTCGCCCACACACCTCGCCCACCGCCCCACCTGCCTCTCGTCATCCGCCCCCCTCCTCCCCATCCAAAACCGACAATACCACTGAAACCACCCCCTCACATCCCACTCATGCGCAATCCACCCCGCCGCCTCCCACTCCTCGATGCTCTGCCCGCACGCAACTCCATACTTATTCACCGCCGCATCGTACCTCGAACTCGTCAGACAGCGCGCCACGTCCACCCCGGCGACCCACGCGGCCGGCAACTCGCGCCAGTCGCCATCGACGACGGTACTGGCTCCCAGCGCGCGACTGCGCAGCGGCCGGAAGTACGTGCCCCCGAAGCACCCCTCGCGCAGCACCTCCTCCGGCGACTTGTTCGGCGTGAAGGCCGGGTGCGACGCGAAGTGGTAGGTGCCGTGCGCGTCGCGCGCGGGCGGCGGCGCGACGGGCGTCCAGGACGTCCAGCGCGCGCGGAGGGCGGCGACGTCGAGGCCGGAGGGGGAGGGGGAGCGGGAGGAGGAAGGGGAGGTGGCAGTGCGGCTGCGTTGGGGGGCTTTCCGGCTCGGTCGGTGGCGGCGCGGTTGGGCGGGTGGTGATGAGGCCGAGGCCGAGGCGGAGGCGTCGCCGTACGGGAGCGGACGGGACCCGGCGCGGGCGAGGCGGGCGGACGAGCGTGTAGGGGCGGCGGGCTCGAGCTTGCGTCGTTTGTTCCGAGGGCGGTGGTTGCTGGCGCGGGTGGGTTTCGAGTTTGGTGGCGGTGGGGCGGCGGCGGCGGCGGAGTGCTCCAGGCCGAGCTCTTGGATGAGGGCCTCGTTTCGCTTGATATTGGCTAGGCGGCGGGCCTCGTACTCGCTCATTGTTTGGAAGGGGGGGAAGGGGGGGAGGGTGTGGAGTGTCGGAGGAAGCGGGGTGTGGACAAGGGTGAGTGGCACAAAGGGCAGCTGCATGACGTCAATGACTGCGGCCTCCGCGGCCCGACGGTCACTTCACGTTCTTCCTCCCACCACCACTCGCGCTTGCTTGCGACAAAGACACCTACCCCGCGCTCTTCGCTGTCCTCCGCCCGGGAGAGAGACGGTAGTCGATCTCCCTATTTGATTTGGGGAGCTCGGCCAATTGTGGCCTGCTCGGCTACAGCCCACATTGAGAAGTGAAGAAGCAGCTGACTAGGTACCACCCAGATTCCCGTCGGGCCGTCCAGCTCATCACGAGAGAGGCATGCCAGTAGTTGGCCATGCGCCTCGCTGCTTCAGATGTGATCTCGGTTGCTCGGTGCCGGCCTCGGACGGGCTTAGACCACGGCCTCTCTCCTCTCCGGATTACGGACGCAACTGCCTGGAACACTTCCATCTGCGATGCTCCGGAAATACCGGCATCGGGTTCCGGTGACATTGTCCAGGAGGCGGCTCACTCCGGCAACGGATCTCACGAAGCGCCGGCTGCTCATTGAAGGCCAGAATTATCCCGCGCCAAGCTCATCAAGCCTGTGTTGAGACACCTCCCTCGCCCCTTCCGCTGTTTCGCTCGGCCTTGTCTCGAGCGGGCCGGCGGTCGCAACCTGCTTCGTTTCCCGCTACTCCTCCATTTCTCGAGTGCTTCCAGCGGTTGTGCTGAAAAGCTTGGCGTTTCAAACCTCGCCCGTTCCGCCCCACGCCCCACCTTTGCCACCTACTCGCCAATGCCGTCTAATTTCTTATATTAGCCAAGCCTTACTGGAGACCGCTGCCCAGCCCGCTACTTCCCCATCCGTCTAGCACCCCGTCGCTTATGGTGTTGGCACTTCATTCTCACCACCCTGCTGCTAATGCACTCCGCATCGCCGCACTGCCGTCCGGTGCTGGACGACGGAGACGGGCTGTTCTGCTGTTGCTGTCGCCGCTCCTTCTATATAGACTGCCAGCCCGCCGCCCGTTCAAAATGAGCCAGAAGTCTGTTGAGCATTGCTTCCGACCACCCAGTCCACTCTTTCCATTCCATAATGAAGTCTACTTCGGTTTTTTCGCTCGTTTCCCTTCTGCCCCTCCTTGACGGCGCGCTGGCGCATCCCGTCAAGAGCAACAATGGCATCTGCAAGTTTGAGCAGCGCAACGTCCTCGCCCGCAGCGTACAGCCCATGAAGCGTCAGAACGACTCCACCTGGAGCCCCCCCTCGGAGCTCGTCACCCCCCTGAACGAGGTCTGGGAGCACGAGGTCAGCACCTACAGCGACGCCCTCGGCTTCACCAACTACGGTACGTCTCGCACCCCTTCAACCCCGCCAACACTTCCACACTGACACACTCCCCTCCACAGGCTTCGACCAGGTCATCGACGCCAAGGGCAAGATCAACTACTGCGTCCGCTGGGACTCGACCCAGTCCGTCACCGCCACCCAGCGCACCCAGATCGAAGCCGCGGCCAAGAAGTCGTTCAAGAAGTGGATCGACGCCCTCGCCGGCTTCGACGGCTGGCCATACGACACGGTCGAGGTCGACGTCGTCGGCTGGGCCGTCCGCGACAAGTCCCTCCTCGAGGACGCCACGGGCGTCGAGGTCTACACCACCACCGACGCCGACGGCATCCCGCAGTGCGACGAGGGCTGCGGCCGCTTCTTCCACCAGGACAACGACTACAGCCAATGCGCCGCCGGTGCGGACCGCCACTACGGTAAGAATCGTCCCCCCTTTTTGTTTTATTCGCGAGCGAGTACTGACGCGGTGGTGACACGCAGACATGTCGCTCTGGCTCACCGAGGGCATGGACGGCGGCGCGGGCGGCGACTGGGGCCAGCGCATCGGCTCCGAGTATTTCCTCCAGACGATGAACGACGAGAACGTGCACATCCTGCTGCACGAGATTGGCCACACGTTCGCTCTCGACGACTTCTACGACTGGACCCCGACGGGCGTCAGCAACTTCATCATGTTGGCGGGCAGTTCCATGGAGATTACCGAGTTCGACAAGTGGATGGCGAGGGACTGGTGGAGGAACCTCAAGTCGAGGTACAGCCTTTGAGTGCCGTGTCGTGCGGCTTTCTGTGTAAATATTAGTCTTGTGGAGTGCATGGATGGCGATGGGGAGTAAATAGTGTGCATAAGTCGGAGTCTTGATTGAAGGACAATCTGATTTTCTACATCGACACTGTTCCTGAAAGTGAATTCGCCCTAGCTCGTAGTAAGGACTGAACTCGTTCGTGTACATGATCAGTCGAAGACAGCGGGGGCGATGCTGTGGCCGCGACTGACCTACCCGACGGCACAATGCTTACGATCCCAGTCATAACAGTGGATGCCTGTATTTCATTAATCTCAACCGCCGACCACCGTATAGGCCCGCTCTATTTAGTACTGGCTTTGGATCTAGAAGACTATCGGCGCGGCCTCATGACAGGCGGATCAGATCGCCCATAGTTACCAAGCGGCAAACGTCAACCCCGCTCCCACTACTCCCGGTACGGCCACTGTTGGCACCGACCTGCCTTTTATAGAAGACCCCTACCCCACTTGAAATGTCCAAGTCGGCCAGATACGAGCATATCAGCCAATACCATGCACCGACTTCTATCAAAGCCGCAGTCGTGCCTGTTCGCACCCATCGCTTCCGACGTCATTCGACTTCAACGTCACCAAGAAGTGAATCTTCAGCCACTGATATAAAGCCAGGCACTACTATATTTTCCGGACAACTCAGGCCTTGACCGGCGACCCCCGCACCCAGCCCCCGCAATGGCACCAAAAACCCCATGGCGACTGGCACTCCTCCTACTACTCGCAACCCTCAACGCCGGCGCCACGGCCCAACCACCCCCCGCCGCACACTCCCAGACGCCCTCCCCCCGCCAACTCGCCTGGCACCAGCACGAATACTACGCCTTCGTCCACTTCGGCCCCAACACCTTCACCGACGAAGAATGGGGCCTCAGCCAACAACCCCCCTCCGTCTTCGCCCCGACCGACCTCTCCACCGACCAATGGGCCGCCACCTTCGCCGCCGCCGGCATGTCCGGCATGATCCTCACCGCCAAGCACCACGACGGCATGTGCCTCTGGCCCACCAACACCACCGCCTACACCATCGCCAACAGCCCCTGGGCCCGGAACCGCACGACCAAAACCGCCGACGTCGTCCGCATGGCCGCCGCCTCCGCCCGCAAGCACGGCCTCCGCTTCGGCGTCTACCTCTCCCCCTGGGACATGCACCGCGACCCGGCCATCCCCAAACCGCTCCTCGCCGGCACCATCTTCGACGAGCCGCAAATCTTCGGCGACGACAGCAGCACCGCCGACGACGGCAGCGACTACAACGACCTCTACGCCGCGCAGCTGGCCGAGCTGGTCGGCATGACGTACGATGCCGACGACGACGACGACGGGCAGCCGATCCCGCTGTTCGAGGTCTGGCTCGACGGCGCCAGCGGCTCCGACACGGTGCAGACGTTCGACTGGGCGCGGTTCCGGGACGTCATTCGTGAAAGTCAGCCCGACGCCGTGATGTGGGGCCACCAGGGCGTGGATGCGCGGTGGGTGGGGAACGAGGACGGCGAGACGGGGCAGACGAACTGGCACACGATCAGCCGGACGCAGGACGACGAGCGTTATTCCGGGGAGGAACTGGAGGAGGGGGTGAGGAACGGCGCGTACTGGACGCCGGCGGAGGCGGATGCGCGGGTGAGGCAGGGGTGGTTCTGGCATAAGGGGGAGGAGCCGAAGGGGGCGGGGGAGCTGGTGGAGATGTGGGGGAGGTCGGTGGGGCGGAGCGTCGCGTTGTTGTTGGATGTGCCGCCGGATGGGCGGGGGAGGATCGCGGAGGGGGATGTGGAGGTGTTGATGGAGTTTCGGGCGAGGCGCGAGGCGTTTCTGCGGCGGGACGTGCTGGGCCCCGGGGTGGTGGTGAATGCGAGCGGTGTGCGTGGGGGGAATGATGTGGTGTTTGGGCCGGCGAAGGTGCTTGATGGGGATGCCGAGACGTATTGGACGATGGACGATGGGGAGACGACGGGGGCGGTGGAATTCGAGTTGGACGGTGCGTATAGTGTTGATGCTTTTGTCACGCAGGAGCATATTGCTTTGGGTCAGCGTATCGGTGGGTATGAGATTGGCGCCGTCGTGAATGGGACGTGGACGACCGTGGTCACTGGCACCTCGCTCGGGTATAAGCGTATTGACAGGCTGAGTGAAGCTGTGCGCACGAGCCGTGTTCGTTTCAGTGTCACGCAGGCCGATGCTGTGCCTTTGATTAGTGCTTTTCAGGTACTCGGGACGCGGGAAAGTACCGCTTAATGGAAACCCTCGTAGTCATTTTCGAACCGTGGATATCAAGACTATGACGACAACTTTGAGTAGTCCATGGATATTGTATGCTACGCACACTGATGACAATACGGAGACATAGATAAGGAGATGCAAATTAGTGAGGTGGTGAGTCGTTCCATCCATCCCCTTCACCAAGGCGGTGAACAGGTAGCGAAGTACTGATCATCGATAACGATGCGACAAAACCCCATCTTCAGCGATAGCGAGGTCGGTGTCAGCACAGTCTCACATATATGTGAGGGGCTTGACGAGATGCCGCCCTTCGCCAATCAACAGTGTTTGGCCCCCACCTCAGACGCGCCACTACAGGACACCTTCGGATTCAAAGGATCTCACAGCCTTGCCATGATCCAAACCTCACCACCGCGCAGCGCCTCAACCTAAGAGCTCAGAGCCGAGCATGTGTGAGTATCTGAACCCTCAAACACCTGAGGTCCACTGATTTTCAGGACAGATGCGATAAGATCGCGTGCGCGTCAAACCAGCTGGAGGGCAAGCGCAGAGGATTCAGGTCAGAGTCGCCGATGGTCTGGCATTGTATGTCATATCAACAAGGTGCGACCGCCATGTTGGCCAGGACTGACAATCACAATGCATTTGTTAGCTCCCCTTCCACGCTGCCCAGCAACTCGATGAGGAAGCGGCAACCGATGGCAGCAAGAGGGGCGAACCTTCGCCCGAAGATGGAAGTCGACGAAATGAGGGAAATGACGTTGCAAATTCTGCAAAGCTCATTTCGCGTCCACCTGGAAGGCCTGGCTCTCAGGTTTCTACCGATAGGATCGAGCGTTTAACACAGCCAAAGCGATTCATGAGCAGATCCACTTTGGAACCCTTTACTATCATGACGAGGTTCCCACATGACATCACCCCGTGGACGCAGTTCAAGTTCGTTGTGCTGGATAGCTGGGTCAAGCTCCTGTATCTGGCCACGCCCGTTGGCTTTGCCCTTTACTACATCAACACGAATCCCATTGCAGTATTCTGCATCAACTTCCTGGCTGTTGTTCCCAGCACGGCTGCGTTAGGCTTCGCGGTGGATGAGCTCAACCTCCACTTTGGCGGCTTCGTTGGCGGTTTGATAGGCGCGACCGCCGGGTATGTCATGAACTTCCCAAGGTAGCAGTTGTTGTATTGACTCGACGGCAGAAACGCGGTCCAGCTCATCAGCTCCATCCTGTTGTTGAAATCCAGGCAGATTGTTGTTCTGAAAGCGTCCCTGATCGGCACGATCCTCTCCAACGCGCTTCTCATGACCGGTGCGGCGTTTTTCTTTGGAGGTATCAACCGTGTTGAACAATACCTCAACCACTCGGCAACGACAGCAATCACTTCCATCCTCCTTCTCGCGAGTCTCAGCATGACTCTCCCTACGGCTTTTCGTCTCCTGACCGCCACGGCCCAGAAGTCTGTGCTGAAGCAATCGCGTGGCGCAGCAGTCATACTCATCGTATTGTATGTTTGGTGGCTTCTCTTCCAATTGAAGACGCACTCCGTGATGCTTCGTGAGCCTATTAAAAAGATGAAGAGGAGACCCAAGGTCGAATTGGTAGGCGTGGGAGGCCGAATACACGAAGAACGTCTTCTTCACGATGAAGATGACGAGAAGGAACAACGAGCACCTGTCCTCACCATTACCGGCTCTCTCATAGCCATAGCAATATCGGGGGTTCTTGTTGGATTCCATGGCGAATTCGCGACCAACAGCGTGCAGGGACTCTGCCAGCAAGCCGTCATTTCGCAGACTTTTGTCGGCTTCTTCATCTTCCCCATCATCAGCTACGATGTCGAGGCCCTGAAGCTGGGTGTAAAAGATGAGCTGCCTTTTTGCATCGCCCTAACACTAGAGAGATGCGTACAAACGGCATTGCTTGTTATCCCGTTCTCGGTACTCCTCGCGTGGATTTTGGGCATCGACGAGATGGATATGGATTTTGGGGGGTTCCTCACCGTAGCACTGTCTATTTCTATTCTCCTTCTAACATACGAAATACAGAATGCCAAGTCGACTTGGTAAGTTGAATCGTTACTGATGCATATTCAATCACTAACATCTGGCCAGGTTTCAAGGACTCAGACTGGTAAAAATCTACGTTGTCATTACACTTGCGACATTCTACGTCCCCTGAGAGTGATGAGTTCAAGCTCTTGGTCCGGGACATAACCATCTCTACTGCTGGAATATATCTCAATCATCTCCGCTATCCTCCGATGGATAAGTTTATCATTTTAGTCATGAAGCGCGAATCATTGGTTAGGATAGGTCCGAGTCCGGTTTGAATGACTGCAGACATGTTTAATTGATAACCACTGAGAATCACTCGCACGACCTCTCAAAATGTTCACCACCTAATCAAATTATCACCACACTCCTACCACACAATTTTCTCCTCCAAGACCAAGGTCTGAAATGGCCAAGCCATCTCCATTACCTCCTCGCCTGTCCAGCTGCCTTCAACTCCTCCACCTCGTATAATTGCGCCGTTCCGTCGAGCTGTACTATCAAGTGGGAGCCCTGATTCCCCCGTCAATCTACGAAAGGGTGAAGCGGATGCATCCAGCGTAAGAAGTGGCTGGATGGATGACAGTACTGATTCTGGTGAGACAGAGTTGCGTCTTGGGAGAGCTGTGTTGTCAGCAGCCGACGTAAGCAGTAATGCCAGCTGTCGCACCTTTTCATGATTCAAGTGCTCAAATTCTCAGACAGACGGCTAGAATTGTTAGATGATATGCAGATAATCCAGCCAGTTCCAGTACTCCCCACACACGAACTGTTATTCCCGGCGTTCCTGCCACCGCAGCACTACAGCCAAGCCCACAGCCAAACTTGCCGAGGCTGCCTGAAGCTTGATCAAATGAGGCGAGGAAGGTGGAACCTCTTGTCGAGTTATCTTGCCCGTTATAAACAGAAATCAGATCATCGGAAAAGTTTTTATCATATCAGATGGTGGAAAAGCGGGTTTCTTGCCTGTTCAGCTGTAGCTCGACGGCGAATTCCCTGTTGCAGCCTCGGAAAAAAAAAGCTAGCCGAGGACTGGATCACACGGCAGAACGGGCGCTACTGTTTTGAGTGGCTGATCTTATCTGATCCAGTGCGGGTTTTTTTTTGTTTTTTTTTGATAACAAATATCCTGCCCAATCACAATCCCAAGAGTGCGCAACCACTTGCCTGCGTTATTGAACGACGTCTGCAATTCAAGCAAAGCTATGGGCTCAGAACTCCCGTGTGGATCATTACGACAAACATTCATGATTTGGCTAGTGCAGAATACTATTAATAACACCTACTCAAGAGCGCTCGAATCTTCTTGCGGGGAACCCGGTGCGATGCCTATACCCTAAGCTATCATGGGACGGTTTCTTGTTAAAGTCCAACATAGTAGCTCCAACTCAAATCACTGACCAGCATTCTTAATATATACACAAAGCGACCTAAAGCGTTTTAAATGCCTTGATACCGTGGAATAAAGAAGAAACCTGGCTCATTTATGATGGTTCAGAAGGCAACACGGACTTCCCGGGATTGCGCGTACATGTGGTATGCGCCCCACAAAAAACTAAGAGGGCCGAAGATAGGCAGTAACGAAAGTGGGCACCCAGAGCAAGGTGGATGAGAATTTTGAATCTTTTAGATTGCCCTACTCCGGACTCGCCTCTTTTCCAATCCCATTTACAGAGAGATCAAGTCGTGATTCCTCTTTTCCTAAGAATGTTACGCACGTCATCTTGGCTTCTGGCTTTTGCCTTTTGTTCCATCGAGACCCTCGCCGAGCTTTACAAACCCGATGTTTGGAGCCAATACTGCTTTTATTCAATCTACCACTGCCTAGACTCCTTGTCCTGGACCAACGATGGCTCGTCGAAAATCAAAACCCAAGAGTGTACCAACATGGCTCTGGTGTCTTCCATCTACGCTTCTTGTAAGGTCTATTGTTCTGTAGACCAATTCGAGAAAGGTTTGGAGTTCTGGCAAGACTTGTGTCGTCATAGCAAGTCTGAATTGATCGACCTTTCTACCATTTCCGCCAACTTTACGCAACCATACATAGATCAACTCCCAATGGCCGATCCTGAGCGCAATAGTACCGAACAGGTCTCTGAACCAGTTCTTCTCAGCCGTGCGTACTTTGAGAGGTCCTACGAGAGCTATGTACGTCCCTTGAGACATTACGGGCCACGACTATCTCTGACTCCATGTAGAGATTGAAGTTGGAGTCGAGTCCACGGAGCCGACGGTTTGGCTGGGCTCTTGATTGCTATTGGGGCGGCATAGTCCTCTTGGGAATCTTGAAAGCCTGCTTTGGTACCTTCGCCGACCGACGTACGTCTGCTACCAGAGGAGACATTGAACATTCGGGGTCCGTGACCACCAAGTCAAGAAAACCATTGGCTCCGTTTGTCGAGGTATGCTTCTGGCTCAAAACCCATATCTTCGTCCCTGCGACTATCGGAACACGATGTCAGAGACGATTACTCGAGTGCACGATACCCAAGCGTTCTGTTTCGATGCCGATCATGGCGTTCTGGTGTCTCTGTATTGTCTTGGGGGTTGTCGGTTATCCTACAATAGCTAACAACACACTGTGAGCAACTACTGCCATCTATCGACAAGCGTGCTGACGAGGCTCAAGCACACCGAACATCCACCAGTACATTTGGAATGCGGTCGCTGTGCGGTGTGGCTACATGGCATACTCTCTCTTACCTTGGGTGTGGATGTTTGCACAGAGAAACAACATATTCATCTGGGCTACCGGGTGGAGCTATGCGACTTTCAGCGCTTTCCATCGCCACTGTGCAAGAGCGGCGACCATCTTCTCCATCGTACATGGCATCTCATACTCGGTCGTGTACGCGCAGTATAGTACGTGCAATTGAGGCTTCACCATAGCTTGCGAGATTCGAGCTGACACATGCAGAGCTCACGTATCAAACCTCCTTGGCGAAGAATTGGTTCCGGTTCGGCATAGTGGTAAGTCTATTATAAAGTCAACGTCTACCTTGCGTTAACACGGCCGTGTGCTCTAGTCAGTAATTCTCATGTCCTTACTGGTTGCCTCTTCTGCAGGCTACCTCCGGGTCCGTTACTACGACTCGTTCCTCGTGGTGCACATCTGTTTCTGTATAGTACTGCTATACTCACTTTTCTTGTTTGTACCGCCCCTGCTACCGTACGAAATGGTGCTTAACAAAGCGACAGCCACACTTCAAAGTTCACCGACGGCGAATACAACGTCTATCTTTGGCCGCTTGTAGCCATCTGGTCTTTCGACCGTCTTCTCCGCATCGCACGCATCTTCTACTGTAATTTTCGGGTCAACTTTCGCGAGGACGGAGCTGTATCACCTGTCCATTCGGCAACTGTGCGCTACGACACTTCCAGCGATGTCATCCGCATCGACATGCAGCCCGGTCCATGGCTCAAGCCCGCGCCAGGCCAATACTATCACTTGTATCAGCCCTTTGTTCCATTCGGCTGGTGGGAAAACCACCCTTTCTCTCTGGCCGCCTACCAGCAGCCGCCTCCCTCGCCAGTCGAGCAAGCCGGCACTACACCATCCAGTGCCGCCGCCGCATCATCCACATCCTCCTCCTCCTCCTCCACCACCACCCACTCCTCACCCAACGCCACCACCACCTTCACCTTCTGGATCCGCCCCCACACCGGCTGGACCCGCCGCCTCCGCAACCAATGCCTCGCCTCCCCCTCCCCCTCCAACAACACCATCTCCCCGCGCCCTCTCCTCCTCCTCGAAGGCCCATACGGCCACCCCCACCCGCCCCTACTACGACTCCTACACTCCTATTCCTCCTCGTCCTCCGCCGCCACCCCCACCACCATCACATTCCTCGTCGGCGGCACGGGCATCGCCGCCGCCGCGCCGTACATCCTCGCCTTCGCGTCGTCACGCTCTGCCAGCATCAAGCTCGTATGGGCCGCCCGGCACGCGGCATTTCTGCGCGACGTGTGTCGGAACGAGTTGGCGGGAGCGTTGCGGCTGGGCCAGAGCGGGGATCAGGGGGCGAAAAACGTAGAGGCGGTGTTGTTTGCCACGGGGGCGGGGGCGGAAGAGGAGGAGGAGGAGGAGGAGGAGGAGGAGGATGCTGCGGGGGAGGTCGCGGTCAGGCGCGGGCGGCCGGATGTGGGCCGTGTTGTTGCGGAGGCGGCGGAGGCGGCGGCGGCGGAGGGTGATGGAAGGGCTGTGGTGTTTGTTTGCGGGCCGGCGGGTATGGCGGATGAGGCGCGGGAGGCGGTGCGGGGGGAGATGAGGAGAGGGTGTCGCCGGATTGAGTATGTGGAGGAGTGTTTTGGGTGGTAGGACTCTCGTGGTGTAGTCGCGATGAGTTGACCATACCGTACCGCTGTCCACCAGTCACGCACTGGACAAAATAAAACAGTGTATTATCTTCGCAGCTGGTGGTGGCCGGCCATCTGGCGCCAGCCTGCAGCGGCACCACCACTTCCCCCAGCACTATAACATCCTCGTTAGTGCTTACATATCGCAACACCCTTGTACTTAGGAACGTGTACTGTATGTATATTGTAACAATTTGAATTGCTATTCACATTTTCTTTCTCTCATTCCAATTTTGGTTCCATATCTCCTTCGTCTTTCTCCGTCACTCGGTGATCATTCTGTACTGGTTATTTCCCATCTGTTCTTGATACGCCTCAGCCATTCAGTGAAGTGGACCTCTTGATTTTTGAGAGTGACGTAGCCTTGTACAAGATCTTCAGGATCGTCTCCAGTAGGTTTGAAGTACTCATGGAGAGGATGACAGAGACGAAAGATGAGTTGCTCGTTCTGCATCGCAGTATAGCAATCATCACAAAGGTCGGCCTTGCAGAATCGGCATACTTGAAACGTCCGCCAAGGGCAGCTCCTCCCACACGCGTCGCAAGCAACCCCACACCGTCGATACTGAAGAAATAGAGATATTGCAGCGCTGGCGTCTTCGTCGTCGACTCCGGTAGTCATGAGGGTCTCGGCCAAGATCAGAAAGCCTTGGATGTCGTTGACCTTCCACACGTCTTCGAGAAGTACTACCGCTTGCGAGATGTTGTTTTTGAAACGTTCGTGCGCAACGTTCACGGAATCCGCCCTTAGATGCCAAGCAGATAGTATCAATGATGAACAATGGGAAAACCACTAAATTCGTTGTTCTGGGTCGACTTCCTTTTGAACGGACCTGACAAGCTCTTCGGCGATTGTGTTGGCTTGGTCGAATGCATGAATTGTTTGTGTAATTAACGCTCGTGTGAAGTATACGGAAGATAGATGCCTCGTGGCATTTGCTTTCGCGCGATGAGTGATAGATGTATTGAGGTTTCCGCCTTCCCATCCGAGAGTTTGAGTCTAGAGTTTGATCGCTTCTCCTTCTCCATCGATACTTTGGAAGAGAAAGCTTGCGAGGTAATCCTGAAAAATTGGGATGAATAGTTTGTCGCGAATGAGCTTCGCCTCCTCTAAGCATTGCCGGAGGATGGGAATTATGTGATTCGAATGCTCCTTTATGGAATGGACACTGTTCTCTGGTAGGAGTTCCAGTATAAGCGGCTCATATCGATCCTTCGATAGATACCTTGAAAGCCTTAACTCGCCGGTTGGTATCTTCTCTTCTAAAAGCTGCTGAAGGTATACGTAGAGAGACTTGTAATCCGAGGCGTCTACTAGGTACGTGAGGAGGGACTTGACGCAAGTATGGTGAGCGTCTTTATCGACGTCCGGGTCCGCTCTTGCGTACTCTATGACTTTCCTTACCACTTCCATTGTGTTCTCAGATATGAATTGACGTGTAAAGGTGGTTGCAGCCTCGAGGATGTGGGTAGACGCTGTGGTCTTGCTTTCCATCATTCTATTGAGGCACGTGTGGAACAAATCCTGGGCCTTAGAGAATCCCCACTGTTTGGCTAGAATTTGTGCCAGATTGTAACTTGCGAGATGTAGATCTGGATCCTCTTCGAGCGCCCTTTTAGATTCGTTTATACTTTCTCCCCAGTGATGATGATTTCTGAGTACCTGGGCGACGCGGAGATGGTACTTTGTATTCTGCTCGATGTTAAAGTCTCTCGCAATTTGTGTAGCTCTCGACTTGATCTTTTCAACATTTGAGACATTTCCAGTTACTTTAGACTTAGCGGAGGTAGAGACCTAGAGATAGTTAGGCTTGTCGGATAGCATGTTTAGATTGCCCTTAGGCATGGATTCTTATGTCGTATAATAATAGGGACCTACCTTTTGCATGTATAAATCCAAGAACTCGTAATAACGGTATGCTTCCGTTTCTGACAGCTCGTCTAGCCATTGTGATGCCAAGACTCGTGTTAATGGTTGGAGGAGTTTGAGCTCTGGAAGATTGTTGCTTTTAACGCCTGTCGCTTGTTTGGGAATCTGTGCGCTAGAGCCCGTGTTTGATTGGACGTTTGGAAGCCATGTATAGATCCGTCGCATGTAGCTTCTATCGAGGAGCCATTTATGAAGGCTTTCGGATCCTATTCCGAAAACCCAACGTTTGAGAATGTCCTTACTGCGAAATATGAGAGTGAGAAGCTTGTTTATCTCTTGCTTGGTTTCTTCTGAAAGCTTCTTAGTAATTGCTTCGGCGGCGTGGAGATGAAAGTTCCTCCTTGCGTAATGCAGAATGTTGCATGAGTGCCACTTTTGATAAATAGACTCCTCGCAAAAGAGTGACATGTAGAAACGGGCCATTTTAACATGAGCACCGTGCCGGTCTACACGGATACTGTCAGGGTACGAAGATATATTAGCCTGCTATGCCTGAATAAACTCTAATTGGGTTTATTCTAGTACCTCTTTTAGCTCCCGGAGGGCCTGCATACGCATGGTGTAGTAGGTAAGGGATAGTCCTTATATTATAAACCTAATTAAGGGAAGACTAGTAAAAGCTAGAGACTAGAAAAAGTCGTAAGTTCGATTCGAGGCATTACCCGAACGATTTATATTACCTTAGTTAGTAGCGAGAAATTATTAGTCCTAATAAAGTAATAGCTTCTAGCGCGGCTAGTATATTAGAAGTACTACGTAATATATATCTACTCGAGGACGAGCGATCTAAAGAAGGGGAATAATATTAGAATACGAAGATATATTAGCCTACTATATCTAAATAAACTCTAATTAGGTTTATTCTAGTACCTCTTTTAGCTTCCGGAGGGCCTATATACGTATAGTATAGTAGGTAAGAAATAGTCCTTATATTATAAACCTAATTAAGAGAAGACTAGTAAAAGCTAGAGACTAGAAAAAGTCGTAAGTTTAATTCGAGGTATTACCCGAACGATTTATATTACCTTAGTTAGTAGCGAGAAATTATTAGTTCTAGTAAAGTAATAGCTTCTAGCGCGGCTAGTATATTAGGGGCACTACGTAATATATATCTACTCGAGGACGAGCGATCTAAAGAAGGGGAATAATATTAGAGTACGAAGATATATTAGCCTGCCATGCCTAAATAAACTCTAATTGGGTTTATTCTAGTACCTCTTTTAGCTCCCGGAGGGCCTGCATACGCATGGTGCAGTGGGTAAGGGATAGTCCTTATAGATACTGTGACCCGATCTGCTATAGTTTCGGAAATAGTCTTCGATCGACTGCTGACTGAATTCAACAGTGACATTTCTGAAGTGTGCTGTCTGTCTTCTATCCCTTTTCAACTTTGTCGAGAGGATCTCCTCCCGACTGAGAGGGAGCATAGCTGACTTGGCCTGATCGATTTCCGTGGCTGGTTCATCCGACGCCGGTCCGTCCACCGCCGTCAGACGAAAGAGCGATGGATATGTCTTGAGTGTGCCTTCGAGATCAGAAACTCCTTGTCGATAACGGTCTTTGATCTTGAAGATACAATCCAGGTCTTCCAAGGTAATGCTCTTCCTCGAATATATGAGCCACATCAACAGAGTATTCAAAACTTTGCAGACGTTGTCACTGGATGCCCGTTCAATGCGATTGACGATGGATTCGATCAGTCCAGAATCGGTCTTCGGCGGTTCCCGGATTATTTGTTGAATATTCCTGGGTGAAGGATCTCTTTGGATCGAGCCGATGATGATGGAGGCCCAAGCAAAACTCTCCGCCAGACGACTCAGTCTTCGACTCAGTCTTTTTGTGTGTTCTTCCTTGTCTTCAAGGTTGACCAAATGGAAGTGGATGTATTGACGGATGTCGTTTTCCAACTCTTTTTTGGTGATCTCATGATGATTGAGCCCTTCATGTGCCTTGAAATCGACTTGGTCAAGACGAGACATGATCAAAATTCGGAAAATAGGGCCCTGCGTGGTTTTGAGTTCCGCTTGGGGGCTCCGGCCTGAATCCTGATAGTCTCTCATCAGTTTCAGGAAGGCATCGATATGCTTGTGATCCGTATTAGTTGTGTCCAAACCGTCCAATACGAGATAAATCCGCTTTGGATCTTCCTTCAAGTCGGAGGAATTTTGCGCTTGAAAGTCTAGGAAGAGTCTCTTCCATAGAACTGTGGTGCTCCTCAACTTTCTCATGTTGTCTGATTCCTTTATGACTCCGTCAACGTGCTTTTGGTAGGCTCGATCTTTGAGCGAAAGATCAAATGCCCAGGTGCGAAGCACATCAGGAAGCTCCAATCCTTGTCGCCCAAAGAAAGGAAGAAGAATGTTCTGCTCATCTTCATCGCCCTTGGATAAAATGCGACTGATGATGTTTGCGCACAAGTACGTTTTACCGAAGCCAGTAGGACCGCTCACCAAGAGAACTGGTGTCCTTCCTTTCTGCCAGTCTTTGTACTCAGTAGTGGCTTCGATCCAGTTGCCGGTATTGCCAACGATGGATCCTTTGATACCGTGGAAGAACTGTATGCTACACTCGGCTCTAGGGCTCAGGGCCTTTTTCCGCTTTTCCTGTACTGCATCTTCCCACTAGTTAGTTTATTACCGGGACAATATTTGGAAATTTACATACTTTCGGTATCTTTTGGCGAGATGTCATTTTTAGAGTCTTTTTGCATGACCCAGTTCCGGGTTTCGGCCATGACTATATGCCCTTCGAATCTTGCATACCGGTCAAGGTCAGCTTGTTTGACCTTCCATTCATCACCTCCGAGGAAAAGCTTGACTCTTGTCCATTGCTTGCCGCTCGCTGCTGAGGTGATGAATCCAAGGACTTCCAGCATGATTTTCAGCGACTTCGCCAGTGTGTCTCGCAGGGGATCGGTCATCGTTTCTTGGTGAATTGTCAATCGCATCATGAAGAAGTCGAGGTGTTCGAGCATCTTTTCGATAGCATCATGAGCTTCTGATACGCCCTTACAGGCACTGAAAAAGACGGTTGAAATCCCAAAGAGTATACTGGCTGGTGGAAATGCCTTGTTGAAAAACTGTCAGCGAACGAAATTTTGAATAAAATACGAACTTACCCCCTTGACAGCATCACCAAAGACATTAATCGTCGTCTCTCCGAACTTCATGGCCATATCCATGGCTTTGTAGAATTTTTCATGACGGTTCCGATACTTTTCGAATTTCTTGACGGCCACTCTGATTCCATTCTGCTTTGGTTCTGGGGAAAGAACTTCAAAGACTGCATTCCAATCTTTGTGTTCCTTGCTGTACGCACTGAACGCCTCCTTCCACAGATCATATTTGTCGTTTTTGAATGAGAGTATGCCAGAAGTTTCGGATTCCACGGAGGAAATCATGTTGGACACCAATGCTTCAGGTGGAGCAGATGAGGATCGAGAAAGTCCTGAGCCTAGAGGAGGAGGTATTGGCTCTGCTTTTGGAAGGTCTCCAGTTTGAGGAAGAGAGTGATCAGATCGTGAACGCACCAGTGGTGCATCCGGAGGAAGAGAGTGGTCAGATTGTGAACCCGTGAGTGGTACATCCGTAGGAAGAGAGTGATCAGATCGTGAGCTCACGAGCGGCGCATCCGGAGGTTGGACAGGTAGGTAAGAGACAGATATTGGAGGCTCTGGTGAACCAGACTGCATCGGAGAAATTGGGTTCGGCGCAGAAAGTTGGGAAGGAATTTTCGCTTTCTTGCGAACTCCGCGTAATGTCCGTTTGAGACGAGAACAACTGAAGAACCGCCGCTTTGGTTGATCCATAGGGTTTCTTGCGGAACCTGATGAGCTTGAGATGCAGAAGTGAACTCAAGCGACATGACCGTCAGTATTTAAGAACAATCTGTCAATCTTCAGCCCTGGTTTGAAATCAGCTACGGAGATTTGTTGGTGCAAAAGAAAGCAATGTGTGCTGCGCCAGCAAGGAGAGGGAGATGAGTAGATTTGGTAACTCCGACGACTGATTTGGCAAGTGCTGGGCGATCTAAGTCAATGAGGCTGAGAGCTGAGAGAAAAGCAACTTCATCCTCGGTTGTTGTAACCTTAGCAGGCAAGAGATTTACGCCCCCACCCTGAAACCCTGGCTACTACGTAGCAATGGATTGAAGGAACCAATAAAATACAAAAAGAAACGAAGAGTACCGATGGGATTGTGCGGTGAAGTGAAAATAACCAATCGAATTTTGCAGCGGGGCTGAGCAGGAGCATGTACTCGTAATTCTCGCTTCAATTAACTATGCGTGAATACTGCGCTGGCGGACACTGATGCAGGGTGGACAGCTCAAGTGGAGATCAGGGGCGAAAAGCCTCTCGGTTGTTTCGGTGCCAACGTGTCACTAGAACCTATATTGGAAGTAGCATCCCCTAATTCTCGGATCGCCTCTTGATATCGGCGTTGATGCGACATGCGCCAAAGCAAAACCAAAAGATGAGTGGTGGATTTTTGCCTTGTATATGCCGGAGAACTCCGACTAGATTGGGTGGGTTCGTATATGTACCGGACGTACATGAGACATTTGCCTGGTGATGAGGATCCATAGAGTTGCCAGGAGTAATCCGTAAATCAGTATGCCCTTGCCACTATTCTCTCCTACCAACCGCAAGGCTGTATAGGACGAATAAGATTTCGCCTCAGCGGCAGTGGATATTCTCTCACTTCCGAGCAGAAGCATCGATGAACCTCTGTGCTCTTGGGCTACCTCACAATACACCTCTGCATAACATCTATACACGGAATTTACCATCACTCCTCAAAACATCCCAATCCGCTACAAACAAGCAGCAAACCACATCCCCACCGCCTCCATCATCCCTACCCCTCACACCCCCTCCCTCCTCCTCACATCCACCATCAACGGCGGATTCGCCAACGTAAACGAATCCTGACACCCGCCATCAAACTCCTCGGCCCCCTGCCCCTCCGCCAAGCTCAAATCGAACCCCATCACCACCGCCGCCACCACCCCACGCATCTCCATATACGCCAACTGCTTCCCCGGGCACGTATACGCGCCGCGCGTGAACGGAATGAACGGCACATTCTCCCCCGTGAGATCCAGCCCCTCGAACCGCTCCGGGCGGAACGCGTCCGCATCCTCGCCCCACAGCCTTACGTCCCGATGCAGCGTCCACGTCGGCACCGACACGACGGTGCCTCCGGGGATGAATGTGCCGTCGGACGGCAGCGTGATGCCCGCCGCGGGCGTCTCGCGCACGAGGCCTTCGATCGCCGGCGGCTTCAGCCGCAGCGTCTCGTTGATGACGTGGTCGAGGTAGCGGCACGTGGCGAGGGAGCGGAACGAGCGGTCGGGCAGGGCGCCGAGGGCGGAGCGCAGCTTGGCGAGCGTGGTTGGGGAGAGGCTGAGGTAGAAGAGGGCGTTGGTGATGGCGGAGGCGGCGGTGTCGCTGCCGGCGAGGATGAGGAGGATGGAGTCGTTTTCGATGGAGCGCTGGGTTTGGCGCTTGGTGGGGTCGGAGGAGGGGGATGTGCTGGAGGTGGCTTGGGTCTTGATGATCCAGCTGGCTATGTCGGTGGGGGTGTCGTTGGCGGCGTCGAAGTTCTGGGGTGATGGGGTTAGAGGGTGGAGGGTGGAGGGGCGCGCGCGGAGGGGATGGGAGCTCTCACCTTTTGCTTCAGGCGCATGGTGTCGTGGCACCACTGGAAGAAGATGGCCATCTCGCCGATCAGTCCGATTTGGCTGATCATCTTGAAGAACCACGGCACCGGGCCGAAGATGCCGTACATCTTCATTGTGGCACGCAGCGCCTCGACGGACGTGGCCTTGCCCTCGATACTGACTGTCCCTTTGCCGCCCTTGACCATGCCGAATTCCTGGTTGTAAGCAACACGGCCCATGGCGTCGAAAGCAAAGAAGCTGATCCAATCCGTCAGGTTGATCGAAGTTCCGGCCCGGGCTTCGAAAGCTTGAACAAGATCGTTGATCACCTCCTGGACCCGGGGCTCGTAGTCGGCAAGGGCTGGAAAGAATGTCAGACAATCCATACGGAAATGTGAGTGGGCTGCTTGCCTTTGCTGCTGAATCCTTTGTCGAGGATCCTTCTCCTCCAGGAGTGAAGGGCGGGGTCGGTAATGAGTAGCACCTGTCTGTCTTCCTCGGCTTCGGGCGCATAGTGGTACCAGGTGGCCCGTCTACATTGCGACTTGGCTCCGTACAAGAGAGGGATAGCCGAAGGATTGAGGATAGAGAGCTCACGCGCCCCGATCCTGACATAGTCGCCATATTGCTTGTGAAGGCTGTCTACCTTGCGGAACAGACGAGCATCGGACTTGACCGCTGCGTGCAGTCTGTAGAGAGAGGTCAACACGCCCTGCCACGGACCGCGGAATTGGCGCAGAGGCGAAAAGAAGAAACGGTAGACGGCGGTACTGCCAAAAAACCCGGAAAGGAATGAGGCCGCAAATGTGAAGACCACACGGGTGGTTGTCAAGAAATCATGACTGCGGATGAGGTAGAGGAACAGCAGAGACAAGGCCAAATTCCACAGGCCGACAAGGCGCCAACCATAGTTGTCCAAGCGGAGCTTGAAAATCGACAGGTAAAGAGTTGAACCGAGCACTGCCGAAGTCAAAGGGAGCGCAGCCGAGGAAGCCATGTTGGCGGAGAACTGTGGGTTAAGCTTCAGATCTCAAGTGATGGGCGTCCGGGTACTTATGCAACCGGGGATTTCATTGCCATCACTTGCCGAGCCTTTGCCTAGCTTGAGTGCGGGCATAGGTACGACTTTGGTAAGGTGGTGTGGTTTTTAGAGGGCACATTTTGGCCCCCATCAATTACCGATAGCAGATAAGCATGGATTCGATCAAGTCTCGAACAGCAATCCTTGTTTTTGTCAGCACTAGCCGCATAAGAGGCAACCACTCCGGGACAACAGACACGTCCTGAGATTCTTACTGGAGCTACGTCCGTACAATGCACCATGTCCGCGAACCCCGCAACAGCAGGTCGATCAACGATACCCAATGCCGAGCCACAAGTCTCTTCTGGAAAGCGTCCTGCATCTTCTGCCAATGGATGGAAGAAAAAACTTCTGCATTTCAGCCCCCACGCCTCAATCGGTCCGCCAGCGTTTCAGTTCGCTTCCTTTGAACAACCTGAGCAGGCTAGAAGCCTCTGTTGGAGGACAAGATACGAATACGGACGTGCTCTCACATCGCTAACGAAGATCATCCTTGACTCGAGCTCGCCACCCATCCGCACCTAAACAATCCAATCTTCGGCACTCACGATCACAGGGCGCCAATTGTTATGCCTACCAAGCGCGAGCGAGGTGCTGAAGATCGCGTACATATAGGCATTAAACAGGTAGTCCTACTTTTACTTGGCTTGGTAAGGGCTTGAAGGGCTTAACGATAAAAATCAAGGGTAACCGCGCGAGAGATTTTCGTTCTTACAATGAAGACAACGACAAGACCACCGACATCGATTAGAACTATGCGGACTCCTAAAACAATGCAATGCAAGATCCGTGGTCTGAGCCCTGTCCGCTTCCACAATCTCGTCCTGGAATTCAAACTTTCCCCGGTAAGGAAATGACTATTTCTTAATCGGGTAAACGAGTTGACCGGCTTACAGAAACACTGCCGACCCCCGAACCATCCAGCACCACCAGCCCTACTTGTGCGCGTGGCGCGCATGGATGATGGCCGTTCGCAGCGCCGTTTCTGTTGATGATCCGATATCTGGCTTCGCTGTGGGCAGCCAACAATGCCACGGTGGGCGGCTCAGCGCGAATGGTCCCTCCACCCACCTTAGGTATGTGGTTGGTGGTAGTCAGATCGACCGGGAGCGAGCGGCGGGCTTCCTCTAAAGGGCGTTTGGCCCAATCAGTGTTGCCAGAAGGCGGGTGATGTGGTCTCCGTGTCCGAGGCGTGCTATCGAGACGAATTGAGCGAGAAACATGAGGCCATCAATTGCGCGACCAACCCCTCCCCCCTACCTACTCCTTCAAATCATAAGCCTCCACCCCCTCCGTCCCCGGCTCCTCGACGTCAAAATCGAACCGATCGGGAATCCTCAGCCCCTCCCGCGCATAGTTGTAATGATCAGCCGTATACCGCACCACGGCCGTCCCATCCCTCCACAGCCACAGATCCTTCGTCTCCAACTGCCACTCCTCCAGCCTCCTCCTCATCTCCACCAGCACCGCACCCGCCTCCGCACCCGCATCCCCCTCCACCGCCAAATTCCTCAACTCCAACGGATCCCCCTCCAAATCGTACAGCTCCTCCGCCGGCCGTCGAAAATAACTCGCAAAGCTCCGCGGCCCCACCCGCGGCGGCCGCGCGTTGCGCATGCCCTCGAACGAGCGCGACGCGTACAGGTCCATGGCCATGGGGAAGTCGAGCTTCCAGCACACGTTGCGGTGGTACTTCCACCGCGGCGAGCGCATGAAGCGCGTCGGCCAGTAGTTGGTCACCTCGTGGAACGTGTGCGACCCGAAGACGCAGTCCCAGCCCGGCGCCGGCGCCGTCGCCGTCGTCGCGTCCGCGCGGCTGCTGAGGAGCGGCAGGACGGAGCGGCCGCGGCGTTGGGTTTTGTTTGGGGGTGCGTTGGCGCCGCCGTGGCCCGCCCAGTCGAGGAAGGTGGGGAGGATGTCGATGTAGGAGATGAGGTTTTGGTTGGGGGGGCCGCTGGGGGCGATGGAGACGACGCCCGGGGCGCGCAGGAGGAAGGGGAGGCGGATGCCGGGTTCGAAGAGGGTGGTTTTGGAGTTGATGAAGGGGGGCCCGTTGTCGGAGAGGAAGAGGACGAGGGTGCTGTCCCGGTGGGCGGCGGCGTCGAGGGCGGCGAGGATGAGGCCCACGCCCTGGTCCATGCGCGTGATGGCGCGGTAGTACTCGGCGAGCTCCTGGCGGACTTCGGGGATGTCGCTGAGGTAGGGCGGGACCTCGACGTCCGAGGGCTTGTATATGTGGTCCTGGAGGCGGGGGTCGTGGTTGCCGTCGGCGTTGCCGAAGCCTCCGCGATGGGGTATGTGCCGGTGCGGGTCGACGAAGCCGACGGTGAGGAAGAAGGGCTTGTTCTCGTCGTGCGATGCTTGGAAAAAGGCCGAGGCCCGGTCTGCTATGTAGGCCACATTTCTCGAATCGCTCTCCTCCCGCACCTGCCACGGATACTTATCATCGGGGCTGACGTGGATTTTGCCCAGGATTCCAGTCTTGTATCCGATATCGTTGAAAGCCTCGGGAGCGGTTTCGATATTTGCAAATGTCTGGAAGCCATTGCGCTCGAGGTTGAGTCCGTAGCTTCCGGTCTCATGGGTATGCAAGCCCGTGTAGATGACGGTTCGGCTGCCGCTGCACGACGCCGTGCTGGTGAAGGCCATGTCGAATTGGGTCCCGGACGCAGCAAGGGCGTCCAAGTGGGGTGTCTTGATGGCCTTGCAGCCGTAGCAGCCCATCTGCTCTCTGCCGAGATCATCGGCGATGAGGAGTAGAATGTTCTTTGGTTGACCCATCGTTCGGCGGGTGGCAGTCCGAAGCTGCTGTAGGGAATTGGCAGAGTGGCAGTCGAGTACAGATGGTGAAATGGCTGCTGTGGCCTGAGGGGTAGAGCAGCGGTTGTCCGAGGGGCTGCGGGGATCGCGTCATCCGATCTATTGTGTACTCCTCTCAATAAGGAAAGTGGGGTGGTTCATCAAACAGACATGCGTCTCGACATTTGAATCACATGCAATCGCAGCAAGGATGCAACTGCATCAGCATCAATCTCCGTCCCACCGTAAATGCAGAAGGAAACAAATCTACTGTGGTCCTTTGCATGGGCAGTCGAAGGAGATGGTCCAACGTAGATGAAGGTTCAAACAGCTTTGTTTCATGACGAGGTGAACCAGATGTCTGGACACAAGATGTGAGTGTCTAAAGTGTAAGAATGCATCCAGATGTTGGCTTCTGCTACCCATGTGGGTGGGTAGAATGCGAGACACAACACCGCAAGATGGGGGGATAGCAGGAGCAAAATCAATGTCATTATGAAGAATAAGCTGAATCAAACCTTCTGACTGAAGTCAACTCATCTGACCTAGCATCTGGGTCCTTTAAGGACGGATGCAGCGGTGATTTGAGCCTTGATCGCATCATACGCGTCTCGCTCTCCTGTTCGCAACAGCGTGCGGGCAGCCGCACCCATGTCCATAAGCTTGCGCCACGACGGGAGCATGTCTCTATTCTCGCTCCGTTGCAAGCACCACAGGATTAATGCTCGCATGTCGTCCACGAGCTCGAAAAACTTCTCTTTATGATCCCAATACAGCTCGCCGCCGCCACGAGTGTCACAGGCGAGGACAGCGGTTGCGAAGGCAATTCCCACGTTGAACTTGTCAGTGTCGCACTTGTCCACGCAGGTCGGGAGAGTCTCGTCAAAGAACGGTTTGAGGATGTTGTGCTCGTACACACGGTCGTTTTCCCTGAAGGCAAGGCATAGCCACGTCTCAAGGCGGCGAGTGAGAGCTTGTCGAACTGCTTGCCGTTCGCCATCTGAACGTTTGCGCTTGCCCAGAGCCGGACATGAAGGGCCGTCGACAACGGTGACATCTTCCGGCTGTCCTTTTTCAGGGGCATGTCCCGGATCAGACAGCACCGAGTCCTCGGCCAGGAGGGAGTTGCAGGGAGAGGCAACGCGATGGAAAATGCTGGGGGGTGGTGATCGTGGCACATGGGTCTTGGATGGATCATACGGTGGGAGCTCCTCGGTCAAAGTCGAGATGTAGTCGGCAACGCTAGCCGAGATTCGATTCTTCTCACTTTGGTCCTTCTCACGGCTGCGAGGCTTCCGCCCACTCTCGATATGCTCCCGGCCGACCGTCATCACGTTCCGACCTCCGTATACGCCTGTTGTTTTTGGCGACCATTCTTGAAGCCCTCCGATGTGTAACAAGTTGCGGACAATGGTCAAGCCTGCTTCAGCGTAGCCGCTTGGACACATGTAGAGGGCAAATTCTCTAGACTCGGACAGGGAGAAAAGACCGCACAGAAGATCGAGCGAAGTGTCGGAGCAGGTTGAGAAACGGGCTTTTTCTTTCCAGGGCGTAACTACCACGCCATGCTGGCTAAGAATAAAATCGACGCGGATGAGTTTACCGGACTTGGTCAATCGTGCCTCACTGACGGCAGCTTTGACGGATTGATCCCCGACTTCAGAAACGTCCATAGGGTGAAAGCTGAGTGACGGTGCGTCGGCATTACACGAGTGAAGGGGCACCAGGAAATCAAAACATCTCTGCTTGCGGCTTCCCCCTCCTTTGACCATCACAGACAAGCCCAATCTTGCGAATATGCGTTTCTTGTCCTCGTCCAGCAATACCGTAAACATCAGGTTGGGATCCTGTTCGTTGAAGGGCGTTGGGCATCCGAGACCGCACAAATCCTCTGCGTTGTTCCGCCATGCTGCCACAACCACCTCTTTCAGGATGGGCTTTGGGGACTGGGGAGGCATGGTGGAAAGAAGAAGAGCGCTGAGCCTGAAGACAATCAGGAATCAACAGACCGAAAAACAAACCTGAGCCCCTGCTATTTGCAGGTTACCCGCCCTCCCAGGCTTCGAAGCAGCCTTGGCTTCTTCGACAGCCAGTAACACAGCAGCCCAGATTGTGCCGAAGGACCGCCGCCGGCAAGGAACTCTCGAAGCAGTTCCAGGCGCCGAGACCGAAGGACCGCCGCCGCGTCAGCCCTGATCGAAGCAGCTCCAGGACGTGCCGAAGAGCCGCTGACGAGAAGACTGGGCGAAGCAGTTCCAGGTACTCAGGCCGAAGGACCGCCGCCGTAGAGAACCAAGGCGAAGCAGTTCCAGGCGTGGCGTCAAGTACGAACGCAGTCGCAAAGGCTGAGCAGGAGCAGTTCCAGATCGTACCGAAGAACCACCGCCGACAAGGAACTCTCGAGGCAGTTCCAGACGCCGAGACCGAAGGACCACCACCGCGTCAGTCCCGATCGAAGCAGCTCCAGGACGTGCCGAAGAGCCGCTGACGAGAGGACTGGGCGAAGCAGTTCCAGGTGCTCGGGCCGAAGGACCGCCGCCGCAGAGAACCAGTCGAAGTAGTTCCAGGTGGTGACCGAAGGACCGCGGCCGTGCAGAGCCCAGGGTGCGCGTGAGGCTCGACGCCCGACCGTGGGACAGACGGCGTTGGCAGTGTCGGTGTCTCGATGGCGGTGACGTGTGTCGCCGTTCGCAGAGATGGAATAATAGCGGGTTGATGGGGGGCGCGTTGCGGGTGGGGTGGAGAGATGGGAGGAGAGGGCGCAGGACGAGGTCGAAGTGGACACGTTCGCGCGTCGGAGTCGGAGTCGCCGATGCCGCGCTCGCCCCGAGTCAGCCTCACCGCCCAGACCAGGCACGTGATGTAAGCGCGTTCTGCCGGGCGTTGGACCCAACGGCGCGCGCCCGAACGTCGACTTCGCTGCAACACCCGTCACCCTCACTCTCCTGCCGTCCAGCGCATCATGGCCGATGCTTCGTTGATCGCCTGCCGCGGCCGCGGGTCGCACCTCTGACCCACTCCGGCCGGTCTCTCGAGGATTTTCTGATCGTCCATCGCCGTGTCGTCATGGCGCCCCCTGGGAATACGAGCTGCGAGTTTGAAACCGAGACCTGCCACCTGCGCCTACCGAGCCCCTCGCGTGGCTGATGGCTCGCTCTGCCGAGTGAGCACGGCGACATGCGGACATATCGAGAGCAGGGAGGAGAAGATGGTTGCGTGTGGGCTGCAACGGGGGACGGGTTTCGTCGATCGCATGCCGAGTGCAGGGCCGCCGTTGGACATGGCTGCGTCCCGTCGCTGGCTTCGGCCATGCCATGTCTGAGCATACCGGTCGACTTTTGTGGCGCAGCTTCCCCTTTGAGGGCGGAACAGCCGCGAACCCGCGCTTCTTGTTGGTCGGCCGGCGCAGATCCATGGCCAGCTCGTCTCATACGGACCAGGCTGCGATCACGGTTACATGATCGGCCTGAGTCGCTAGCGCACGGCCAAAACACGTGTGCCTCAAGCTGCGATGAGATTGCAACGCCCGGCTCGAGAGGGAGGTGTTGAACCCTCTCCCTCGCACTCACGCCGTCCTTCGCTTGGTCCTCGCCGTTGACGTCAAGCGCTGCCCGTAGCCTGTCAAGTCATAATTAACATTGCCGACTGCCACTCGACTTCTCTCTGTGCTGTCCCCATCCCGCCCGTGCCCGACCGTCTTCGCGTCGTCTCTTCCGCCCTTTCCACCGCAGACTCCAGGTCCATGACCAGCACCACCGACAGCGTCTCCTCGACCTCCAAACGGAGAGGCGCAGGGCCCCTCACCACCGTTTTCAGTAGCGTCTCCGAAAGTTCCCCACCCCGCTCGGAACGCGTACTGACGGCCGACCAGCAACCCCGGAGTTTTGCGCCTCGAGCGCATGGTATGTATCCGCTGCGCCCGCTGTGCCCACCCTCGGGCTGATTCACTTGTTCAAGGAACCACTATGACACGCCTGCGCTGTCGAGTTCAATATGCATGCCAAGCGGCTTCACAACATATTGGAACTACAAATACGGGTGTGTTCCTCTTTTGAAGCACGACCCCCCGCGTTCTCCGCTCACGACTCCCAAAGCTTCTATAGCCCGGCCATCTGCCCTGAGAGCTACACGCAAGGATGTACCTTTCCCGCCACAGCTGCAACATTGAGCAACGGCACACCTTTCCTCGGCGGGCCTCTTGAGGATGGCGAATCTGCCATAATCTGCTGTCCAGCGTAAGTCTCCCCGACCAAGTGCGACGAAGCAATGCCGGCTCAAACTGGCCAACAGAGGATACACATGCATGGGCTCCCCGAGCACGGACGTGTACGCCTGGAGCAAATGCATCGCGACGACGGCGTCGACGTATACGATGGCGTACCCCACCGTGTCGGCCTACACAACAACGCCCCTCGTGTTCGCCATCCAAGTCCGCTGGAAGGAGGCCGATCTCAACGCTCTCGAAACAAACCCCACCAAGTCGGGCGAGACCATCACGCCGACAGCAACGTCGACATCAGCGACGGCTGGAGCGACAGCCGGAGCAACATCATCCCTCCCGACCGGAACCGCAAGCGCAACGAGTGGTGCCGGCGCTTCATCACCTGACGACGGCGATGGCCTCTCCACAGGCGCCAAGATCGGACTGGGTGTCGGCATAGGCGTTGCAGCCGTGGTCTTGGGAATCCTGGCATACCTGGTGTGGAGACGGAGACGGGCAGACGGGCGGCAACTGGTGAGCACGTCGCCGGAGGGCGGAAGCGGAGGGATGGGAGGCACGAAGGGAGGGTTCAGCGAGCTGCAGGACACACAAATCGGCGAGCGGGGGAGCACGTCGGGCGGGAGAGAAGAAGCCACGGAACTGGAGTCGCCCGAGGGCACGACGTGGAACTCGAGCACGTGGGGAGGGTCGACGATGATCTCGCCGCTCACGCCACGACCGGAGACGGGCACGACGGCGACGGGTGCGGCAGGGGAGGCGACGGAAATGGAGGTGCCCGAGACGCGGCACGAAATGGCTGGGCACGTCACGGACTTTGCGGAGATGCCGGCGAGTAACCAGTTCGTGGCCGAGCTGCCGGGGGACACGCCGGTGCAGCATCGCGAGAAGTGGTCTTGATGTTTTTTGTTTGCTTCCGCATAATACCCTGTTGATGTCGACCTAATTTGGCTAGATGGGATCAGGATCCTTTGGCGATACTCCAGTGGCTACCCTGGACTCGAAGATATCCAAACGTAAATGTAGGTAATTAAAACTGTTCAAACACGTCTAGATGTAGGATCCTACTCTCCATGTAAGAGAGATGTAAGCGGGTTGACGTCCTTTTACGCCGGTTGTGGCGTGTGTAGAACGAGAATGGCGGGAGGCGGAGAAGCCGCATGTAGGAATGAAGGGGTGGATTTATAAGCAGGAAGCTAAGCCGACATATGGGAGACCACGGTCCATGTCTCCCACCTCGGTCCTGCTGAAGGTAGAGGAGTAACAGCATAGCTGTGGAGCTGTCCTGTCAATCAATGGCGGGAGCAAACGGCGCCAAGAATCCTCACGCTCAACTCTCCGCTTCTTGCTTGGAATGGCATTCATACCCTGCGTTACTCATTGTCCTCCTTTACTATATGGAACCGAATCTGCTTCACCTACCTATGGGGGCCCAGGTCATCCAAACATACACACATCAACGTCAGCACACGTGCTCCCCCTTTGCACGCAATCAATTTCCTTCGCAACCGCAGGAATATTCATATCTCGACCCCCAACGCCTCATACACGGCGCTCACAAGCCCCTTGGTCCGGTCATTCCCAAACCCGACATTCTCCATCTTATTCATCACATAGGCGATGGTCAGCCCCCTCTTCACATCCATGATGCCCGCCGACCCGCCCCAGCCGCCCCAGAAACACAAGCGGCTCTCGTCCCCCTCGTCCGGCAACCAATTGGCAATGGTGTCCTTCCCGGCCAGCCCCAAGCCAATCCCAATGCGCATGGGGGCGCCAGTCACGAGATCGACGCCGCGCGCCTGCTCCTCGAACACCAGCTCGACCGTCTCCCGGGACAGCAGGGCCTGCGACGACGAGGGGCGGCCAGCCAGCGCGACGGCCGACAGCAGGCGCGCGACGCCGCGGGCGTTGCCGATGCCGTTGGCGCCGCCCAGCTCGGCGCGGCGCCAGGCGGCCGTGTTGGCGGCGGTCGCGTCCGGCGGCGGCGACCGCATCGTCTTGGCCGCGATGGACTCGACGCCGGCGGGCGGCTTGACGGTGGCGTCCATGGCGGGCGGCGGCACCGTCTCGGCGATGCGCGGCCACAGCGCCTCGTCGGCGCAGCCCAGCTGGAAGTCGCCGTCGCCCGGGGTGGCGGGCGCATGAACGAGGTCCTCGGCGATGAAGGCGCGCAGCGACTTGCCCGTCACGCGGCGCACCAGCTCGCCGTTGAGGTGGCCGTACGTGAAGGCGTGGTAGCCCGACTGGCCGTTGCCGGGCTCCCACCAGGGGGCCTGCGCGGCGAGCAGGGCGGTGGCGCGCGGGAGGTCGCAGACGTCGTCGAAGGAGAGGCGCGCGTCCCAGCCGGACACGCCCGACGTGTGCGAGAGGAGGTGGCGGACCTGGACGTGCTGCTTGCCGTTGGCCCCGAACTCGGGCCAGTGCTTGGCGACGGGGTCGTCGGGCGACACGAGGCCGCGGTCGATGAGGACGAGCACGGCGAGCGCGGTGATGCACTTGGTCGTGGACCATACGGTCGTGATGGTGTCGCGCTCCCAGGCGCGGGTGCGCGAGGCGTCGGCGTGGCCGCCCCAGAGATCGACCACCTCTTGCCCGTCGAGGTTGACCGTGAACGAGGCTCCCAGCTCTTCGCCCGAGTCCAGATACGACTGGAACAGCTCCTCGACCTTCTTGAACCGGCTGTCGCACGTGCCCTGGACCTTTGCCGCCATGGTGGAGGTGGGGGGGTGTGGATGGAGGGGTGTGGGCGGCCGAGGATGATGGCGGATGCCGCTTGGTTTAAATACAGTCTTTCCCGAGGCTTGTGGATCTTCTGCCCTCTTACGGAGGCCGCCCCGCTCGCTCTGGATCGCTCGCTCTCTCCGCAGCTGGGCACTCGCCTCGTGGCCCGGCCAATGAAGCCGGCGCATTCTGGCATACCTACCCCTCTCTTGGCGAGCTGAACGCCGTGTGTTACGAAGAGATCAGAATGAATCATTTTCTCCTATTGTCAGCCCCACCGCCTCTGGTGCAGACGCAATGCTGAGCACGTCATCTGTTCGGCTGCAAAGGAGATCCATCTTTGTGATGGCTTGCCTTGGGTGCAGCGGCCACTCTCGCTTCGAGATGGATGCCTCGTCTGTACACAAGTATGATCGTCGTGATCGATGGTCCCGATGGACGCTCAATCGAGTCAGCTTGCTGTCAGTCTACCCGACCGAGTGCTACTTACAGATTGCGTCAAAGGCAGTCAAGCAGTCAAGCAGCAAAGCCTGGACAGCGGCTCTGTCTCTTAACATGCACAATGTCCGAAGTCCGCAAAGGTCAAGCTTCTATATTAACGCCTCCCCGGAGCTTGTTTCATTCCCCACCAATGCGAAATAATTCCGCCTCGGCTGCGCGCGAACAGTCTGCAATTCGGCCCCTGCGTCCGGTTGCCTTATGATACTCTGGGTACCATCTCCAGCAAATGCCCGTGAAACACACAACCGCCTCCCGCCCGCCCGGACTTTTCCACCAAGGGCCTGAAACCGCTGATCAGATTGAAACACCGCCCGCCCCACCGTGCGAATGGCAGCAGTTATAAGGAAGGGGGGGGCTCCGCTGCTGTCCCGTCACTCAGCATCAGTCACTCTCTCGCTACATACTTAGCCGTCTCTCGTTTTTAAATCATGTACAAGTCCACTACTTCCGCAGCAGTCCTCGCGCTGGCCGCAGGCGCCTCGGCCGCCGACTACTCGGCCTGGGCCTTTGGCAACATGTTCACCCTCGGCCCCACCACCGGCGACGCCTACATCACCAAGGCCACCTGGTCCGTCGTGCCGCCCGCCGTCCCCACCGACGCCACCGACGAGAAGAGCGACCCTCCCTTCCTGTCGCTCTGGATCGGCGTCTCCGACTCCATTTCCGACGAGAACACTGCTCTCGTCCAGCCTCTACTCAACTGGTCTCCCGACCAGGACTCTCAGTGCGTGTCCACTCACCCGCCCCCGCCACCCTGCCCATGCTGACCCTTGTGACAGGGGGTGCCCTGCCTCGGCCTCCGAGTGGTGCGTCGACGCTTCCACCTACTTTTCCTGTGAGTGCCACTACGACATACGCCATCCAGGTGCTGACGCAGCTTCCCAGCCGGCCAGGTCGCCCAGCCCTACATCGAGGTGCCCAACGACACGCAAATCGACTTCGAAGGCACGTCCACCCATCTCCCCTCCCCCCTCCCCCCTGCTAACCAGCAAACACAGTCACCGCCACCTCGGACAAGAAGACGACCCAAAAGGTCACCATGAACAACAAGGTCGTCAGCCAGCAAGAGGACGGTAAGCATCAACAACGCCCCCCCACACTCACTCCCCCACGCCGTCCCACTAACCCCCGCACCAGACGCCGGCTGGCTCCCGACCTACCTCTACTCCAGCAACGAATGCTACCAAGACACCTGCGGCAGCGTCGGCGGCTACAGTAAGTTTCTTCTTCCTTCTTCTCGCTACCCACGAAAGAGGGCGACCCGCATGCTGAATCACTCCCTAACAGCCTGGTCCAACATCACCATCACCCTCAGCGCCGCCGACAAGGCCTTTGGCGACACCCTGTCTCTCACCGGCGCCTCGGGCGAGCTGACCACCGCGGATGACGGAAAGACGTGGACTGGTTCCGTCAAGATCAACGCCGACAACTTCCCTGCTAACTAGGCCGGGGACATCGTGTCCTTGGCGGAATGGCACAGGGGTGGAGTGGATGATGGGAAGCGGTAGACAGTGGCTGTATCCCATAGACGATGTGGGGCGCCCTCTACGCTTCCGAAAATGATATTTTTATCGCCAGTGTGTATCGGGTCTGTGTATTTTGCTTCCGCGTCGGTGAGTATCGTTCAGCGTCACTCAGCGTGCACTTGGCGTTACCAGAGTGTTATAGTCAAGTTCTGAGGTCGTGAGATCCTTACAATGTGATGTACGTAGCTCTGCAGTCCTCAACCGCTGTGTTCGTGATTTTAGGCAGCTCAACTTTCCGGCACCCGACTGTCTTGTATGAAGAAGAGTGATGCTTAGTGCTGCCATGCTGATGTGGTCTTACATTAACCTAGTTTTATGGCGGCCAGGGCCAAGACACGGAAACGAGCATGGTACGGTTGCAGACATGAACAATGTTAGCTTGACGGATTATTGGGGTGAATAACAGGTCCGTTCGATGTGTAAAATCTGTTGCGAAACGATAGTGAATTGACATTTAGCTACGTTCTATTTACGAAAAGTCTTTATTATGAAAAGAAAGAAGGTAAGGGAAAGGCCTGCTTTATATAAAGCAGGCGGTAAAAGAAAACGAATTTCACCGAAATAAGTAAAATAGTAATTCGTACGAGTTACAACAAAATCCACTTCCGAGCCAATCTACGCCTCGCGTTTGGCTTTGCTCACCGGTCTTCGTCTGTTTTGTCCCCGAATAGACAAAGACTATCCGAGACCTCACTGACATAATGTATGCCCGCAATGGTAGCAAGTAATCACAACAGGCACACCAAACCAAAGACCATCAGTGACACAAACGCGTTCCATCAAATAAGAATCCGGAGCTTTCATATCAACAAGTGCTCGTCATAAGCTGAACATATAGAAGTAAAACCCCGATCACAGCGAACCCAACCCTATGGGCCTCATTCCCCTCCTCCTCCACCGGAAACCGCATCTACACGAGCAGCCTTCTCTCCTGCTGCAAAAATATCCGCCTAAGCCTTCCACTGGCGCACCGCCGCCCCGAACCCCGCGTGCAAGTCCCCCCCCCTCTTCGCGTGCGGCGACGTCGTCGCATCCCCGGTGATCAAACTCGTCGCGTTCTCAACCACCTCGGAAAAGTGCATGATGAGGTCCAACGCGACCGTCTCCGCCTGCTTGGTCCATCCGAGCTCGGTGGGGAGGCGCTCGTTCTCTGCTCACCGTCAGTCTCCTCTTCTCCTTTGGGAAAAAAAAGGGGGGAGGGGGGAGGGGAGCCAGCAACATCGTCCAGCAACCCAAACCGAACCACTCACCGAAGAAATACTCGACCCACTCCCTGCTCACCGTCTCGGTGGCGTGGTCGCCAAAGACGATCAGCGGCGCCGCCACCTCGCCCAGGCTGAAGGCCTCGACCCTCGACGAGAAGGTGTAGTCCGGGTTGGCGGCGCGCGACTCGATCTGCCGGAAGAGCTTGCTGTTGGCGAGCATGGCCGGCGTGAGCGTCGCGTCCGTCCACCACGCGCGCGACGCGTCGAAGACGGTCTGGTTGAAGACGTGGTTGTTGCCGAAGTAGGCGTCCGACCGGCTGAGGCTGGCGTCGTGCTCGAGCACGTTGTGCCGGTTGAGGTGGTCGCTGAGGGAGGTGGGTGTTAGCGGCGTTGGAGTGGTGGCTGGGTGTGTGTGTGTGTCAGTGTGTGGTGTCGGCGCTTACAGCGTGAAGAAGGTGGCGTTGGGCTCGGGGTTGGCGATGACGGCCTGCTCCCACATGAGACTGGCCAGCGATTCGTCAAAGTTGAGGCCGGTCGACAGGGCGTGGATGGCGTTTGCCCGGGTGATGTTCCGGCCGTTGTGCGGGAGAAAGCCGTGGTTCGCCAGTGTGTTCATCATGGGGCAAGGGCCTCGGACTGTGGACGACTGTCAGCACCACCATATCGATTCGAGTGAGCGCGGTTGTTTTCATACAGTCTTCGGCGCCACCCGCAGCCCACTGGTCGATGGAGCCTTGTGCGTAGGCCAACGAGACGGCCAAAAAGCCAGCAGAAAGAGAGAGCTTCATGTTTGGTGGAAGAGGATTGCGCTGAGTGGATCTAGAGTGTGTACAAGAAAAGGAGCTTGTTGATCTTAAACAGAAGTGTAAAACAAAAGGGTTCTTATATAGTCCCCGCAAGGTGTAGGTCCCCTTCTAGCACTGCGCATGCGATAGCGCGATTACGACCAATGCGAGTACGACGGGCCTGGGCGTCGACCAGCAGTAGTGAAAGCGATTCGTATCTCGCTTTCAGTACTTCGCAACCAACCCGAGTACCTAAAACGTCACTCTTCCCCACCTTTGCCTCCGCAATTCTCGTCAGGCACATCCCCCTCCTTCCTATTGGCTTCACTCTTCCGGCCCAAGCCTTCCCGTAGCTTAATTGATCGTCCATCATGCTTGCTTGGCTGCTTGATTCAGGCAGTGCCGTTGCTGCCCATATCCCAAGCTTTGGATCTGTGCTGCCGTGTTGCTTGGTGGAAGAAGCTTCCACTCCATGGTGAGATGGGCCGGGAGAAGGGAATCCTCATGCATTGGGACCGGATCCAAACGAAACAAACGACTTGTTTGGAGGTTCACTGGTTGGTGTTTTCGGGTTCAGACTTGCATGGCTCAGCCCAAACACTGCCCCATGAGCTAGCAGCGCCGACCGGCCGGACTCGACTACAACGGCGATCTTCGGCGCACAGATGGAGTTCGGGTTCTCGGACTGAGATATCGCTTTCCTTCAATGCGTTCCTGGGTCTTGGACCTTCCAACCCTTCGTTAGCTCCGATTGCTGATCTGCTCGCGGCAAGTCGATCGGCGTCGTGTAGCCTATGACTGTCGACGAGTTGACAACAACGCGCGCTGCTATGGCCAGTGCCAACTCTTGGCTGCATGTCTCCTGTCTCATATGTTGTTTGACCAAGCCGGCATCGACGGTAAAAGGCCAGTGTCCGGCTCAACACATTGAATACGCACCGGATCATTTCCCCGACTTCCCGGCGGTGGTTCCGTGAGGTACCGGTGAGGCCAGGCTAGTCGGCATGTGTTTCGGAGCAAGTGAGTGTCTTCCCGGCCAGTGAACCAGCAACACTTGGGCCGCAGCATCACTTGTCAGCGGCTATTCTGGCACGCCATGACGAAGAAAGCCAAGGGTATGTATTAACTATTACATATCTAGGTGCTATACAATCGCCTGCAACGAAGCAAAACCGGAAACCATGCACCATTACTCCCCCACACCCAATTATTACCTCCCCGGCATCTCCTTCACCCCACCACCATACCTCCCATCCGCCGGCATCTCCTGCACCTCGCCCCCCTCCAGCTCCACGGGCGCATACCTGACATGCCCCCCGCCCGACGGCAGCTCCGCCACGCTCGCCACGCGCTCCCCCTTCATATTCGGCCTCCGCCCACCACCACCACCACCACCGCCCCCGCCGAACCCCCCACCCGCACCACCCCTCCGCTTCCGCCTCCAAACCACCCCCGCCACAAGCCCAATCAACGCCGCCGCCCCCACCGCCACACCCACCCCAACCCCGGCCTTCGCCCCCGCCGACAACCCCCCACCACCGCCGTCCTCCCCCCCCTCCGACGCCGATCCACTCGCACTCCCACTCCCACTCCCCGAATCCGTCGTACTCCCCCCATTCGCCTCCCCCTCCAGCGGCTCCAACACCCCACTCCACGTATCGTTCCACCGCCCCGCCGTCGGATGCTCCGTCAGCTCATCATCGCCCGTCGCAATCGTCTTGAGATCCTCCGCCGCAAACGCCGGCCCCGGCGCCTGCGCCAGCCACACGGACGCCGTGTGCCAGTTCTGCGCGAGGTGCGCGGCCTGCAGGAAGGCGCGGCCGAGGACGACGTCCGGCCCGCTCGTGGATGACGAACTGTCGCTGTCGTGCGGCCGGCACGGGAAATACGGCGTCGGGTCGCTGAGGAGCGGGTAGGAGAGGGTGAGGTTGAGGAGGGCGAAGGGGATGGCGATGGGGGTGGTGGGCCCGCTCGTGCCGGACTGGTGGAAGTGCAGCGTCAGGTGGTGGGGGGAGGAGACGATGCGCAGGTAGGAGGGCGCGCTGGTGTTCCAGAGGTAGAGGTTCAGCCCGGCGTCGTAGGTGACGGGGAGGTAGGAGGCGATGGCGGCGCAGGTGGCGGCGGGGAGGTAGAGGTAGGGGAGGCCCGGGTCGGGTTGGGCGGAGAGGGGGAGTGACGAGGAGGAAGAGGAGGTGTTGGTTTGGAGGAGGCCGGAGATGGACGAGGCGGACGAGGTGTTGTTGAGGAAGGCGGAGCCGCCGGCGGCGACGCCCAGCGAGACGTCGGCGAGGGAGAAGGTCGCGTTGGCCGAGACGGTGATGGGGTCCGAGATGCAGCGCGCGCGGTCGTAGCCGCCCAGGTAGAGCTTGCCCGTGATGTTGTGCATGACGGACCCGATGTGCAGCCCGTAGCTCATGGACGCGTACACGCCGCGCTCGTAGCCGAGCGAGAGGGTGAGCGGCAGCGTCTGCGTGCCCGCGGGCGCGTCGTAGGTGAAGGTGTCGCCGCCGTACAGGGAGTACTGCGGCCGTCAGTCGAGGTTCCGTGCACGAGTGTTGAGCCTTGGGGAACACTTACGTAGCCGATGCCCACCGTGTACCAGTCTCCGTTCGGGAAACCGGCAGTCACGTTGTCGGCGATGGCCATTGCGAGGCCGTCGAGGTCGGTGGTGCCGAGAGTGAGGCGCTGGGTGGTGTAGCGCATGCTGCCTTGCAGCGACATCAGGTCGGCGGCGTAGCCGCCATTGACGTCTGCCAGCTTCGACGGGGCGAAGTCGTCGCTGGTGGCGTTGCTGAAGATGTCGTGCGAGGACGAGCCGGACCAGGCGGCGATGTTGGGAATGACGCATCGGGCCGTCTGGTACTGGCACACGCTCGCGTTGACCATCATGGTCGTCTCCAGCAGCGACGGGTAGAAGCCCAGGACCTGGCCCGGGGAGTCGACGGGGGCGAGCAGGTAGGTCCATGGGCCGTCAGGGCCGGCTGAGGGCAAAGGCGTCAGCAACCAGCATCGTTCCCAGCCGACAAATTATACTCACTGCCTTCGTTGTCGAATTCAAGGCCCCATGGCCCCGAGGCGCCTGCCGCAGCGGCGAGGCCAAGCAGCAGAGCCGAACAGCGCGCCAGTCTCCGCATTGCGTGTATAGGTAGGTGTGTATGTACGTGAGCCAGGCCGCCCACGCGCGAGCGGATTGGGGCGCGGTTTTAATACCGGGCACAGGCGATCGTCATTCTGCATTGCTGTTCCTCGCCAAGAGGTGGGTGGGTTTGCATGGGGCCGAAGCTTCGCGGTGTGCATCGTCCTGCCGGTGCATTTGGCCCCCATGGTGGCCCCCGCCAATCAGCCCCCCCCTCCTGGGCAAATTGCAGGCAGCGCTGCTGATGCTTCCCGTGTTGCGCAGTGTTGCACGCATACAGTGTCGATGACATGCAATGGTGCCACGGTCGAGACGCTGCGCACCCGAGCCAAAACGCGGTCCAAAGGCGCAGATCCCACAAGGCTTGTTGTTGGGTCGGTAGCTACACAAGGCGCCCGGGGCTGGCGCTGTTCAGCGCTCGGGGGCTTTGGTGCGGTGAGGCCACCCCGGCTCCACTCGCTCGTCACGGTTTCTAAAAACACATGTTCGTGGCCCGCAATAATAATAACGTCTCTTATTTGTGAGAGGCTGCGCAGGAGAAGGGGATGATAATTGCTGCTCACTACTGTCAACCACCATCTGCCGAACACGGCTTCCCCACGCCCAAGTGTTGGGTGATCTGCATGCCGGTGATCTCCATTGCCGGAATAATGCTACGGGGGGGTTTTTTTTACCCTGCCGTAGGATTTGAGACATCATTACCATGCAGGTACAGTGGGTACAGGAAGAGATTGACCTGCGGCGATCTTTGGTGTGGGAAGTCGAAGCAGATGTCCAGACAGACGGAGGTATTGAACTGTATGTATGTACAAATGCATTCAACTCTATGTGCGATACATGCCGGTCGGTTAATTCTTTTTTTTTAAATCGCATATTCCCGCCCATCTCATACCGAGGGATGCACTACCGACACTACTCTACACTTTCTCGGTCCTCCTCAGCCACCGGCGAAAGCAGCCTTCTCCCCTGCTCCGTCCCCGTTTCCCTCTCCAGCACGCCAACCTGATATCTCAGCCCCTCACTCGCCTCGGCCAATCTGCTCTGCAACACCTCATTCGAAAGCACCTGGGCCTCCTCTCCCAGCTCCTCGCGTATCGCCTTGGCCAAATCCAGCACAGCGCGATACAAGCCCAGCCCCCTTCCCGCCTGGGCCAGCCTACTATTCCGCCTCGTGTACGCATGCAGCGCGACGAGCACGCCGGCCCAGACGTAGGTCAAGACGACGATGACAAAGAGCAGGAGGTACGAGAACCCCCATCGGTAGACATCGTTTACCGGCTTGCAGAAGCCAAACTCCTCGCAGTAGGCGTTGGGGTAGAATTCGTCGCCGTAGCTGTAACCGGGTCTGACGGAGAACTGGAGCGGGGGCGGTTGCAGTCTATGGCCGTTGAAACTGCTCGCGTCGGTCGACTTGAGAACGCCGCGGTTGACGAGGTTGGTGTCTGGTGCAAAAGGCCGTCAGCGACACCGGTTTGGGCAACTGAGGAAACCGCACCGCTTACATTCCAGCACGCTCTTGTACAGAGAGTCAGAAGCCGTGATGCACTGCCCTTTCTTGCCATCCGGCAGCCGGTCTCCGTCTTCGATGACGTACTCGCACGCCGCGAACTTGGCCCACGACGCGGTCGTGTTCTGGCCGCCTTTCAGCGTCATCTGCGGCTCCTGCGAGGTGCTGTACCCCGTCGCGGCGCTCGCGAGGGTGGGAAACGAAAGCACGTAGAGGCTGGCAAACAGCAGGCCCACGCAGACGAAGGCGTTCCGGGAGCTCCTCTTGCCCTTCTCCCGCCGCGTCATGTTCTGCGAGATCTGCGCCATGGTCGAGACCGACACCGTCTCAAACGCCATGGCGGCGAAGTAGTCGTACGACGCCGACCGCGTCTCCATGGAGCAGAGCAGCGCCCTGGTGAAGACGGGATACGTCAGCCAGGCGAGCAGGAACTGGCCGCCGCGGCCGACGACCAGGTCGAAGACGACGTCGATGCCCTTGGCCACGGCGAACTCGAGGCGGCCGAAGCCGAGCGAGACGGCGAAGGCGGTGCGCACGTCGAACGGGCTGTTGATGTCCGACATTCTGAAGTTGCCGTCCATGCACGCCCCGAACCGCACAATCGACAGCCGCGGCAGCCCGATGAAGACGAGCGGGAGCGCCACCACGAAGCCGACGAGGAGATACGACGCGGTTGCGGCTAGCAGAGGGATGCATTTGGCCGATGCCGTCTGGACATGGGGCTTGCAGGTTGGCGGGGACGAGGCAGTTTTGTCCAGCGGGACCAGCTCCATGGTTGGAATCTCACGTGAGAAGCGCGGAGACGACTGAAACCCGGACACATGGTCAGCGGGTCCCGCCGCGGTTGATAAAGTGTGGCCGAGAGGAAGGGGCTGGGTGCAAGGCTGGACGGCTTCGTGACTTGACCTGCTTAGGCTAGCTGCCGCTCTCGGCTAAGATCGCTACTCCGCTGGCTGCTAAATATAGGTGCGAGCTCCGCCCCAAGTAGAGCTGCGCCTGCTCCTCGATGGTGTGAGGCTGGTCCTGGAAACGCCCATCTTTGTCGACGTACTGCTGTCTCGGGTAACCGCCTGGATCGGTTTCCCCCCTTTGACGTCCAACAAGGGCTGGTGAGCCAGGGTTTGGCACGACGCAAAGTCAACCGCCCCCAACATGCCAAGAAAGGGCCGCCACATGAGGCTGACAGCACCCCATATAATAATGCTAAAACGAAAGGGGTCTGCTTGTTATCACGTCTGCGCTCCTCGTTTCCATGGCCAGCACGTTGCAAAATGCCGCTCCGGGACTACTTTGTTCTATTCACTTCCCTAGACTTCTACCAGAATAAGACAAGCTGTGACGACGCCTTCGACAACGATGTTGCCGGCAGAGGTGTAAGTAGCCGACCCTCGCATGCGACACATGATGCAGCTGACAAAAACCCCAGGTCGTCGCGTCTCTGGTGGTGTCGGCCGCCGCAACCACCCTCCTGGCCATATGCGCCCCGTTCCTGGACGGCATCGCCGGCTACGGGCTCCAAGGCGGGCTCCAAGGCTGCGAGGGCGTCTTCTCCCGCAGCATGAACGAATGGCTGTTCAGCAAGTTCAGCCAGCCCGCCCGCCAGCACTGCGACTTCCTCCGCAAGGTCCTCACCCGCGTCATGATCACGCTCGGGGACCAGCAGGTGCTGACGGGCATCGCCGTCCTCATCAGCGGCTACATCCGCGCCATGCAGAACCACTCGCAGAGGGTCGAGGACTACGCCCGGTGGCGGTACCGCCTCGTCGAGAACCACTTCTTCCTCATCGTCTACCTGGCCTGTCTGTCCAGCAGCTCGCACCTGGCCGCCGTCGTCACCCTGAAGCGCTATCTGATCGCCAACAAGGTGCTGGCCTTCCTGCGCCTGTCGCTGATCGTGCTGTTCGCCATGCTGCTCACCATCACCATCTGCCTGGCCGTGCCCTTCGGCCCGCCCACCATCCTGTATCTCTCCATCGAGGAGGACATCCAGACCGAGCAGCAGATGTGCGCCATCTGGGAGGAGAGCTACGGCGCCTGCAAGGACATCAAGCTGCATCGCTTCTGGCTCGTCGTCTTTTACATCGTCACCGTCGTCGCCGTGCTGTACCCCTACTGGATCGCCATCATCAACACCTTCGAGAGCTGGAACGAGGAGCTCGGCGCACACTTTAGGAGCTTCTGGCAGCTTGAGAGCAAGTGGCTGCCCATGCATTGGATCCGGAAGGCCTTCTCGCGCCTGGACAGGGCTGGCCCGGGAAACTTCTGGAAGGCGTCGCGGAGGGGCGTCAAGGCCGCGTTCTTGTTCCTGGCTCTGGGAAGCTCGGGCGAAGCCTACTGCCTGCAGATCTTGTTCTTCTCCGTGTCGCTGTTCTACGTCTTGCTGCAGCGCATGTCCAACAAGCCCACCGACGATCCGACGCTCTGCGATCTCTCTGCCGGAGGGACCAAGTGGGGGTTTGGTCAGATCTTGCCCATGATCTTGCTGGCTGCGCCCATCGTTTCTGGCGTCGTGTCGTATTTCGGTAAGTCATTGGCTCGTCGTCATTTGGTTCGTGCGGCTGACACTTGTGGCAGAAATCAAAAGCGATATGGAGAAAGAGAAGCGGAGGAATCAAGCCGAAGAGAAGGAAGCCTTGTCTGCTGAGCAAATCGCATGAGCTGCGTAGTTTTCATCATGTTCACGATCTCTCCGGCGTTTAGGTACACAGGGCCCTGTTTTTGCCAGCAATACCCTACTTCTTTTTTGGAGTAAGCTTATTTAGAGTTGCCCGTGTTGGTTAGACCATGTAAATTTTACTTCGCTTCCGTCATCCGGTGTCCGAGTTTCCGCTACTTATACGGTATTTGTCCGAACAGCCCCATCCGCCTTCTGCCATTGCACTTTACAACCTCACACCTTACACAACGACCATGAGTATACCGTCTCTCAGCCGCGCATGGAAACCTCTCGTATTTCCGAGCAAATGTTTCGTCCTTCTGACCTTGGACAAGAAGGTCGAAGAGGAGACGCTGCCGGACTACGTCGCCTCCCGATACTATCCGGTCCGGATCGGCCACATCTTCCGAGACCGCTACCAAGTCGTGGGGAAGCTGGGGTACGCCATCACCGCGACCGTGTAGTTGGCACGCCATCTGAGCTGAGTCAGTCGCACTCCCCGTCCCTGCACGCACCTGCTTACTCAACCGTCGGTTTCAGCCCATGTCGGCTGCATGTCGAATGGCTTGGGTGAGTCCACGCTAATCCGCCTGACACTTCTCTCTCTCTTTTCCACCCGCAGGGCTGGGACGCATTCGAGGGCGAGCACCCCTTCACCGACCACGATCCTGAGCTGCACGCTGTGCTTTGAGAGGCGAAAAATCTCTATGCGCGTTGACCGGTCGCTTGCATAGCATGTGGCGCCGTTGAGGGCGTGCAACGCCACTCGCCGGGTTGGAACGAGGTGTTCGCCCGGTCAACAGGAAGGCAATGCGCCTGAGGAGCTTCACACCAACCAATGTCTCTGCGGTGACGTTGAAAATGGGATGATGACGCTGGGTGAGAAGGCACTTGAGCGTGTCGAGATGTTTGACACTTTGCACCATTTGTATGATGACGCCGATTCCACCAGCAGCCCGGTCCAAAGCTCCCGGACGAGGTTGTGATCGTCCTTCCCTGAGGTTGAATCTCCGCTGCGGACCAGGAGGCTGGAGACGGCTATGCTATTGTCGAGGTACAGCAGTGGCATGCGGGCATCATGGAGCAGGCGGAGAGGCTCAAGAAGCAGGAGGAACCAAGTGTAGCGTCGGCTTGATCCCACCATTACTTCGATAGTGGCTTTACATCAGTTTAAATGAGTGCTTTTAGGGGCAGAAGCCTTCGGATATCGTCTTTGACTCCCTACCAAAATGCAAATGTTGCCCCACACCTACGGCCGGGTGTTTTCTCCGCCTGCCTACGTAGATATGAATTTCGACACTCACCGCAACGCCAACACCCTCGACCGCTCCTGCCACCCCGCAACATACATACATGCCTGTATCCTCGCCCAACTCACCGTCACCGCCGCCCCTTCCCAGAGGTGCACCGTGCGCTGTGATGACACTCATCTGGTGGTACACCTCCATCTCCGTCTGCGTGTTTCACTCCGTCTCCTCCAGCTCAGCAGTGGTAAGATGCCAGACTATGTGGTTTGTTGGAGCACTTTCCAGGACGAACTCGACGTCTCTGGCGTTGACTTTCGCCTTCCAGTGCATTGCTGCCAACGATCCTCACCGTAGAACTGATCAGAGTTCGCCGCACACGCCGCCTCCTACCAGGCGCAGAGAAAGAAAGGCAATCCTTGATTGAACCAATGCCTCCGAGCGGTTCTTGGGAACGATCTGGCATCTAATACCTCACAGTACCCCGGTATAAAGCACCCACCAGGTCGCCTTCGTTTCGCTCGGCATGCCACTCGTTCGGTGCATCCAATACGATTGATCTTCATCATCTATTGCAACAAAAAGTATTTCAATAGAGAACACTAACAAAACCGAGTCTCTTGGGTGATCACAGAGGCGTGGCTTCAGCCGGACTGTTTGTCCTGAATAGTTTGCTGAAGCTGGTATTACGTTGTGTTTATATACATGATAAAGAACAGCGATATCGGCAAGGAGTGACGTCGATGATAAGCACCATGATATCACGGTGCTAAACCAGCATTTTCCTGCTGATGATCGTGATGTAAATCTTTGCTTAGCAGAATTGGACAAAAAAGTAAGAAAACACGTATAGTCCTCTTCCTCGCTTTTGTGTATACGAGATGACACTGCGGCTCGACAGATATCTCTTTTGAGACAGATCCTTCTGACCGTGACATGTGGAAGATAGCCTTTGGACCGTTCGCGAAGAGTGGTGGCCAAAAGCAACCAGTATTCGCCTCCGTGGACACCAATACCCTACCATGACCTTGTACCTTGAAACGAACAAACAAGTCGTTTAATTCACAGAAGACATGGATATTGATATTAGACTTCGTTGCCAAGGCAGCCAGCGATAAGAAGGCGCGTTAGCCGCGAAGTTACTTGCTCATGAAGTGGTGGAACAGCGGCCGCTGGCAAAGTTGGCACCGGCAAAAACTGCCAGTGGAGCTACGTATATGCAATAATCAGACTCAGCATGAGTAAAAGGACCAACTTTCACATTGGGAGGAAATGTCGTGATTAGGGTTGGGGAAGGCGACAGCTGACTGGTCAGACGAGATGGATAGAGTGGGACCGGAGATGATCCTCAATATGAGACGAGGAGCTGGACACCATCTTCACGCAAGCAGTTAGCACGATCCGAACGTGATTACTACGTAAGCGGAGGCAAATGCAGAACGGACATAGCGCCCTATCGTGGCTCGGTCACTTTCCCTTTTCGAGATTTACCCTCGACATCCGGCCCGTCCTTACACCTAAACCTTCGAACGTCTCCACTTCAGAGGACAACACCTGCGCTGGCAGTCAGCAAAATATGGAACGATGAATGAATTCGATCATCTCCGGGGCCAAAAATCTCTTTCGCAGTTTGATGGATGCGTTGGAACCACTTTTCCCACTTCGGTTCCCACTTCGGCCCCCACGACCAGGGTAAAATGATCCACTCAAGGCCCTGGATTGAGAGGCTTGGCGTCGGCCACAGGAACCACCACTCAGGCCGCGTAAGCGACGTTCTTATCAGATGGTGCTGTGGGAAATATAAACATCACGCAGGAATACCAGGTCCAAACATCAACGACAGGGCCAAGTCAAAGGATCCTCACAGCGCACCATGGGTAAGGAGACGTTCTGCATTCGCCCTCTGGGCCATGAAAATGGTCCCGAAACGGAGGTCTTCCAGATGAGCGACTTCGACTACCTCGCCCCTCCCGTCTACACGATGCTGAGCCTCTGCTACAAACTGGACGAACAGCAGAGCCGCGACACGATCGTGCAGAATCTGAAAGAATCTTTACAGATCACGGTGGATCAATACCGCATTGTCGCTGCAAGGGTGCAAACGGAAGCTGGCACTGGGAGGCTGTCAGCTGTGAGGAAGAGAGATGGAGGCGTCAACTTCACCATCAACGTCATGAACGAGGCGGATGATTTCCTGGACTTTGAGACACTCAACCAAGCGAATTTCACCTCCGAGAAGATGGACGTCAACAAACTGTTCCCCGACGAGGTTTCCAAGCGCATCGCCTCCATATTCCAGGACACTTCGGATCCACCAGCCGTGGTTGTGCAGGCCAATTTCATCCGCGGTGGGCTCATCCTATGCGTCGCCGCTCACCACCGCATATCTGATGGTCAGTTCCTTGACTCTCCCAGCCACTTGGTCAAACTAACATGGAAATCCATAGGCACGGGAACAAACCAATTTGTCAATCACTGGGCCGCCAATTCACATGCGTTGAGTACCAAGGCTGCACTTCCCGCCTTCGACGTGTCCCGCCTCGATCGTAGCCCGCTATGCTTCCGTGGACCACCGCCATCCGAAGAGCGCATGGCCGAGCTGAAGCAGCAAATCGGTTTCGTCCACCACGCCGGTGAAGGCGACAACCCACAGCCATCCACAGAGCCCATCTCCCTCATCACACTGCACTTCCCCAAGACCAAGCTCGCCTCGCTCAAAGCCGACGCGTCCCCAACGCCGCAAGACGCCCAAGGCCGAAGAGACTCAGCCACTTCCTACTCCAGCGACCCGGAAAAGTCGACGTCTGCCGAAGACGCCGCGCTCGGCAGCTCGACAACAGACACAACCGCCGCCGCCCCCGTGTCCTGGATCTCCACCTACGACGCCATCGTCGCCACAATCTGGCGCGCCGTGACCCGCGCCCGCCTCCCCGTCTTCCACTCCCTCCCGGGCGGCCCACCCGCCACGTCCTCGCAGCTCCACGCCGTCGACCTCCGCAGCGTCGCCGGCGTCCCCGCCACCTACTACGGCAACGCCATGGCGCTCCCCACCCAAACGCTGCCCCTCAGCACGTTGACCTCACTCCATCCGCCCGCGTCATCCTCCCCCTCCCCATCGGCGCACGGTCACCAGCCCGCCGACCCCAGCCTCGCCGCCGTGGCAACCGCGATCCGGGCGGGCATAACGCGCTGCTCGACGCGCGCCACCGCGGCCGCGACGGCCGAGTGGATCGCCGGCACCGCCGACAAGAGCCGCGTCACGCTGCCGAACCTCATCGGCACCGGCCTGTACTGCACCAGCTGGCGCTCCATGTCGTACTACCGCACCGCCGACTTCGGCTTCGGCCTGCCCAACCGCGTGCGGCGGCCCCCCATCGTCGCCGACGGCATCGCGTTTGTGTATCCGCAGCGCCCCGAGGAGTGCGGGGCGGCGCCGGATGAGGGGATCGATGTGGTGCTTGGGTTGGCCAAGGGGACGGCGGGGAGGTTTTTGGCGGATGAGGAGTTGTTGAGGTATGCGAGGGTGGTGGAGGGGTAGGTGGTGGAGAGGTGTGTTTGGGTCGTTGCTGTAGAGCCAATGTGGAAGAGTGGTCCCGTTTATGCTTGGCTGGGTTGACAATTTGTACCACGAAAGAAATGACATGGTCGAATATATGAACTACAATCAGCAGGCGATGAATTGGGGACATGGCAGGCACAAACCGCAAAGATCAACCTTGCTCTTCTCCGCAAGGATGCCCCAGCGTGTTTCGAGGAGGACGCGGTTCATGATGCCCTGGTGTTGGGCCGTGATCTACCATATGTCTACGGCAAGTCTTCGCGTTGCATGCCGCGAGGGTTGAACTGATGAGAATTATGAAGGCATCTCCTGATTCACTCCTTCGTTCGTCCAGTACTTGTCGGAGCTGCGAGTCGTGATTGAGCCATTGCATACCCCCAACTGAGATGACTGGTCAATGTACAGCCTGGAACAACGGGTGATACTATTCATTGGTCTATGCTGAGGCGTCGGCCAGGCAACCATGAAAGTGGTGGATGCGCCTGAGACCTGAATTCGGGCAATATCTCGGAACAAAGAGTAACCTCAAATAAAGCTACTAAAGGCTCCCTTCCTTTAGGACCGACTTGACCAATGTCTTCCGAGTTTGTATGGTCAACTACTTGGTTGTCTTCCACTCAGGTAGGAAGAGCAAAAGGGGCAGATGGAACTGAAAATATCGCGAGAAGGAAAAGGATTGTTGAAGTAGCCGATAGCCGTAACAATTGTAATCAGCCGAAAAAGAAGGGCTATGATGATGACGAGCATTGCCTGGAAGATCATGATGGAAGTTGAGATTCAAGCCACGGTCTTGAGTGAGAGACAATTAGGCTTCGGGCCGAGGTTAAAGCTACTGCAGCCGCGGCATATATCACGTGCTATGATGCCTTCCAGACTTGGGATGGTTTTGGTGTCTTTCACGTGATGGGACACCACTTCACTGCCGCAGTGCCGGTAATTAAATGTGCAGTGCCCTTCCAGCGCTGTTCGAATGCAACACGGATTCCTGATTGGGCTAACTGCTTGGCAATGCTGTGAAGACTTAAACATGCTATACGTTCAAATTCACCGGAAAGTCCAATTTTGCAGCTAAAGATTGCTTGAATCTAATGGATTGACTCCTCTAAGGGGCTAACGCTTCGTAGGAGACTAAATACAAGATGAGGGAGCTAGCCCTGATTTGGTGTTCTATTCTGGGTATCTACTATCGTGCGGCGTCTCGATCTTCAACACAGATGACCTAGGTGCGGACATCGGGATCGCCATCGCGACCATCCCTGTAGCACCCTTCAGCTCATGCTTGGTGGTGGGCTCGGCGGTGGGCTCAGCTGAGATGCTTTGCACAATGGTTCGCAAAACCAGCGAGATATGGTTTGATACAATGCCTGATGTGGAAGGAGAAGTAGAGTCATCAGCCTTCCAAAATTAAGGGAAAGGAGAGAAAAAGATAGCTACGCTCCAGGGATAAACAAACGGAACTGGGATTCCGCAAGTGGCACTCTACGTCCGTTGCTGAATTTCCCATCAAATTCTGCAGAGGCTATGGAGGTGGTTCCGCGTCCGGCGGGTAGTGCGGAGTTGCTCTTATCCAGATCGATCATACCTACCATCCGAATATCACCCGTTTTGACCTGTCGCATCCTCGGAATCATACCTAACCTGCATTGAGCATTCCCTTGTAAAAATTTTCAGTGCTACCATTCCGAAGCAAGAAGGGACTGTACAATCGATGCAACAATTTCCGGAAAAAGTTAGTGGGGCTGCGCTGCGCCCCACACGAAGTGGAAAGTGGCCAGCTGAACAGATGCGGGCCTTTCGAAATAAAAAGTAAATACGGTGAGGAGAAAATAGAAGTTGGGGGCCAAACACTGCAGCATTAACAGGCAGCTTCACAGCCAAGAAGGCCGACTTCGGTTTTTTTTTTCTTGCCTTCCTACTTGGGGAAAATGTGTTACAGTAGCGATTCGTTTCGCCGATGATTGTCCACTTCACGGCCAATATATAATCGGGGCCACGAGTACCAATTCGCAACAACAGCTTCACCTTACAAAATATTTGTCCATGGCACACGACAACAACACTTTGTCCGTTACACAAAGCGTTCTGGACATTTGGAACGATGCACAGGCCGAATTCTTCAAGTCATCCTCCATACCGCGGAGCGAGTGGGATGAAACTGCAGGATCTGTGAAGAAGCCTGAGGTCTTGCTGGAGAGATTCCGAAGCGCGCGACACCCGGACGGCCGATTCAACAAAGCGTGCGAGGTTGTTGGAGCTCACCTCAGCCAGATTCAAAGCGCAGTCAGCCTCGTCAAGTTCACAACAGACACAGTTGCAACGGTATGTTTGGAATGATGCCCGTCATTCATCAGCCCGCAGCATGGTTGTTGATTCGTGAAACCTTAGTTCGCGCCTGTCGTTTCGCCAGCTTCGGTCGTAGTGAATGCCTTCGCTTGGCTTTTCAACTCCTTCGCAAAGGTTTCTGACGACTTCGATTCAATCGAAGATTTTTTCCAGAAGATGGCGAGCCACTTCGACAACTTGTCTCTTTTAAGCGGCCAGTTCGGCCGTGTGCAAGAGCTCGACCTCTTGAAGAGATGCATCATTGAGCTGTTCGCATCCTCTCTCAAAGTCTGCGAGATTGCCATCGAACAAGCAAGCCACAGAACAAGTAGGGACGAAAATTTTATTTTGCAAGCTCAACATGCTAACCCCACCTCTCAGAGACATGGCTGCGCAAGTTCGCCGACATGGACACGCTGAAAGACCCACTGTCGAAGATGGCCAAGGCGGACAGCAACCTTGGCCGTTGTGCTCAGATGACGGGTCTGGCTATTGGTACGAAGACATACGCCGCAACCGGAAGAATCGAACAGGGAGTTGAGGAAGGCAATGAAAGAGGCGAGCGACTCGAGTTCCAGCTCAACAGGGTTCAGCAGAGCAACGAATTCGACCAGCGCGATGCCATACTCGACTGGCTGTCGCCACTAGACTTCCACCAGGTGCATCGAAGCTTGGAGCAGCGAGTCTCTGAGAGCCCTGTCGCCGGTAAATGGCTTCTACAATCCCAGACCTTCGAACACTGGCGCGACCAGGATCTCCATCGACTCTGGTATAAAGGAAAGCGTAAGACATACCTACACGTAACCACATATTTATAGCCGAGACTGACATCATTTAGCTGGCGCGGGCAAAAGTGTTCTAGCGTACGAGCCGTTCCTTTATACGACCTTGAACAGGAAGCTAAGCTTAAACCAGGTCCATTGTCGTCAATCACCTGCAAGAGTGGGTGGAAAGGCACAGCCCCCGGCCTAGTGAAGCCTTCGTCACGTGTCTGTATCTATCATACAAGGAAAAGCCCGACCTGGAGCACCTCCTCGGAAGCATAGCGCGCCAGATCCAGTCTCGTCTGCCTGAGATTCATCACAAGATCCAGGAAAAATTCCAAGAGTATCGACAAAGCGGGAAGGGCTCCGATGGCAAATTCCACAATCCGTCACTGGCTGATATCAAGACGTTACTGTCCCTGCTGGTCACAGACTCAACCTTGTATGTCGTCGTTGACGCCATGGACGAGTGCGCTTTCGACATCCGTGCCCCTCTACTCGCTCACCTGAAGCAAATCAAAGTCAACATCAAGATCTTGGTGACTTCCAGAAACATGAATCATCTTGACAAGCTCCAAGAAGGATTCGAGAGGAAGGACATCGAGGCTCACGACGATGACATGAAAGAATACATCCAAGGCGTCATTCAGAAGCATCCAATTCTCGAAGGCTACAGCGACGAGATTCAAGACGCAGTTTGTCGCAGATCCGGAAAGATGTAAGCATCACGCCCTCCATATCCCATCTTAACCTTTGCGAACGAGCTTATACTAAGACTCCACAATCAGGTTCCTAATCGTCAGACTTCATATGGATGCATTGGCAGATGTTGAAGTACCGGCAGAAGTCTCGGATGTCCTTGAGACTCTGCCAGAAACCATCCGAGGCAGCTACGAGAACACAATGGCTCGCATTCGTGACGGCACAAGATCGAAACAGCAGTACGCGAGGACCATCCTTGCTTGGATCACTTATGCCCAGCGAGCGCTCTCTGTTCGCGAGCTTCAGCATGCCATCGCCGCGGAGAGATCTTCGGGGAAAATCGGCAAAAGAGATCTGCTTCCAGAACGGGAGATCACCTCGTTTTGCTGCGGACTAGTCATCATCGACCTTGATCAAATGGTCCGTTTCGTCCATTACTCAGCTCATGATTACTTCCAAACCATCAAGAGCAAGGAATTCCCGGACTTCGAGAGCCGCGTCACACTCGCCTGCGCCAGGTATTTTTACATGGCATCATTGCAGCAACCGCGCGAGGACAATGGGTCCTCAGGGACTGATAACACGACCGTCGACGTGCTCGATGAGCTGCCACTTGCTCGCTATGCGGGAGAGCATCTTCATCGGCATTGCCGCCGGGTTTCCATCACCTCGGACGATTCAGATCTCTCCAAAGCAGTCCACACTCTCGTTCACAACAAGGCAAGCCGAGAATTCTACAGTCGCCTCCTTTTCGAATTCAAAACCTACTACAGCAAATCATCCATTCTAGACGGAAACGACCGCCGGTGGAGTGATTTCGACACTCCAGGTGCACCGCTGGGGCTGTTGCACATGGCTGTTTTTCTAGGCTGTACTGCGCTTGTTGAAGAAATGGTCAAGGATGGCATAGCGGACGTCAACGCAATCGACCCTTACGAACAGTCGGCTCTCATCGTTGCTCTTAAGAACGGCCTTGACGATGTCGCCGGAGTCCTGCTTGACTCTGGGGCAAGCGTTGATCTCTTGTCGAAGAGGGGACATGTGGCCTTGCTCTACGCGGCAGAGAGAGACTACACAAAGGCAGTCGAGAAGATGATTGGTATTCCCATTGTCCCTAAAGTGGACGGTATACTTCTGATCATTGGTCTCTTGGCCGAATTCCTATTCATGATCATGAAGCTTGTGATCTCGAGCAACTTTCTTGCCAGAAATCTACCAGAAAGCGCCCAGAAGGCCCTACATGGAGCACCTCTAGCGGAAGCTGAGACAGTGGACACCATGGAAGTGGACAGATCACTTGACAGGTACAAGGGACTTCTTCCGCTAGCCTACAGAGGTGATGCGGACGGCATTCTTGCTCTACTCGACTGTCGTGCATCCGATTGCATTGATATGCGATTGGTGAAGAGTAGAAGTGTCGAGGATGACGAGTATTTCTACGACAGCGATGACGACAGCGATGACGACGACTACGGCTATTTCTACAGCGGCTTTAGCAGTAGCGACGATGGAGATGGCGATCACGATGACAGCGACTCCGAAAGCTTTGGAGAGGAACTCAATGACCACGAAGGGACCGATAGCGGCTACGGGGACGACCGCGATAGCAGTCCTGGCCACGTACAGAAAGCTTCTGCGGAGGAGAAAGCTACAGGAGCGACATGCAAGAAAAAGCAGGTGGACATGACTGAGATAAAAACTGCTTTCTTGAAGACGGCCTGTTTCTTAGCAGCTGAGCGCGGGAATCATGATACAGTCGAGGTGCTTCTGGAGCATGGTGTGAACCCGAACCTGAGGAACTTTCAAGGACAACCCCTACTGCACAGAGCGACGGCCAGAAACAAACTCGACACAGTCAGACTTCTCCTGGAGCACCATGCGAAGGTAGATCTCAGAGATGCAAATGGTAGAACGGCTTTGATGGCGAATGCCGACGTTGGAAAAGACAAAGGTAAAGCGCCCCATGATTATAAATTGTAATTTCGCCGTCGTTTTATACTAATACTTTTTTTTTCTCAAAGTCCTTAGTTTACTCCAAGAACACGGCGCGAGAACAGATCTCACGCAAAGGGAAGGTATCCACGAGCTATACGAAGCCGCAGTGTTTGGGGCAGTTCCAGTCGTCAAGTTCTTCCTCGAAAACGGCACAGATCCTTCCATTACAAACCATTTCGGGTGGGCACCACTGCATGGTGCTGCCGCCAACGGACATCTGGAGTGTGTACGTCTCCTTCTGGAAAGGGGAGCGCATCCTTCCCCGATTTCCGACACCGGGACAACACCTCGCGATTTTGTCGCTCGTGGGGAAACGCACTATGACAGTATTCTCACGGGGAAAAAGCATTACAAGGCTGAAGACCAACCAACGGATAAGCTGAGTACAGCCGATGTGGAAGCCCGGAGAGATGAAATCATGAGCTTGCTCTTCAGGTATGGGGCGAAGACTGCTGACGAGCTATACGAGGCTGTTGAGCGTGGAGAGCTCGATTCCAGCAAAGCCCAACGGGCCGAGACCAACTGGACTGACGACGACTGGTGGACAAAACGTAGAGCATATCAGTACCGAAGACAGAGGAACAAGAGGAAATAGCGTAGGAGAGGATGCTATTCATGCTTAGCTTCTTTTGCTTTGATTTTGGTTCCTGTTTTTTGTAGGTAATAATCATACGTGCTTGATGCGATTTCGATTAAATGTGAATGCGCAAACAACGTTCTCACATACGCTAAAGTGAAAGCTGTCGCTTGGTGCCGAAAACAGTAATGCTGCACTCCCTGTACGATGGTTGTCAAGGAAGACGGAACCTTAAGGTAAAGCTTATCATTACGACTATATCAGCCTCAAGCCAAGTTCGACAACGATGCAAACCCCAGACATGCAAATTGGCGAGGCAGGCTTATATAAGTGTCGCGTTTGCGAAAGCTGGCCATTGGAATGGGAAGCGAGGAGAAGGAGACATACCAAGGCGAAATGATTTTGGATCTGCAAACACGGCAGCGCACCGTTGAAATTCGGTGTCGGTGGAAAGATACGAGAGCCTTGTTGGGCTGAGGTGATCGGACCGAAATGAGAGCTCGGGCGGAGGACAACTCGAGAGCAAATCACTTCACCGCGCTAGGTAGCATCATCCTGATTGGCTACGTCATCGATAAGCATTTCCTTCCGCTTTGATAGTAGATATGCTGAAGCACTCATTCCTTCAAGATGTGGTTGTTTTGATGTTTTTCGTCCTCCTCCATCTCCTTCGCCTCCGTCTGTTCCAACCAAAGGCCATCAGTTGGCCGAGTTGCACTCGTATCGCTTCAAACACGTGTATCGAGCAGATCCGTTTTGGTCGTATTTGTGGTCTATTTTTAGCGGTATCACGCTTGGCGGCGAATCCTGCCGAGCCAGTAGGCCCGTAAAGGCGGAAACACCGGTTCCGCCTTAGGATTTACTGTGGAGACGTTGGTATCACTCATTATAAGAATACGGACAGATCCCAACCACAGGAGACGAGTGGTCTCTGTCTTCACCAACGCTCACTTTCCACCACCGTTCGTTGCATTTTATCAAAACTTACTCCAGAATGGCGGCTCAAAATTGGTTGCGGGCGGCGATTGTGTCGAGTGTCTGCCTCGGCCTCGCTTCTGCCGGTCAGTTTCCTTGAAGTTCCTCTTCTTGATGATAGTTGATACTGACTGCAACAGACGACTGTTCCGGAACCACTACTATCAGCAGCAATGCCGACGCAACATCCTTGGCCGAGGCTTGCAAGACATACTCGGGAATCGTTGCTGTCGCTACGGGAGCCTCGGGCGACCTCAGTCTGGAAGTCGAACGCAGCTCGTATGCGATCGGCAACACGGGCATCTCGTCACTCGACGGCGGCGCGTCGGACGCAGTGCTGGAAGACATCAACGTGTACTCGAACAAGGACCTCGAAGACATCACCATCGACTGCACCCACGCCGACAACATCACCATCGGTGCGAACAGCGACAAAGCCGACATCTCGTTCCCCAACCTCAAGGAAGCCGTCGACATCGAGATCGCCAACGCGTCGGCCATCGACCTCTCCGCTCTCGAGTCCCTTCCGCGCGGCGCGCTCCACATCTACGGCGGCAGCCTGGAGAAGCTGGACCTGGCAGCCTTCACTGAAGTCAGCGACGGCCTCATCCTGGAAGACCTGCCCAAGCTCACCCAGCTCTCGGCGCCCGAGTTCACCCGCATCATGGACCGCGGCGCGCTGACCATCAGCAACACGGGCCTGACGGAGCTGTCGCTTCCGAAGCTGCAGTTGATCTACAGCTCGCTGTGGCTGGAGGGAGACTTTGAGAGCGTGGACCTGCCGCTGCTGACGTCGGTGGGAGGCGACATCTACATGAAGGGTGCCAAGAGCTTTGACTGCGATGCCTTCAGCGAGCAGTTCTCCAAGCTGGCCACGGGGGAGCAGACGTTCAAGTGCGTTGCCGGCGACGATTCGGATGAGTCGGATTCCGAGGCCTCGAAGCCTACTGCGTCATCCTCTTTCAACTCGGCATCGTCGACGAAGACTGCCGCAAGCAGCAAGTCTGCGGCCGCCACGTCGGGTGCTGCCTCGTCGGGCGCTGCTTCGTCGGGCGCCGCCTCGTCGGCTGCCGCCTCGTCGGCTGCCGCCACTCCTACCAACGCATCCTCTGCTGCTTCATCGTTTGGCGTGGGCATGGCAACGCTCGGAGGTGTTGTCGGCCTTGTTTCTTTCTTTTTGTAGCTGTGCCCGGTTGGGATCTGTTCAACGTGTAGATTATTCGTATACTAATACATATATATGCTGTCATGATGAAAAAAAAGCATGAGAACATCACCTACGCACCCATCTCCGCTATCTTCGTCCGTCCATCCATCTCCATCACCGGCCTCTGAATGCCTCCTCCATTCCCCAGCTCAAAGCGGTGGCTTTCATGATAGCTGCTTGCCTGATAGACGCCACCGCCATGATAGCCCTGCCCCTCCACCCCTGCAGGCGCGAACCCCATCGGCTGTTGGAGCTCATGGGCATTCGACGACTGCGGGTAGTGCCCGTCGTCCAGCTGCGCCGGCTGCTGCTGCTGCCCGGCATCCCGCTTCCTCCGCTTCATCAAACAGCAGAACATGACCGCCGCGGCAACCAGTCCGACGAGACCAACAATCCCGCCCACCACGCCGCCGACGATAGCACCGGTCGACGTGCCACCACTGCCGCCTCCCCCTCCTCCCGCTCCCGCCGTGCCCGACGACGCCGACGCCGACGCCGACGCGGAACCAGACCCAGACCCCAACGACGCCTCCGACACCGACGACGAAGCAGCCTCACTCGCATCCGCCCTCTTGGCCGACAGCGCCGACGCCGGCGCCCACGTCACGTTCATGGACCAGCTCACGGGATCGCTCCAAAACGTATCCACCGCGCTCACCGCGACCGTCGTCCAATTCGTCGTCGCGGTGACGGTATTCCCGTCCTCGTCCTCGGCGTACGTGCACGCGAAGTCGACGACGCCGAGCGCGGGCCACGTCCAGCGCGCGCACCGCGGCGACGCCGTGTCGGTGCAGCGCAGCGCCAGCGCGTCCGACCGGCACCCGGCGTCGGTGCACGCGGTGGAGAGCTGCGCGCTGTCGTAGCACGTGCTGTACCAGTTGCACGTCTCGTACGACGTGTCGGCGCAGCAGCCCGCCATGCCCGGCGTGGTGCCCGTCGAGTGGAAGAAGACGCAGGAGTAGGCGCCGCCGCAGTAGAGGGCCGAGTCTGGGGTGTGGGGGGGTTGGTTAGTGCGAGGGCTTACGTCGGGTGGGAGTGGAGCGGGGGAAAAGGTGTGCACGTACCGGCGTTGCTGTTGATGAAGCCGCAGGTGTTGAAGCTCGCGGTGGATGAGTCACGCGGTCGGAGGGCGGCATGGTGGAGGGACGGGCCGGCGGTTATGGAGGGGATGGCGGTGCGGGTGCGGTCGGCGATGGGGACTTGGACGTGTTTGTATGCTGCAAGTGATGGCGTCGTCGTCGATGTGGCCGGCACAGAGGGGATGATGGCCGAGGCGGGCACGGCCATCATGATGCTGATGATCTGCAGCCAGGCGCGGATAGAGCGGAAGCCCGACATGATTCAGGCTCAGGCACGGCTGCTGCTTCTTCTTCGCCCAACAACACGCCTTGCAAAAGTCGCGAGAGGGGCAGATCTCTCGACCGACGAGGCAAAGTCGCAGATTAAATACTCTGAGCCCCTGTGGAGATGGACATGTCCGAATAAGGCTGCGGCGACGGTTGCCAAGCGCGCTACAGAGTGAAAACTTACCGGGTCGGGTAAGGCTGCTCCCGCCTCAGCTAGGCAGACACGCCGTGGCGTTCCCCACGGCTCCCTGCTAGTCCGACTTTGCGCAAAACAGCCGTGTCTGCTCATACCCTCTCCGGTGCCGCCGCCAATCATTTGCTAATGGTGAAATAGATCATCCTTTGGGCGGTGTCGAGCCCGGAACCGTTGTTCCTTCTTGGTTTTTCCTGCTGGATCCTGATCCTTGCTCAATCTCGGAGTCATCCGAGAGTTCTACCTTGTCTCGTAGTGGTCGTTACCAGAGCATCCGTACACCAGCCTGATGATATCGAAACTGGTGGCCGATACGGCACAGAACACTTATCAAGTCTAGTGTGGTAGTGGGCTGCATCTTATTATCTCGTGTGCCTCCTGCAGCATTGGTAAGGCACATCTTCGGCATCGTCGAGTTGGGTGATTGGCGGTGGGAGACGAGGGCTCTGCGGCCGTGCAGACAGTGCTGATACCTTCATCACGCAAGCGAGTGTATCCAACACTACAGAACAGGAAGCTTGGGGGGAGTGCTGCCGATGGAAATTCTCCATGATCAGAGAGAGACAAAACTCCAAGTCTTTGGACTCGCGAGACTACTTTGTGACAGCATGGTGTGGGGATGAGAATGAGGCAAACGTGAGGGCAATCACGGTAGTTTCAGGGAGCTGCGAACGATATTTAACCTGTTGAAGTTTATCTGCAAGCTCCGCTCTGGTGAGATGCAGCCGGCTCCCGTAGCGACCTGGAAAGCTGGTGGTGCATACTGATGATGCTGATCAACATGTAAAACTCGGTCTGGAGCGTTGCAAATCCAGGCTTTTAGCGGAGTTTTTCAACTGAAGTTCTGGACTCTGTAGAGACTGCTGGCATGAATCCAATGTGAAGCATTGTTCACGACAAGTCCATGCCGCCAGACCCCATCCAGATATCCGTTTCGAGAGCGTATAGGGTTTGAATGGGGTCATGCGGGGTTTCAATGACCAAATGGTCAATCCCACCTCCAAAGGTTAGCCGCATTGCGCCATACACCAAAGCCGTGGCCGCAGATAAGGCAATCGAGAGCCACCATTATTGTGCTATAATCACCAGATTGAGCTGCACATCCGAGGTCTATTGGAAACATGGACCGGATGTTCCTTCACATGTGGCCGAAAGCGTGGAGGCTTCCTTGGACGATGGGTGCTTCAGCCGCACACTAAGACTTGCGCTGAGAACCCTCATTCCGTTTCCGTCTATGCCTGAGAATCACCCGTGACAATTTTATCCTTGTTTCCAGACAATCTGCTTGTATATACGGCTACGGCTATGATATCCACCGCGTGGAAACAGTGGTTACGAATGCGACCATGTCTGGACTACGGCGATGATAGCTGTGATCTCATATGATGCTGTTTCCGGGGTGTCCTTCGATCGAACAATCTCGAGTGGCATCAAGTGCTTCGCTAAACATGTGATAGCGTTTGGCTTAAAATGAAGCCTTGTCACCTCAGAAAGCTCCATCAAAGCCATCATCTTCCATCTTCCATCTTTCATCATGAAAAGACTCATCATTTGCTGCGATGGCACGTGGTACAGTGCCGATAAGGGACGCGATTGTATCCCCTCCAATGTCGCTCAAATCAGCCGCATGATTGCCCCTCACGGCAAAAGAGCAGAGACAGGAGAAATCGTGGAGCAAGTCGTGTACTATCAGACGGGCGTCGGAGCAGGCCCGATGAGCACGCTTGACAGTGCTTGGCAAGGTAAGCCTCAACAAGAGTGAGAAGCTTTCGTTCGGGGGGTGTGCTAAATTTTCGACAGGAGCCACAGGTGCTGGCCTTGAGGAAAACGTGACCACGGCATATCACTACCTCGCAAACAATTATTTAGGCGGCCCGAATGACAAAGACGTGGATGAGATTTTCTTGTTCGGCTTCTCACGTGGCGCCTACACCGCCAGAGCATTGGCCGGTATGGTAACTGAGATGGGACTTCTTTGGCCCCAGGAGCTTCACCACTTCCCAGATCTGTACAAGGTCTACAGTCGACACGGAGAGAGGGCCGACAAACATGATGAAAATGAGAATGAAGAGAAGGGTGATGAGGATTCCGCTATTGGAGTCGAAGATGAAGTTCATTGCAGCGGCACCGATGAGAGTCTTAGGACCATCAGGTACACGGGAAAGTTCTGGAAGACTGCGGAGGAGACGGCGAATAGTATCGACAAAAGTTTGTGGGACAGGATCAAGATCTTCCACCCGGACAATGCCGATAATGATGATAGTCATATCTATCATATAGTCAGAATCAAAGCCATCGGTGTATGGGATACGGTAAGTGGTTCCGCAACGGGGAAGAAGAAGAAAATTGACTAAGAAATCAAAACGCAGGTGGGCAGCAGGGGCCTTCCTGAAAGTGCATTCACGTCAGCGACCGGGTGGAACAAAGGATACCAATTCCATGACACTGCACTGAACAGGAGTATGTCCATGACCGATCTACGAAAATCATGGTTTGGCTGACGACCGCTGGGTTAGAAATTGACCACGCATTTCACGCACTCTCACTTGATGAGCATCGCGGAGCGTTTCAGCCAACAATGTGGTATCTTGATCACCCAGAGTCCGATTACGGCGCTACTACAGACCTCAAGCAGTGCTGGTTCCCAGGTTTCCATGCCGATATTGGTGGTGGAACGACCGACAACAAATCGACACAGACGTCGGGAATTGACCAAATAACGCTGGCCTGGATGTGCGATCAGGTTGACGGTCTTTTGGAGTTCGACAAAACCGCTTGTAAAGCCCTCTTGTTCAAAGACGAGCTCTCCTCGGGACGGACAGAATGGGCTGAAGAGGATACCCACGACTCGATCGGCTGGTACAAGCTGCCAGCCGCTGGAGGGGATGTGGTCCGCACTCCCGGTATGTATAAGAAAAAGCTCGCCAACAAGACGTGCGCCAGAAAGAAGGGCGACTTCGTTACGAACGAGACAGTCCATCCTTCAGTCCGCTGGCGCATGTCCAAGAAGACGAACTACAACCCCCCCGCATTCAAGGAACATTTCGGCGTGCTCCAGACCAATGGCCCCGCGTGGGAATACAAAGAGCTGGATGATCACAACGAGTCGGGAAACGGAGCCTGGTGGGTGCGGCCAGAAGTGCCCGAGAAGAAAAGTCTGATCTGGGGCACTGCAGATGGCGAGAGAATAGTTAAGCTCGATGAGTGGTGGATTCGTGAGGTTCAAGACCCCGATCGTCTTAACCTAGAGTGGAACCTTCTCCCTCATGCAGTGCAGGATACGCTTAGCACGAGGAACGAGTACAGACCCCGTTCACTCAAGCTTCTCCAAGAAGAAGACAAAGGAAAGTATGAGTTTCCAATATTTTGCCGGAACGAATATTAATGAATTTGGGAAAAGGAGGGCAGAGCAATTCTTGTGCGGTATCTTGGTAGTTTCAAGGAGATGTTCAAATTGTCTAGTACAAATATCAACTTGGTCATATACTAAAAGCCGAGCAGTCTCATTGAAAAACATGGTGATAACGCGTTGCTTTAAAATGTGGGGCGACGTTTGCCTACCGCAAACACAATTAGTAGCCGGGCGTAGAGCAGCTACTCTGCTAAGCCCGTAGTAGTTTTCCCCATTGATATTTCGCGGACCACGACACTACAATGTTTTTCACAGATTGCTAAATGAACGTGAAACTGCTCGTATCCGATGTGCAGCAACAGCGGCGGCGAGCGTTCACCAGCAGCAGCGGCGGCGGCGAGCGCTCACCAGCAACAGCGGCGGCGGCGGCAAACATTACCACTAGCAGCAGCGGCAGCGAGCACCAAATATAACAACTACTCGAAGCTGGGGGCCCTTCTGATAGATTCTGCCTCGCCAATCTATCGACAGCACATGTTAGTACTTTTTCCCGTGCGGGCTTCCCGCTCTTGGGGTCATAAAGCCCTTACGCCCTGGGGTTCGTAACACTACGCCCGGCTGCCGGCCGAGACGCAAGCGCGCTTTCTGCCCGACGCCGTGTGCGGTGAGTTGGGTATGGCTCCCTTAAGACAGGTCCGACAGCCCTTGCTACGGTGCTTACAAGTCTTCTACCGCTGCCCGGCAGAGCGGGCAAAAACCGGGGTAATAGCAATGCCAGCAGCGATAGCGGCAGTGTTAACAGTCCCTAGTCATAACGGAGTATCCGTGTTGATCCTGGCGGTCGCAAAGGCTAAGCTTTCAGTGAAACAGCAACTTCGCTCCAGTCATCGGATACAGAATACCCCTGAGAGGTGCGGCATGTAGCCTGTAAGTGGGGGCCAACGCTAGCCCGCATCTCCCACCGTCATCTACCCTTGTAGCGACGTGCCGCCCACCAAATAGAATTTCGAACAGGAGATGTATCGCCATTGAAGCCCCCCACCATCGCTACTGATAGGAGGCGGCACAGCACGCCATCCGCATAGCGCGCACCCCAAAGGAGTACTACCCCCGCGCAAGGAGGTCAAGTTGGGACAAGATAGTCACGGCTTCGGGACTACGAATCCCGAGAGCAAAGCCGCGTGGGGGCCAATCTACCCAGCGTCGGGATGAGTGCTCTACCTAGAAGTTTACCGCATTCGCAACACTTAGGTCACTCCATGGGGATAACTTAAATCAAGACTAATACTGCCCATGTTTGCCTAGGGATAAGTACGTTAGATTTATGGACCGTTTGGCTTCTCGAGAGCCTTATCGCTGCTGTTGAATTACTAAGAAAAAGTTGCGTTAGCTTGCGGCGTAGTAAATCGCCCCCACGATGCGCGGCACGTAGGAGCCAGGGTCAACGATCTTTAGGTAGTAGTACCGACCGCAAGGTATATGAACATAAATTAAGGAGGTTCCCAGCCACGGGGTTGGCGTTCTACTTGGCCACCGACCATTTGCTACTTGCTCCCCTCAGACGATACTGCTATGATGACGACCTCTCCACACCCACTCCAGTCCATTGTTCGAGCCATTGAAGCGATAGACGGACGCAATAAACGCAGATGTTTCGCTATCGTTGACAACCTCAGCCATCGTTGCAGTGCATCCTACGTGCCGGGAGTCAAGGAGTTTGACGACGTTCTCAAAAAAGTTCACAGCTCGGGGCTACCCTTCGACAAAGTGGTCGCTAGAAAGCTCACTAATATCCTCCTCTGCAAGAAGCATCGAAAGCAAGAAGAACACGCGGAGCCCCTGTTCGAGGCGCTTCGAACCGAGGATGTTCTGATTCCGAAAACGGGATATATGACGGAGACTCACCGCGAGCAGGGCTTCTTCCTCTACCAGCCGCATGATCGACCGGTGCAGTGGCAGAGGTCGAAGAGTGCCGAGCCCCGACTGGAGCAACAACCATCGCTGCCGCCTCACCCGGGGCTGATGCATTTCTCTAGTGCAATTAGGCAGCTACTGGACAGGGAGCAGCGCTCATTCCCGTGCATCGCTCATTATAGGAAGAATGAGCGATGTGAATATGATGTAGCCCAGAAGAAGATAAAGGCCGCTCGAATAATTGTCCACCGCGCTTTCAGGGGTGTATGCGGAGAAAGACATAGAAGTGATGATAGAAGAGCCGGAAATGGAAGAGACGGACAGTCGGAAGATAACAATGAGCAAGGGAAAGGCTCACTCCGTCTCAGCCAGATTCAACCGCTCATCTGTCTTCTTCTCTGCAAGGAACACTCACATTGGTTCTGGATGGAATACTACACCAATCTCTGGAAAGGACACATCTCTCATATACTCTCCGAGATTGACGAAGACTCGGAACAGTCGGCAAGCCCCAGCGAGCCCCAGTCTCCCGTGACTACTGTGGAATCACCGGATGAGGGAGACCGCATCACGGAGCATGAAAGCGTCACCACGGGAAACACCATCTTCAACGTTGAAACCCTGATACAGACGAACTATTACTTCATGTCAACACCACCCTCGAGCTCCCAACACCAACGCATAGGCGAAGCGTCCAACACCAACTCGAACCCTTCAGCAGGAGACCGTCCCGTCACACCCAGCCAAGTCGAGCGCCATGTGCAGCATGTATCACGCACGGCCCCTCCGGGAACCAGGCGACATAATCCCCCGCCATCCAGAGGGCAGAGATTCGGCGCCCACAAGCTCTCTGCCGCCGAGCGCCCCCGCATCCAAGCGAGCCGCTCAGCGCCAAGCAGCGCGCCGACCCGCATGCCGGCCGCGACAGTCCCACGCGCGCCGCCGTCACCGACTTCTCCGTCCCCAAGCCAGGCGGCTGCAGCGCGGGGCCTTTCCCGACCAAAGGCGAGCCGCGCGGCCGAGAAATCGAGCGACCAAGCGGCGGCGATGATGATGGAGAATGAGGAGGAGGTTCAGGAGGCCATGGGCCGCCTTGCCATCACCAGCGACGACGATGACGACGACGACGACGACGACGACGACGACGACGACGACGCTACGCCACCGGACGGCTGCGAGTTCCACGTCAAGGATGCTGGCCTGAAGAGCCCGTTCGACGTGCTGGCTCGGCGCTCCGTCGACAAGCTTGAAAAGAGCCTGCGCGAGAAGATGGGCACAATGCTGAGCGAGAAGGACGGTGTCAGCCACATCTACATCTTTCAGTCGACCGAGCTCCCCAACCTCGTCAAAATCGGGCGGGCGGACAACCCGGAGACACGCCTCTCGGACATACGGGGTGCGTGTAAGTTACCGAGCCTGCAGAAACGATACGTCGAGGAGTACGTGCCGTGGGCCAAGCGCGTGGAAAAGCTGGTCCTGGCCCACCTGGATGAGCTCAAAGAACTTTGGACGTGTAAAAATGGACATTCCGGACATCGGGAGTGGTTTCGGTGCAGTCCTGAATTTGCGCAGAAGGTTATTCAGGCTTGGGCAGGATGGATCAGGCGGCAGCCGTACGCGCATCGACTTCTGCAGAGCCCTTGGCCCGAGAAGATAGAATGCTTGCGGGGAAATGCAGAGCTGAAAGAGGAAGAGACGTTCAAAGAAGTTTTCAGGCGACATCGGCAGTGGATGCAGCAGCCTTAGAGTTCATCGCTGTAAGAGGAGGAGGCGCGAGAGTACAAATGAGTGGGCGCAGCGTTGAACAAAATGGCTATTTTTTTTCTTGTGGATTGTAAACAAGTCTGTTCTACAGTATTATTTTCCTATAGCGAATCCTATCATGAGGTTTTTCCTGAGCTGTGCAGCCGCTTATTTGCGCTCAAACAGAGAGCCTGACCTGCCCGTTGGATGTTGGAACAACTCGCGAAGTTAGTCACAGGTGGCTATAGGGTCTTATGGAGGATTCAAGAAAGGCAGACAGCCCCGATTCCCTACGAGCGAATAGAAGAAACGCTTCAAGGTTTGTTTCTAAAGAGCGTGGTCCAATATGGAAACTCCATCAGCTTTGAAAGCTGCATACAGCCGCTCCACAATGAGAACTTCACCATCAAAGCCCACGCCACGGCTCCCACTGGCTTCAAACCGTCGAAGTGTTGTTCTACTTTTCATAATAGGTCCACACCTAAGGCCGACCAGCTTCGTCTAACATATTGACGGCTTCATCTCCAGCGCTCGGGTAGCCAGGGATCAGGTAGTCAACGTCGCATACATAGCTATATTTTCTTTTGAGCCACTTCGGCGCTGCAGAAGCGTTCGCGGATGGATGAGCCCCCATATGCCTCCAAAGCATTTATCCCAGCACCAGTCATCCCATGTATCTCTGTAGTCGCTGCACTACCTTTCTGGCGGTGAGGGTGGGGGTGGCGTTGAGTCCGTCATGCAATGCTACTTGCACCAATTAGTGGGCTCGCCCTGGTTCATCGAGGCTTTTTTTGTTCTTTCTATAACCTTCCTCTCTCTTAATCCCGAGCTATTTGTCTTCCCACCGAGCCACATCTACTAGAACTAGTCGAGTGCCAGCGGTCTACTGCCTTAACACCGCTTTTCTAATCTTCCTTTATCTAGATGAGCGTGCCCACTGATTTAATCCTATTATATTAAATAGCGGTGCCTGTCCCTAGAAATATAGTACTCCCACCGCCCACGATAGTGCATGCACCTCCAGTCAAGCCACATTTGCGAAAGAGAGCCGGGGCATAAATGGCATGGCCGAATATGGGAGTGTAATGTGAGGCAGGCTCTCAGCGCCAAATATAGCTTGAAAGGGTTCTAGCGATTATATAAATGTCTTATATCAGAGATTCCATTACAGAACGATATATAGTATCCTTCGGTCTCTACTGTACATTTGTCGAGAAAGATGGAGGAGGGGACTTGAGAAACAAGTACTTATATAACAAAGAAGAGATGCTTATAGTCAATCAATTCGTCCCTGTAGATCTGGATCGCCATCTATAGAGGACTATATCGTTTGTTACCTGCGTCCGTGAAGGCTTCATCGTCGTAGAAGCTTAACAGCCGCTTGAAGCTCGAAATTGGCTTTGTCAAACTTGGGAGCAATGAGGATTGACGGGAGACATGATGGACTCTTTTTCAAGTCTTGTTTGAAAATCCTTCGGAGCGCTTTGTCTTTCTTACCTACTTGCTTGACACCCATAGAATGAGGTGTCTCTCTGAGTCATCATAGACATTAAGGAGGCCAAGGACGAGTGCCTCGAGACATCGCGGCGGCCACGACAGACGCCTGCGAGCGGCTGCAGGCCGTGTGCGACGAAGTCCGCGCTTTGACGCCCGAGGAGAGTCCTGCGCGACGGGTCGCCGCCGCCCCGCTCAGGCCCAGGTTGCCCCCAGAATCCAGCAGCCAGGGCAGCAGCTCGATCAGATACAAAGGGCACTTGAGACGACCGGAATGACGGCAGGTGGACGGAGGAGGAGCCGCCGAGCCCGTGTTGGTCGGGGCGCAGTCGCAGCCAGCCGGGCATGACCGCGGCGAGCAGCAGCAGCAGCAGCATCCCGGCGCCCAGACGGTGCGCAAAGCGACGACCACTGAGAACGATGATATGATCGATGAAGACGATATGACCGACGAAGAAGATAACGCGACTGATGAAGATGACCACAAGAATAATGAAGAACACGGCATGATTGATGACGACGACACGACTGATAGGCGAGACGACGCCACGGCAGGACACCATGACACCAGTCCAACCGCACCCGGGGATGATGAGCCAGGACGGCAAGACGAGAGAAACCGGACACACGAGCCGATTCAACACGACAGCATCAACGCCGCTGGCAGAATGGAATACAAGACCGCAGCTGCACCACCACCGTCCTCCAGATCATCTACACACCCATAGGGAGATGACGACACGGGTAATCAGATGGAATCTGATTGCACACTAACCCAGGAGGACAGCGACAACAGCGGTCTAGTGGCGGCTTATCGCAGAGAGCTCCACGCTACTACGGCTTTGGCATCCGGGCCTCGGGCGACAACGAAGCCGGCAGGGATGTTGTTGTGAACCTCAAACTGGGAAAACTATTGGTGGTGATCGTAGATGGATTCGTACACTCTTGCAGGACAGAGATGTATGCGCCACAGTAAGCAGTAGCCGGAAACGGATTAGCGTGAAGTTCAGCTGAAAAGGACTCCATTATTTCTGCCTTCCATTTAACCCCAAGCCCCTCGATTTCACCCGAAAGCTAGTGCTTCATCTCATGATGACTTTCGAAAGCCACAGCAACCAAGTCGCCCGGCGTAAATCCGAAACTTCGATCACACAACGCGCTTCTCAAAAATCATGCCCTTCGCATGAAGATTCCGAGTACAGTGCACTTGTTCAGCATGGCGGAGGCATCCCGCTCGAAATCGCGCCAGGATGCCGGATTCCACATAGTGACGAACTCAGGTATTCTTTAGCATGGCACAACGCAATCTGAAATAACCTTAGTGCGTAACAAACTAATACGTGGCGACAGGTCAACAAGCTCTGAAGAGTCCAGTGCCTCTAGTCGTCCCGGCCGCCGAGGCTGGAGTATCCAGCTCTCGGTTTTCCTGCGACATATCCAAATGCTTTGCTTGATGGCCATTGGCGGCTCGAGAAAAACGGTGGAAGTCCAAAAAGTCGCCATTCGCCGAGGGATGCTGCCCGCTCTTTCGTCTTTGAGCATCCACCTCCTCCCACTGGTTGCAACGTCCACAATCGTCTTCCTGAATACTGGAACCAAATACGTCGGAATCCACGTTTCAACAACATGGCTACAGTTCCTGGCTAAGTTTGTCGAGTTACTTGCTCAGGCCTCGATCAGCGGACCTGTTTATATGTACCTCCGCCATGAACTGACATGGTCCGATGGCCTTCCTTTCGGTGCCATATTCTCTGGTCTAGCATTCAGGAATATAAGCTATCTCTGGTCTTTGGAGTTTCTCGGATCTATCTCTTCCACCTCATTCAGACGCCAAGGGAAAATAATCTTTGTGATTTTCACAATATTCAACATCCTTTTGGCTAGTGCTATTGGACCATCGATCGCTGTCGGCCTCATACCACGAACGCGAGATTTCACAGTAATAGAGCAGAAAATCTGGTTTGGCGTGCCCGAAGGCTCCAACGCACTATTTCCGTCCACACTCAGCCACGAATTGGTTGCGCCTGAATGTTCTTCCATGATTGATACCCGGAATGTAAACTATTCATGCCCGTCCACCGGATGGGAGTATCTGAAAGGCTTTGGCTATTTTGAAGATAGCTTTGCATCTCGATCGGGTGCTACCAGCCTCGAAATCAAAGCGGTCTCGTTTGAGAATGGTGACCGTAAGGCAAAGCTCTCCTCCAATACGCTCGAAGATTGGATTTCCAAGCACAGCAACTCAAGTAAGGCCTACACGGCCACATCATTACAGATGTTTCTGCTAAGCTCCGTTGTGTCTGTGTGGTCTGGTGCGCAATTGGTAGTTCGGGATGTATTACGGTTGGGCATGACCCAAGCAGCCACGGAAGTTCGCGGGAAACAGCCAATTTCTTATGTCGAGTGTTCACAGAGTCTGGACATGGCTTCCGGACCAAATGGATCTCAACCACTTCTCCCAAGCAATGTTTCCAGGAGTTCAACCTGGAGCATAGAGTGGATCGAACTTGACACCGATCTCACCGGGCTTTCCATCGGAGCCTTCGTGCTTCCACCTTTTCAAGCAGCGGAAGCTATCCAATTTTGCGCTGTGATTGCTGGATGGGCAGAGAGCTCGACTTTCCAAAGGGCCAGCGATGGGTTTGATGTCGCCATAACTCAGTCGAAAGACATATCCTGGAATGGCCATGCAGCAAAGATCACCAAGGACTGGGCACAGCTTCTTACACCCACTTTCATCGATACCAACATATCAGTATTCGACTCGGTGATGCATACACTCGGGCTTTCGGCTGATGGAGATCTATATACATCGACGATTGGGATTTTAGTCGTGAGTGGAATGATGAATGCTGGTTATGACAGCGGAACCCATTGGTCTACCCTTCTTGAATACGGACGCCACAATTCAGAATTTCCGCCGGGCCCTTTCCCTTTTGTTCTTCCACCAGATGGCTCTCTGTTTGCTGTCCCAGACTCTCAGACCAAGGGAAAGTTTGCTGCTACCTACAAGTTCTTCGTGAACGGCCCGCTATACTCTACACAGGGTCTAGCAGTAAAGCTGTCACTCGCAGTTCTGATTGCTTACATCGTATATATTTCTACTTTCATTATCTACGTCATCGGTTTCTCTAGAATATCTTCTTCCGCTTGGGACTCTATTTCCGAACTGACAGCCCTTGCTTTACTTTCAAAGCCAACAGAGAAGCTCCAAAACACTAGCGCCGGGATTGAGACAATGGAACTGTTTAAGGAAGTTGTTAAAGTCTATGCCGTAGGCTGGAATCATCTGGAAATGGTGTTCATAGAAGATCAAGAGAAGCGTGCTACAGACACTGTAAGGGCGAATAAGGAGTATTAATCCAGGACAGACGCAAGCTTTATAATCTTCTTTTTTATAGTAAGAACTCTAATTGTGTTTAGAAGCTTCACCGCCATGCCCCCAACTCCCTTCTTAAGCTTGTGCATACCTGCTGCCCCTCGCGCCTCGAGTCGTTAGTAAGCAGCAGAGTTGTGATGAGGAGAGCAAAGGCGGAGAGGGCTGGTACAGAAGGAGGGCCAATGTTGAGTTCATTTTCAGCCATGTCCCAGAACAGCGCAGACTCTAAGGGTGGAGAATATAGCACCCGTTGCCGTGCGCTTTTTTTTTTGGACCCAACTTTGTCCTGGTAATGGTTGATGTTTTTAGAACCGGGTCGTGCCTTCGTAGAAGCGGTTGGAATCATCTCAGAGTGGGCGAATATTTGTTCCCCGTGAAGGTCTCTCTCACCCTGCTTATTGCATGCATGTCAATGGTCTGATCTCCTCAGCGACTTGAAGCCTTGTCAAAAAATGAACGTTGTTACCGCTTTAGTCTTTAGCAGCATCTCCCGATTAATTGTGTACTCGCTACTACAACTTCTGTACCCACCAAAGGGATGTGCGACTTGACAACGCATGCACCAGTTCTGGCGCCTTTCCGGGTAGAGCTAGCATGCTTTAGGCTGGGTGCTGCGAAGCAAAAAGGAACCAGGACCACGACCATCAACACACCTTTACTTGTCGACATGGCCCGCAGTTAGGGCTATTCCTATCCCTCTGAGCCCTGCAAACTTCCACAAATCCTCAACGAAAAAGCTTTAGTTACGATTCCGGAGGGATAACAGGATCAAAGAGGGCATTACACAAGGCTTGCACCATACGCGATGCCGCAAGCGATGTCGGCGGTATCGTGTAGCATTGCTGACGAGCATTTTCGGTCGGAGCTGCACTGATCGTTCCAGCCACGGCTGGCTGATACTTTCCGCCATCCAGGGTCCCGCAGCAGCGAAAACCAGGCGACGGCTACGTAGCCAACCTTGTCTGCTTCCTGCGAGTAAAACCTTCGGCTCCTATCAGGAACCTGAGCCTTGGAGAACCGACACGCCTGCCACGACCGATTCTGGATTCGTCGAACCGGCACCACTCAACGAAAACATAGAACCGCCGAACACGTCCTCAACATACACGACTGGATTCGGACACCAGGTGGACGTAACGGAAGCAACGGTTCAATCCGAGCTGGACCGACTCACTACTCAGCAAGCCGGTACGAATACGGCAAAGGCACTAGCAACGGACCATGCAAGTAGTCTTTATCCGAAGTGGCTAGAGCACGCTACGCTATCTAATTATTCTTATCAATTAAAACAACCTTTTGGCCCACCGAAAACGCCTCGGACTTCAAACATATCAACAAAAACATTAACAATAAGACATACAACAAAGAACCGTACGTCCAGAAAAGTAAACCTCGGAAAAAAAAAAGAAACGAGAGCCGAAAAGACAATCAGTATTTGAACTTAATCGCTATAAGCCAGTTAGCTAAAAACCCCTTACTTTGATTATGATTGTAACAACTTACGAGGGTGCTTCGGAGGCTCGCCGCCCCCCTTCCCCTCCTTACCACTACCACCACCACCAGCACCCTGCTTCCCTGATGGGGCGGGCTTCTTGGCGGCACGGCGGGAGCGTAATTCGCCCTCCGGGCGAGACAGGCTCGCGCCGCTCGACGAGCTTTCGCCGCTGCCTTCGCGGCGGGAGGCGGAGGCGGGGGCAGGGCCGGGGGCTGCGGCGGCGGAGGCGGCAGACGGCGAGGGCGGAGGAGTGGCGGCGGGCTTCGCCGCAGACGGCGAGGGCGGAGGAGTGGCGGCGGTGGCGGAGTCGGCGGAGGATGATGGTTGTGGTGGTGGTGGTGGTGGTGGTGCATCCCACTTGTGTTGGTGGTGGTGGTGCTGATGATGGATTTGGGGCCGGGGGTTGGCCCGCAGGCCCGCGACCTCTTGTTCCAGCGTGCTGATGCGGGCACGCAGCGCCTCGATCTCGGCTACATTTGGTAGCCGGTTCTCAACCGCATTCGCGGCGGTCTCAATCCTCCCCAGGATCTTCCTTCGCCCTGGCTCCCCGGAACCACTCCCAGAACGTGGCGCACGCCGTGATAATGGCCGATAGGCCTCCCATGATTGTGGCGATGATTGCCGCATTCACTGTTGTTGTTGTTGTGGTGGTGGTGGTGGTGCGACCCACTGGTGGTGGTGGTGGTCATCGTGTTGGACCGGGGGTACCGGGAGGTGGAGGAGGAGGAGAAGTGGCGCCGGGAGCTCCGGCGTACGGAGGAGGAGGAGAAAGAGGAGAAGGAGAAGAAGGAGGAGGAGGCGGAGAGGCGGAGGAGGCGGAGAGGTAGCGGAGGAGGAGGAGGAGAAGGAGGAGGGGGAGGAGGAGGAGAGATGGCGGGGGGGCTGGACGGACCAGACGGGCGGGGCGTAGCGGCGTTGGTGGAGGGAGGATGACGGTGGTGGCACGTCGTAGGCGGAGGAAGTGCCCCAGTGGTGATGGTGCTCATGGCGTTGGGCCGGGGAGAGGAGCGGCGTCTGTGGAGGGAGGAGAGGGGGGAGGTGGTGGTGGTTGTGGTGGGTTGAAGGAGGCGGGGCCAGAGCGTCAGAGCCCCAGTGGTGATGATGTCCATGGCGGATGAGCGGGGGTTCTGGTGGGCAGGCCGGCGACCTTCTCCTCGAGTCTCTCGTCCACTCGGGGCAGGATGATGCCCATGTTCTTCTCCATGGCTTTGTAGACCGTCTTGACCACCGTCGCGCAGGTGACGTGGCAGTCGCTCCTGTCCGACTTGGATGTGTCCCACAAGGTAAGCACCAGGCGGTTGATGCCGTAGATGTAAACCGGCTGCGTTTCGCGTGGGGTGGGCCGGTCGTGGGGTGGTGTGCGAGGGTGAGGCAGCATGGGGAGGGAGTGACGAGGGAGAGTGTTTTGGCGTGGAGACGGAGGAGCGTGGGACGTCGGAGTCAATGATGGATGTGTTGGGACTTGGCCGGCGAAAATGGTTGCCGGGTGGGTTGCGCCTTCCCGAATCATGCCAGTGACCCAACAACAACCGGACGCCGGCACCAGCGTCCACCGGCTCGCGTAGGTTCGACGTGGAAGGCGCTCGGTTCGATCCGCTCTTGAGGGTGGGTACCTGGTTGTGCACATTGGGGTGGGAGGTGTTGTCGTCGTGCATGTATGTCTTGGGCCGCTGCCGGCGGCGTCGGGCTTAACGCTAACAGGCAAGTCGATCGTCTGCGACGGCAGCGGGTCTGCATCGCGGGCGCGCCCATGATAACTCAGCGTTCGCGTCGCTGCCGCCAAGGCCAGAGGATGAGAAAAGAGCGACGCGAACCGTGGCCGTCTAGTCTGCCAGCAGCCATGGTTCGCCCGGCGCAGACGTATATATATCAAGAAGCCCGTTGCTCGCCTACCCGAAATCCATAAACATGGACGATGAGGACAAGTGGGCTTTTGGCTACATTATCCTTGTATGCGATGTGTTCTCCATTGTGATGTTCCAAGTGATCCTTAACGAACCGGATCTGCACGACCTTCCGCTCGCATTTTGGGCTTTCCTGGTGCTGATTCTCCCCGTGCCGTGTCTAGTCGGCACGCTCGCGGCCGCCTGGTGGTGCTTCTCGCCGTACGCACCGTGTCTGGTCGCGACACTCACGAGGGCCTGGTTCGCCATGGGACACTTTCAGGACCTGATGCGGAAACTGCGTGGGTGCCGGGTGGCTCCCGCTCCAAAGTCTCGCCACCTCCCCGACGAGCTGGTGCTCGCCATTGTCGCATACCTCCCCGCCGCCGACGCACTCGCCTTGCGCGCCACCTGCCGCCACTTCCGCCGCATGTACTATCCGCACGCCGCCACCTTGGACGACCGCGCCGACCTCGCCAGCCGCTGCCGCCGCGACCATTTCGCCCGCACGTGTCTGGCCGAACTCGACGGCGCGCTCAAACATGGCCTCCTCGTTTGCTCCTACTGCCGTGCCACGCACCCGCGCAGCCTCTTCAGCCCCCTCGAGCAGACCCGCGCGCTCCAGTGGCGCCGCTGCCTGGGCGCCACCACCGCCCTCGCCCTGTGCCCGCACCGCCAGCTCCGCCACGAGGACCTGGCAGCCCTCGGCGACGACGGCATAAGGAAGATTGAGGGCGCCGACAAGATGCTACGGTGCGACCGCTGCGACGCCGAGGTCTACAAGTACGCCCTGCGGCCCCTGGTGTCCAAACGAGCCGTCTTCGAGCGCACCTACTTCCGCATGCAGGTCCCGCGCTACCGCAGCATCCCGCACCCCACCCTGGCCGCCGCCATCGCCGCTGCCGTGCCCACCCTCCAACATCTGCCCGTCTGCGCCCATCTGGATGCCGAGCGGCTGGCGTGCCGCCTCCCCGAACCCTGGCTGCACCTGCCGCAGTTCGGGCCGCGCACCACCAAGTACTTTTATTGCAACAAGCTCGGTTGCCGCACGTTTTTCTTGCTGGTGTGCGAAGAATCAGAAAGTTACGGTGCCTTCGTCATCGCCCTGAAGTCGAACCGGACCTTGCATTTCACGACAGAGACCGGCGCTGTGCACGACGACTGGATGGAGGCTTGCACCGGCGTGGTGCGTGCGTCGCGGTAGCTGCTATGTACTACTCTGGTGTCAGCCCTTACTGGAATGGAATCGGTTGTAAACGTGCGAAGGGGTAGACCGGGGGCATTGCACGCTGGGGAGAGAGAGAATCCAAAGGGAGGAGTCGTATGGTCGGGATGGGTGGAGTATAACGATGAAGTGGGCGTCGTAAGAGGGTGTTAAAAATCATTAAAAAATATCCGGACTTTCAATTCGCCTTTATAAACATGAACTGCCCATCCGCGTTCCTCTCCAACCTCGCATTCATCTCCTTTGCCACCTCGTACAAACTCTGTGCCGTCTCCCTCCGAATCTTTGCCCCTTCGGTCTTCGCCACGACTAGTTCATCCTTCGTCCATCCCTCCAGAGAGTGGAACAATAGGGCCAGAGGGCTCGACTCCGCTAACATTGACCACGTAGACTTAAACACGTGTAATCAGTCTCTTTCCACTCACGCCCCCTTCGAGAGACTTGTCCAGAATCTTCTGGATCCCCTCGACGCCACCTGGCACCTCGACGTTTCGAGTGGGTACGATGGCGCCGCTGCCCAGTCCCTCGGGGATATACACATGATATGTCCATTCCAACAGCTCTTTCTGCTCCTCCTTGTCCAGCACCTGCGGCCAGGAATCGTACACGCGCTTCACACTCTCCGGCCTTGCGTACGCAGTGGCATCTCCGAACTCGGGCAGCGTGGTGAAGATGGTGCCCCCGCCCGTCTCAGCGAGGACCTTGCCGAGGATGGCGGTTGGCTGTGGGGTACCGATGGCATCGAACACAGCGTCAAAGGGACCGAGCGCCTTGAGCTCTGAGACGATCTTCTCGGCAGACTGCCTGTGGTCGACGATGCTGGTCGCGCCCAGGGAAGTAACAAATTCCTTGTTCTGAGACGAAGAGGTGGTGATGACATCGTAGCCGAGGTCGGAGGCGTACTTGATTGCATAGCCACCAACGCTCGAGCTGCCTCCGTAGACCAGCAGTTTTTTGCCCTTTGACGCGGCCTTCTTTCCGTCGGGGCTGGGCCGCTGAGGACCGAAAATGGCATGCATGACGCCGACAATGGTGACGAGATTGGCCGGGACCGAGGAGGCGTCCTCAAGCGACACATTGTGGGGGATATTCGATGTATACCGTGGGAAGGCAATGTAGTACTCTTGGAAATGGCGGGTCCGGGGATCCGTGGTGCCGAGGGGCGCCAGCACTACGACCCGGTCGCCTGGCTTCACGTAGCTGACGTTGGAGCCAACCGAATCGACTGTGCCGGCAGAAGAAAATCCGAGGATGGCTGGAACGGGATAAGGGACGGGAGCATATCTACCAACGTTAATCCACTTGTTCATCCAGCAGTGTGCCATCCCCACTTACTTCTGCATCTTGGCCTCGAGGGGATTGAAGCTGATGACTCCATTCTTCACGAGAATCTCATCCGGGCCAGGAGTATACTTTTCCACTGTCTTGATGACCACAGGGGAGCCGATCTGCTCAACCACTGCTGCCTTGTTGGACATGGTGATGCGTTTTGAGTGAAAGATTGTGCTATTCGTTGCTGGAATATCCACAAGGACGAGCTGTTGTGAACAATAGTCGAATTCATCCGCGCTACACCCTATCTTTAAACAATCTGCAGACGAGAAAGACGGCATAATGATTGTTCCGTCTGGTCGCGACTGGATGATGGCATGCATCGGCACTCGGAAGTGCGAGAGGCCGAGAGTAAGACGCCAAGAGTAAGACGGACGAGCGGTCTTTAAGTCCGCATGTAGCTTACATAAACTTTTAAGATCGACTTTCGCTGAGAAATAAAGCACTCCCGAGGTGTCAGCCAATTACATTCCTCCCCATGCTCTCGTGGTTCGTCCGGAACGCTCGGGCTGGGTGTTGCGGAAAAGCGCCCCCATAAACATACCCTTCCTCTACGCTTCTCAAGCACACCCCGACGCTCTTAAAACACACTTCAAGCATGCATCACACCATATCAACCCTGGCAACATGCCAAGTACCCGCCCGGTTGCCCGGATCGATGGAACAGACTTTGGAGCCGAGGGCTTCGACCAGTACAACACAGGAACGAGAGAGGTCGGCAACGGAAGGCCCAGGTCGAAGGGTTGCACGAGTATGCAGTGCCATACATATCGACAGTCATTTATTGAGGAAAGCAATAATCATTGCTGGTTAAGCTGTGGTGCCACCAACCGGGTTCGAAGGAGGGGCGCTGTGAAATAAGCGTGCTTACCCCACCTTTTCCTGTTCTGGCAAGTAATGGACCCCAACCGTGCCCCTTGAGACCGATCGACAAAGATCATGCTGAGTACTTGGGCGGCATTTCCTGTTTTCTGTTTGTGTATATTGTATGCCTACCCGTGATTCCTCCGACATCCAGATGGTCCAGTTCTATGGCCATCAAATCTCTACCTTTTCTTATCCTTGCCAATCTTCGAGAACCTCTCCCGCCATTTCGCCACCTTGACGCTCTTTGGCACCGTCCAGGGATCACGATTCAGCTTCTCCACATCCGCCACCACGTCCTCGGCCAACTGCACCGCGCCTTCCCCAAACTTCAGCTCTTCGTTTCTCGCCAACTCCGTCAGCAGCCCCCTCGTCCTCACCACGGACGCGAACGGATCGCGCCAGAACCGCACCCCTTCAAATCTCTGCCCGGGCCTGAAGAAAAAGTCGGCATCGTCCCACACCTCGGCGTCCGATTCCGGGAAAGGCTGCATGGCGGCCTCGTGCACGCCCTCTAATGTGCACTAGGGTACCCCCGGCTCATATATGTACATGGAAACCCCATGATCTATGGGTCCACCATACTTAGTTTGTGGATTACACATATATTTCGTATAAAACGCGAAACGCCGTATGGTATTTCCAGGTCGGTATGGTATTATTATTATTGCAACGGCAACAGCATTTCGTTATATAATTTACCCATACTAGAGGGGTAATGCCGAGGTTTTATATAGACGTGCCATTATATTACGAAATTACGGTCGCAGATCGCTTCGCGGGGTACTAAAGAACCTTCGTACGCCCGGGGGAACGCTAGGTAGCTCGTTTAGATAGTCCTAATATAGTATATATATAGTGGGTTTAGTCGGGGGTTGCAGAAACCACCGTAGTATTAAGCGAATAGAAGGGTGGGTAATAAAGATTTATTATATTATTATAAGGCAAATACTACTAATATAAGAAGAGGTCCCCCGCCCTTATACGGCCGCCTTTCTAGAGGGCCGGCCCCTCTTCGGCTTCTTCGTAGAAATCTTACGATAAACAACCTTACGATAAATAATCTTATAATAAATAACACCCTCTTATTTATTATTAACCCTCTACGCTTCGTGACGCTATTAAACGATTACTAATAAATTATCACGCTTACGTTATAAGAGCGATTAAAACTATACCGTTACGTCCTCGAGCGCCGTGTGTTCTTCGAGCCTCTTCTTTACCGCCGCCTTCGCTTATTCGCTATAAGCCTTATTTATCGTACGATTCTACTTAGCAACCTTCTTCTAGCGCTTATTACGTAGCAGCTACTACGTCTCTTTAGCCTTACCGGACATCTTACGCTTCCGAAGTACGGGTGTTAGCGATAACGATCGTACGGGGGGTAGTAGTAACGGTAGTAGCGGCGGCCGCGGCGGTAGTATTATTAGCCCGTAGGCCTTATCGTAGGCCTTATCGTAGGCCTTATCGGTCGCGGGCGACTTATAGCGCGGAGAATCCTCTACTAAATCGGGCGTATTTTAGTGAGAGTTCTCTAAGGGCTCGGTATACTATAATCTACCTAGTTTCTTCGTGCGAGGCTTCGTTCGGCTGGCCTTATAACGGTATAACTATATTATAGCCTCGATTATAGCGATAGCTACCTAATTATCTTTAAAGCGACGTAGGAAGGCGACCTCCTAGCGCTTTATAAACTCTATAATAACGTCCTTCTATTATTAGCGGCGAAGATTACGCTATAGCCGTAGGTAAAGCCTTCCGTACTTATTAAGCTTATGCTATACGTATTAATTAATAGCACTACGGGCCTAACGCTTTAAAATAACGGTAGATCGCACTAGTTCGTAGACGTTATACTCGCGTACTATCTATAAGATATCGTTCTATATCGGTTTCTTCTTTCTAGGCCGGGGTATATCGTCGTTTAGTATAGTGTTAAGTTTATAGTAATAAACGCTTATACCGTAGTAATTCCGGTATTTAGTGTATATTTATATATAATATAGAATGCTTAGGGTAATATACTAAGAAATAATAATAATAATAATAATAATACGGAGGCCGCCGCCGCCGCCGCCGAGACCGCCGAAGCCCCCCCCCTAATACCTAAAAAATTTATTATACCCGTACTAATAGAAAATATCCGTTAGTAAGTTCGCCGCTTCTTCTTAATACTATTCTAAAGATATCTAGCCATCGTACTAAGCGTAGATATAACTAGGCCTTTATAGAATAATTTTAGAGCCCGCGATAGCGCTCCCCTACGGCCTAGAATCCCAACGAGGAATATTACGACGATAATAATACCGAATACGATAAAGAGCTACCGGCGCTAGATAATCTTAACACCCTAAACGTATCTAAATACGATTCTAATAGCGAAGATAATTATTATAATAATTTTAATATAAGTAACGATACGCCCTGCGGTATACCACTCGAAATTCTCTTTAAGAGTAACTCTCTAGTCCCTCTTCTTCTCGTTTACCATATAATCTACTAATAAATATAGAATAGATTAGATAACGCTTAAGAAGTTCTAACTTCTCCGCTACGTACGTAATATACCCCGGGGCGTATATAACGACCTCCGCCGATACTTACTAGTAGACATCCTTCTATCGCGAAGACACGTTCCCAAGTAGCTTAAAAAGCTTATAGGCATCTATCTAACCCTTATCGACTACTATAAAGACAGCTATATAGTCTTTATTAGACCGTTCGCCGCCGATAAGCGCTATAGATACTACTCTAAGAGCCGATATTACGCCGAGACTCTCTACCGCCGCCGTCCTCGCCGTATATATACGTATATACCTATTATACCTAGATTAAGGGTATAATACCGCTACGCGGAGCGTGCTAATATTATAAAGATATATTCTTAGCTTATATAAGACGTTTAGAGCGGTAGGGTACTACGGGGGTTATAAGATAATAATATAATTAAGCAGCCCTTAGATCTCGCCCTATAGCTATCTCTCGACGGTATACCGGTAGTTACCGATCGATATATCTACTCGAGCACCCTAGTAGCCGTTATAGTACTTAATCTACCTTCGTAGCTTCGCTATAAGCGTAGCAACACCCTCGTAAGTTTCATTATACCTAGGCTAAGAAAATATAAGAATCTAGATAGCTATCTATAGCCACTAATCGAGGAGCTACGAGAACTAAAGTCACCCTATAGTATTAAGATATAGGACGGTTTAATACACCGTTATTTCCGCTTAAGAGCTATTATATCTCTTATAACGGGTAACGGGCCTGCTATTACTAATATTATAGGCTTAAAGACACTCGGCAACGCTATTTCGCCGTATAGATACTATAAGATTAAGGCACGGCGGTATACGAATAACGGTTATTATTACCCCTATAGCGGCCTAGCCCTTAACCACCCTTAACGATCGTACCTAAGGAACGATATACGCGATACTATAATTCTCGGGCTAGAGAAGTAAAGAATCTTAGGTAAGAAATATACTATAGAAAAGGGCGTATTAATTTCGTATTAATTTCGCGATTTTACTAGCAAAATATTACGTAGACACGCGATATTCTTCTATAGGCATTAGGTTCGCTAATATATCCGTAGGTGTCGAACGAGAATTCTGCCTACTAAGGCTCTAAGCGATATACTTCCCACGAAGCTTCCCTATTAATACTATATATAATATACTCCTTAACCTTATTAAACTGCTTATAGGGCTTTAGACGAATACGAGAGGTAAGCCGAGCGATTAAGTAAACGCCCGTAATAATCCTTAGGCGGTTAGAACCTTTATATTATTATAAGGTGATTAATATAAGATATCTACTACCTATAAAGGCCTAAGAGCGACTCTCCCCCGATTATTAGTAAATATACTACTACGAGACGTTATTAAATACTATAAATACTTTAAAGCAGCTAAATAGAAAGCTTAGCTAACTACTTAGGGTCCTCCGTATCTCGCTAGACACCTATAGAAGCGACCTTATAAGTATCTATTACTATTAAGTAAGATATACGCCCTCTACTCCTAGAGAGACGTTTCTTAATACTAGATCGACGATATTAATACCAGCTACCGCGAGTTCGTACGCGAGCATAAGAGGATCTACTATAATAATAACGATAGGCGCCTACCGGTATATACCCTATAAGTTTACAGCCTCCTACACCTCGCTAAAGCTATTTATAATTATAGATTAGCTCGTTATTAGTAGTAGTTCCCGTTTAAACGTCTCTATAGTCTTACGAAGCGCCTCGCCCGCAATAAGGCGAAGTTAGATATAAGTATAACGAACGAGGTAATTATATAAGAGTAGATATATCTATTAGAGCTCTTTAAACCCCTAGTAGACGATAATAATAACGTATTATTATTATAGCTACGGCTATTAGGTAAACTACTATACGCGGCGATAACACCTCGTAAGAGGCGTATACTAGGGAAGGTACTATAATTCTTTATTACGGTTAGTAAAGATAAGGATACCTAGATAACCCGTTTCGCAGAGGAATATATTAGATTTAAGCGGTATCTTATCTTAGAGAATACCGTAGTATACGGCAGTATCTTATCGCAGCGCGATTACTTGGATAATCGTAATAATACCCGTATATATTATAATAGGAGGGTATTAGATAAGGATAAGTATACCCGTGTCTACTATTATTTAAGCATCCCTAACTGTGGCTACTACGCTTACATAGAAAACCTCCGGGATATATAAAGAAGCGATAATAAGAGAGGCTTACTAATTACTACGAGCGCTAATAGCGGCGGGCGGCGGAGGTTCTATTTAGTAAACGATATCGTATGCCCTATAGATATTATAACCTATACGAATGCACGCGGAGGATAGATATATATAGTAGTTAGCCTAATCGCGCGCTTATTATAGTAGCACGATCGTGGGGGGGGTATTAGGGGGGGTATCGGGGGTAGTGTTAGTGGTAATTATTAGGGCGGTAGGCGGCGGCGGCGGTGGCGGCGGGTCAGTTTAAAACACTATATAATATCGTAATATTTCCATTTAAAATACGAATATCACTATCGTCACCCCTGCCGTTTCCATATAATCTTATTGAGAAACCATTAAATACAGTGATTATGCCATTATAATAATAGATGACGCCATTATAACGCCCGGAAACGGCCACTGGGTACACCGCTATTAATAATGGCGCCACCATTAGCCGGGGGTACCCTAGTGGTGACGATGGCGGCGCGGTTCCCGGCATGCAGTTCTCTACTGAGGTCCTCGGCGGGGATGTTGTCGAGGGTCACGGTGCCGGCGGTCAGGGCGATGTTGTTGCCCTTGTGCCCGTCGTGGCGGACCAGCATGTGGTCCAGGTGGTACTCGCCGTCGGCGCCGTAGAGGTAGAAGGGCATGAAGCCGGATGGGTAGGCATCATCGCGGGATTTGGAGTCGAGGGGCCGGTCGAGGACGACGTGGGTGATGCGGACGGTCATTTCGGGGTGGAGGATGCCGCTGTTGAAACATCAGTGATTGTGCGTTAAGAGGGTGTGTATGTGTGGAGAGTTTCTCTTAGTTGGGGGACGTCTTACTGCGATCTGGTGGTCAAGTTGGCGGTGAACTGGGCGCGGCTGGTTCCGACGCCGGCGATGACGCTGGAAAGGTCGATCTTTTCTGCCGTCTTGAGGACCAGCGGGTCCTCAGTTGTGAACTTGCAATCGCGGTAGACTTGAAGGTCAGCATCATCCAGTTCGGCGGACACGATGAGCTGGCGGCGGTGACTGCCAATGTGAAACATGGTGCGGTAGGATAGGTAGATGCGTTTGTCGCCGTGGATCAAGAAGCTATGGAAGTCGGGCGCATCGCTGTTGCGTTTTCGGGAGACCTGTGTCGCGTCAGATCAAGTGCCGGGGGACATCTGTGGCTGTCTTACCTCGACTTCCTCTTTCACTATCTTGACAAACTCGTCCTCCACCGTTTTGAGGAAGCCGTTCGTAGTCGGGAAGGGGCTCATGACGACATTCCTGAGGACCATGACGGGCTGTTGAGTGGAGTCGTCCAGCTCCAGTCTCCGCTTGAAAGTCGCCGCGCACTTGCCGTAGAGCTCGTGCTCGAACTCGGTCGAGGTAAGGTAGAATGGAATTTTGCTGGGCTTGTCGTTCGGTGAATCGATGGACAGCCTCTTCACGACCCGTTCCATGAGGTAGTTTGCTTCTTCCACATCCTCGTTCGGCTTGCCCTTGGCATCATACCAGTTCAAGGCGAAGGCGTTGATGTTGAGGTCGGAGCCGAGTGAGCGGAGCAGCTTCATTGAGGCCTCGTCTTTGACTATGTCTTTGTTTTCTTTGTTGAGGATCTCGCTCCGAATCCTCTTCTTGTCCGCCTCGATGCTCCCTCCAGCCCCGGATTCGGAAGGGAGCTTGTTGAAGGGGACGCACATGAAGCCGAGCTCCTTATCAGGCGTGAGGGCAGCCCACAATGCCGAGAACTGTGTTCCCTGTTAGCAGTCACTCGTCTGGGATACTTTTTGCTTGAGCCTACCATCGACGACGTGAAGCAAACCTCTCTCATCAGGGCACCGTAGCCGTCTTCGTGGAGACCGATGCACTTGTTGGAGAGCCAGGTCGACACGGCAGACGCACCAGGTTTGCTTCAATAAACGTTAACCGCACAGCCAAGCTCGCATAATCGGGGCTCACATACCTTCCCTCGACACCATAGATGCCAATGCTCGTGACCGAGCCCCTCGATAGATACGGGCTAGTCCACGTGACGAGATGCCTCGAGCGTCCATCGCGGTACGCCAGAGCGCCAGCCGGGTAGGGAATGTATCCCGCCTTGTGCGGATCTACCGTGACCGAGTCACAAAATCGCAGGGCAGCAAGGTCACGCTGCGTTTCCACACGGAGGCTCAAGCCGGGAACGAAACCGTCAGTACCAGGCCCGCGACCAGACCGCACGACCGATATCTCGGACACGGCATCGGAATCCTCGCTGTAGTCCCCGTCGGACTCCTCCTCTTCCTGCTCGCTTGCTCCCTCAGCATCGTCAGCAGTCTTCTTATCCTTCTTCTTCTGCAGCCCGGCGGGCTTGTAGTCCTTCTTCGCTTTACGCAGCATCGTCGTGAAGTACCCGCCCCATGCGGCATCGGCGTGGACGAGGAACGACATGCCCTTCGCCTGGAACTTTTGGCGGAGTTCGAGGATCTTCTGGAGCGGATCGACCGCGCCCTCCTCGGTGGAGCCGATGACGGCAACAACGGCATAGACGGCGCGTCCGTCGAGCCGGTGGTCTTCCAGCTGCTTCTCCAAATCTGCGAGGTCGACGCGGGCCGAGTCGTCGACTTGAATGCCGATGATATTGCCGGAGCCGACGCCGGCGATGGCTGAAGATGGCGCGGGGATGGGTTAGCAAAGTGCGGTTGAAGGAGAGCGGGGGAAGAATTGGGATTACAAACCTCCGCCCTTCGGCCAGGAGTAGTGGCGTGAGGAGGACACCATGATGGTGGGTTGCTTCTTGATTGTGAAGTGCTCCACCAATGCATCCTTGCCGCATGTCTGGATGTTGTACTTGTCAAGCGCCTTTTGGAGGAATGTGGGTGAGATCTTGTATTGGCTTTGCAGTTGCTGCGGGATGTCGAGGATGGTCTTGGGCCGCAGGTTCAGCAACTCCCACTCGTCGAGTTTGCGGAACTCTTTCAGGACGTTCTGGCACGTTCGCACGCGAAAGTCCTCCGGGATGAAGGCGAGCGGCTGACCTTCTTCCATGGCCCATTTGAGCGAGAATGGGTAGAATTTAAGGTTCCGTGCTGTGTGATTTGGTACGGGTCAGACTTGTGATGGCATTGGCGAGATGAAGGGTCGAACTCACCAACCCAGATGGACTCAAGATTTGCAACTGTCCCGTCACAAGTGATGTGACCCCAGCCAGTCGGCTCGTGCTTCTTGGTCGAGTCGTTGTTGTAGCCGAACAGCTCGCACAGCTGCTCGCCCACCTCGACCTCGGCGATGGTGCTGATGGGACTGGCCTCAAGCGCGACATTGTTGGGGTTGTAGATCATGGTCATAAAGTAGCCAAGCAGTGACGGCATGGTCATGTCGGTGCACATGTGCGCCTGGTATCGCGGAGACCAGAACGGCACTGAGTGCTTCCCAAGCAGCTTCGCCGTGTTACGGACCGCTTTCTGGAACTTGGCCGACACCTGCCTGTACTCGGCCGACATCTTCGCGTCATCTGAGATGAAGTCCTTTCAGGGGCTGGTCAGTCACGCTACGTGGCGATTGGGCGACGAAGGGGTGGATTACCGGGTCTTCGTTTCGTCTGGCATATCTCAGTCTTGCCCGCTTTAGCTCGTCCAGGATGATGTCCACATTGCCCCGGAAATTGTCGAGGTTTTCGGCTTTCGGCCCAATAAAGTATGCACTGATGGCATTGTGCGTGCTGTTCTCGTCGGCCATGGTGTCTGTGGTGTGCTTTGGATGCACTACGCTGTCCACCGAGCTGATCTTATATGATATTCGCCTTTGAAAATTTGACTACACTGACCGGCCACTCCGAGACGATCAGCATACTAGCTCGGCTTAGAAGCTCGCAGCACCCGCATAGTCGATGTGATGACGCATTGACGATATTCGTGTGCCCTCACTAGAGCACGCCCGTGTCGGACTTGTGGTGTTTGCGCTGTGGCTGGTCTACGATTCGACCTCCGCGCGTCGATCCCAGCGGCAGACTAGTAGATTATTATGCCGTTCGCGGTTAGCGCTTGGTTCAGCTTGCGGGGCGTCGCCCGTATGATACGTGGCACTGCTACAAGGGAACGCGCCGAGTGCTTCCCGGAGCTCATTCCGGAGGTTGGATAGCCTCTGTCGGCGAAGTCCTGCTTTGACTCGAAAGGAAAAGATTTCACAGTTAACTGTTACTATGGTACACCACGGGACGGGCCGAGAGCGGCACGGAAACGCCAACGCCCGCTTCCAAGATCCATACCTCATACCTACCATATATTATTATTGAGACATATGATAGCACAGCCAGCATGTCCCGCTACACACATGTGCCGGGGTGACTGAAAGGCAATGGATGCGTGATGATGCAGCTATCATTGGTGGTGGCAAGTGGGGAGTACGTGAATCGTAGGAATTCCCCCACACTTACGCTAGTGAGAGCAATGTGTCGTTGAACCCTGACAAATCCTGGCCTTGAGACTCTCTTCACGGTGCGCGTCAGCTGTGGAGACGTAGCGTGGCTGGCATACATGAGCCATTCGACACCGATGTACGTCACACGAAGGTGTTACACATCCAATTCCAAAATCATGGAAAATGATCATCGGGCAAGATCTCGCATTCCAAATATTTAGCAGATCTGAGGTCCATGCACAGGTGGGACGAGTGATATGTCCATCTCCAGCGGTACATGTTCCGAGTTCCCATTGGCGCGCTAATAAAGGTAGGCTCAGCTAAGATCCACCTCGCCACCAGAGAGCTGTATCGGTGGCTGACTACTTGACAGCTGGAGGTGGGGGCGCGAATGGCGGAGCTGACTCGAGCCGTGTCGATCAAGAGCCGTGTTTCCCCACCGCCGACGTCAAGCCTCACGAAGCCAACGCCAGCCATATGCCGCTACTTGTTGTAACGCCGGACGCACGCCGCTGTTAAAGCGGCCTCATGCCCGCCGACAACTCCAAAATCCATTCCGCAACTCCCTGCCGCCCCTCTCGCCGCTCCTCCACCAGATGCATTTCCACGCGTTGGCCCGAACTTCATTATCAGCCCCAGCAGAACCTGCAGCACGAATTCACTTCAGACCTCAGCATCTCCTGCTGTTCTCTTTTTGCCTGCCTCCACAGCTTTTCATGCTGCTTCGGACGCGTTGTCAACATCTTGAGCCATCACTGCCTTTCTTTTATAGTTCGCTGGGTAAGACCAAAGTTGAGTGAAGTAAGGCGGCAATTGGCCAATCCTTTAAACCTGACGCGTCTTGCCGGAACCTATGCCCTCAACTACTCCTTGTGGTGAAATGTCTCCGTTGGTGTTCCTGCTTTGTTTGGTCGAGCTATCTGCATACGCAGTTCAGGATACTTTATTAAACCCGCTGCTACGTGGTGCTACTTATATGCATGATGAAGGAGAACAGGGATATCGGCAAGGGGTATCAAGGGAGGTGGGAGTCATGATATCAAGGTGTTAAGCACGGTTTTAATGAGCTGATGATGACGTCCATCGAACAACCATCATGTGCTTCATCGCTATCTGACAGCAAGTAATGGATATGACCCGATTTGCTTACGCGTTTTTACTTCTACTTACCCGGCGAGGTACCGGTGAATCGGTCATTGTGCAGTCCGATGACATCTAGATCCGCTAGTATGTCTTCATCGTGGAAGATGGGGTTGTGCTTACAGATGCGATAACGTTGAGCGGTAAGCATTTCTAAGGGGTGACATTCGCCCCACAATCAGAGGCGGAGCGTGTCGCCTACGGGATCTTAAGGTTGGCTGCAGGCAAATTATTGGCGCGTGTGTACCCCACGAGAAATGCCTTGCGGGGTAAATGGAAGGGGGGTCACGTACAGGAGTACCCCGCTCTGTGGAACGCGGAATGATAGAAGAATGGGCCACTGCCAGGGCCTACCTCACAGCGAAGTCTGACAGCTACCATACCATAGCGGGTTTCGTTGACTCGACATGGCCTCGATACAACGGCAGGTAAAGCCTTCTTTAGGCGCACCGGAGAAGTCAATCGGCGATCTTTTCAGGTTGGATGGGAGAACAGTCATCAGTAAATAAATTTGAGAGGTCCGTACACATGCAAGAAACGCTTACTGACTCATCTTAGTCTCCGGTGGAGGTGGTTCAGTCGGTCTGGAAGTTGCACGGTCCGTCCTTGAGAGCGGAGGCGATGTGGTGTGTCTGGATAGTCAAGCCGAACCTCTTCCAGAGCCCTGGGGTGTGTCCATACAGAGTTTCTCCTTCGAGACTGCTAATCACTGTCGTGATAGACAAAGTGCTCCAGGTCGCCGAGCAAAATGATACAAAGGCGTGGTACCACCGCTGCGACGTTAGCAGTGAAGAAGATCTCCGCCGGGCTTTCAAGCAAGCTCTATCCCTTACGAGATTTCCGCTGCAAGGTCTGGTGACCTGCGCTGGTATAAGCGGCAAGGGACCAGCTACTGAGTGGCCCATCGACTCTTTGAAGCGTATCATGGACATCAATTTCACTGGCACCTTCATGTGCGCGCAGGAAGCAGCGCGAGAGTTTCAGCGAAAAGGGGTACCCGGCAGCATGGTGCTGATCGCCAGTATGAGTGCTCACGGCAGTAACAAGGTAAGACTGTTGAAGAAATGCCAGTTCTATTGCTAAGTGATGGTAGGGAGTCGATACGGCCGCGTACAATTCGTCGAAATCAGCCGTGGTGCAGCTAGCACGCTCACTGGCGGCAGAGTGGGGCAGCAGCAAAGACTACCCTCTCATTCGTGTCAACACGGTTTCTCCGGGTTACATCAGAACTCGCATGACTTCCCCCACGATGCACGCAGAGGGACTGGAGCAGCAGTGGTCTGAAGACAACATGATGATGCGGGTGAGCTCTGCGGATGAGCACAGAGGGGCAATCATTTTTCTGCTAAGCGATGCGAGTAGCTTCGTGACAGGCTCTGACTTGAGGACAGACGGGGGCCATACTGCTTGGTAGATGGTTGTACCGACATGTCCTATTATTGATGTTTTGCTTTCTCAATTTGGTATTCGTAATGACATGTTGTTGGATACGGTCCTTTATCGCCTCTATGGCGAAACTCTTATGTAGAAGACTAGCTATGTAGTTGCAGGCCTATAACAGTGGAGGGAATGAGGTTAATGTTCCAGTAGCTCAAGTTTGCCACAGTGTACCGCTATAGCTACCACCCCACGGCCGGCCCCGTCTTTCACCCATCTTTACCCAGTTCAGAAAGCCGAACTCAGCAGCCCTGCGATTCAACGTGGCCCCGCTGAGGAGGTCAAACAACAGGGCTGCGTGGTTGGTCTGCTGCGATCATAATCACGTTGCATTACGCTTCCCCGCACGCGAGTGACGCTGTTGAGACCCGAATGGGTCAACCCAGCATTACCGATGCGGGGAGGTCCTCGTCCCCCAACACGTGCCGAAGCAGGATATAAGGCAGACTTGATGCTTCTCCAGAGTTCTTTCTAAAGCATACCCTGCAGTCTTTCGAAAAATCGTACAACCATGACGAGCCTCTCCACGAAACTTGCTGAGCTGGAGACAGTCGGCAAGCCCATACAGATCGGCATCATTGGCGCTGGAAAGTTTGGATCCATGTTGTAGGTATTTGTGCGAGCCAGTTCAGAGCGAGGGCTGATTGGAGACTGTAGCATATCGCAGTCGCACCGCACCACTGGCATGCGCCTTGCGGGCATCGCAGATCTGTCAGCAGAACGCGCCATTGCGGCTTTGAAACGGACCGGGTACCCACCAAACAAGTACGATGATACTGGAACCATGTCACTCGAGGAGGGCCTCGCATCCGAAAAGACTGCCATCACGACAGACGCAACGAAGCTGATTGCAACGCCGGGCATTAATGTCATTCTCGAGGTGACTGGCAATCCGGCGGCCGGCATCAAACATGCACTGCTCGTCTGTTCTCCTGCTCGACTTCCACCTTGAGACTATAGCTAACCATGTGAAAGTGCTGCGAGCATGGAAAGCACATTGTCATGGTTAACGTTGAGGCCGATGTCCTTGCCGGCCCGCTCCTGGCCCAAAAGGCGAGGGAGGCAGGCATAATCTACTCCATGGCTTACGGCGACCAGCCCGCATTGATCGCCGAGTTGGTCGACTGGGCCAGAACTGCAGGATTGTAAGTCAGCAACCCCCTCGGCTGTCCTCGATGCCAACATGATGCAGCGATGTAGTGTGTGCCGGAAAGGGGACGAAGCACTTGCCACAGTTCCACTATTCGACCCCCGATACAGTCTGGGACCACTATGGCTTCACGAAAGAGCAGCTGGCATCCGGCGACTTTAACCCGCAGATGTTCAACTCCTTCCTTGACGGCACCAAGTCAGCACTGGAGATGGCTGCCGTAGCCAACGGATGCGGGCTGTCCCCGCCGACTGACGGCCTTTCCTTTCCACCTTGTGGCAAGCACCACTTGCCAGAGGTGCTGAAGCCCCGGTCAGAGGGCGGTCAGCTGGACAGGAAAGGTATGGTCGAAGTGGTCTCTTGCTTGGAGCTTGACGGACGGCCGGTTTTCAACGATCTTCGCTGGGGGGTGTACGTTGTCATCGAAGGTGAGTGAAGGTAAACCCAAGATCCATCGCTTTACTGACAATGAACAGCCCCTGGAGACTACCAGAAGGAATGCTTCAAGCAATACGGGCTGGAAACGGATAGTAGTGGCAAGTACGCGGCGCAGTACAAGCCCTACCATTTGATCGGGCTGGAGCTTGGTGTTTCGGTAGCCAACATCATGTGTCGGGGCGAGCCCACTGGACAGACCCGAGCTTGGGCTGGTGATGTCGTTGCAACGGCGAAGCGCGACTTGAGGGCAGGAGAGCAGCTTGATGGAGAAGGCGGTTTTACCGTCTACGGCAAACTTATGACGGCGCAGGATTCGGTCCGAATAGAGGGTCTGCCAGTCGGATTAGCCCATGGATTCGTGCTTAAGGGTGATGTGAAAAAGGACCAAGCCTTGAGCTGGAAGGACGTCGAGCACAATCAAACACAGGCGGTGAAGGTACGCCGCGAGATGGAGGCCATGTTCAGGAATTAGATCCTTAGACGAGGAATCTTCAGCTGGCTACAGGACATATATGGTACCCGTGGCCCAAGTGAAATGGAGTGGGAGCTGGCAGTCCACTGAACGGGTGCTTCAAAGCCCAACAAGTGGATACTAATGTTGCTTGTATAACCTCGGCTACTTTACATACAACACAACGGTTGGAAGGCTCGGCAGTCTCTATCGACATTGAGATGCGAAAGCCAGCGTGGAAACGCAAAGTCTGTTACTGGACAGTGCGGTAAGGTTCGGCTAACATCCCTACCCCGCATGCAGCACGCATCCGATGGTCTCGGAACCAGGTATTTGATATCGGAGACAATTCGCACATCCATCCTGAGATGATGCTTTCTTGTTTCCATGACTGGGGATTCGGCCATGTTCTCAGCGATCCAGTCGGCGAAGCACCAAGATGCCATCTCCCTTGGAAATACCCTTTCCCTCCTCACCATCACAGCCGTAATCTACTTCCTCGCCACCTGCACCTACAACATCTTCTTCCATCCCCTCCGAAACATTCCCGGTCCACCTCTCGCTCGCATCTCCCGCCTCTGGAGCCGGATCGGCAACCTCAACGGCACAAAATCCTTCCGGATCCACGCCGCGCACGCAACCTACGGCGCGGTCATCCGTATCGGGCCCAACGAGCTGTCCTTTGCGTCACCCGCCGCGACGAAGCAGATCTACAACACGTCGTCAGACGTCTTCGTGAAAGAGCAGTCCTTCTACCATGCCAAGCGCGTCTTCCACGAGGAGCACCTGTTCAGTTACCGGGACCCGGAGGCGCACAAGCAGCGCAAGAAGCTGCTGCAGCGGGGATACTCCCAGCGCGCGGCGCTCGAGTTCGAGCCGCACATCTCGTCCAAGATCCGCATCATGTTGGACCGCTGGGCGCTCGCGGCTAGTCAGAGCGGCGTTGTGGATGTCGTGCCCTGGGCGCACTGGGTCGGGTTCGACATCGTGTACAACTTCCTGTTCGACAGCGACGCCGGGTGCGTGACCGAGGGGCGCGAGCACTGGGTCGTGCCGTGCATGCGTTCGTGGCGCCCGACGTTCGCGTTCAAAGAGCTCATCCCCCAGCTCGAGCGGTGGGGCCCGTATGTTCCCGGGCGTGTTGGTGGGTACTTCAGAGATGTGAGGCGGTGGAAGGAGTACTGCGTGCGGGTCGTACGACGGTGTCGGGAGGAGGGGGTGAGCACGCCGTTTCTGCAGAACGTGCTGAGCGGCAAGGACGCGTTCCTTGGACGGGAATTGAGGGATGAGGAGCTGGCGGAGGAGTGCATGGGCGGCATGTTTGGCGGGAGCGGTACGACGGCGAATACGTTTGTGTATGTGCTGTGGGCCGTGCTGCGGAGGCCCGAGGTGATGAGCAGGCTGAGGGAAGAGCTTGCGAATGCGTTTCGGGATGATGCTACTACGGCTGTGCCTGCAAGCGTCGAGTGCGCAAAGCTGCCGTATCTGCAGGCTGTCATCAACGAAACACTAAGGCGCTATCCCACCATCATCGCGACCAAGCCACGGACAGCAATGAGGGAGACGGTGGTTGCAGGTGTCTCGGTTCCAAAAGGCGTAAGTGAATCAAAGCTGTGCCTCTCCCTGCTGCTCCTCTTCTTCATCATTCTCCCACTACTATCTTCCCCCGCATGATCTTCTTCATTGAAGAAATAGCCACTAAAGACACTGCTCGTCCATAGACGATCGTCGGCTCACAGAACTACACGGTACTCCGCGACGACACGGCCTTCCCCAATCCTGAGAGCTTCTTGCCGGACCGTTGGCTTGAGAAAGACGGTGATGAGCTCCGGAAAGAAGCATTTACACCCTTTTCGGTTGGCCCGAGATCTTGCATTGGAATCAAGTGAGTTGATCTGGCGAGCTGGATGGTACAGTACTGACTACTCCAGCCTTGCAAAGATGGAACTAAACAAGCTCGTGGCTGCTTTCTTCCTACGATTCGACGCTGTGGTGGATGAGTCTATGCGAGAAGAAGATATGAGGATGTATGACCTATTCAGTGCAGGGCCTATCGGAGGAAAGCTATTGATTCGTCTGGTTGAAAGAAGGTAGAAGTGACTGACAAATGGCGGCCCGCCATCATAGACCGTGGGATTCGGCAAGACGTCCGGGGAAGAGTTCCACATGCGGCCAACAATGGTCGTGGCGGGCCGGGGACGGCGATGGCGTGGGTTTTGGTGTCGCGCGAATGGACGGCAACACGAAAAACAGTCTGCATGAGTGGAACCGATATTTCAGCAAATGCTGGAACTCATTTTGGAGGGGCGAGGCTGTGAGTGGTAGCTGGGGTCATTTCCCGAAGAGTGGTGCGAGGAGACAAGGCGTCCCTACTACAAACAGCTACGACGTTAAGGTTGATGATGGAGAAGCTTGTAGTATTCACTGCTTTTTCATAACAAATTTCAGGCCCATGCTGAGCCTCTGTAACTGTATTCGTATCATTTGATTGTTTCCAGCTCGTACCCACCGTCTTGCTCAACAGCTATACCAAATACAGTTCCGACTCGGTCAGCCCCTCGACCCATTCCTTGTTCATGATCATGCCGTTCCCGATGCGGACATACTCATCCGACTTCTCCTCCCGTGGCCGCAAATACAACACCAGGTAGGATCCGTTCTCAAAGTTGTGCGGATGGAACATGACGACCAGACAAAAGACGCTCGCCGAATCCATGCCTTCACCAAGGCCAACATCCGACGCCGCCAGTCCAACAATATCGCCGCCCTCCTCGCCCCGGACCTCACAGTCACACGGATGCAGGTACGGACTGGGCTTCTCAATGATCCGCAGCTCTACGCGGCCCAGCTTGCCCTTAATCCTGATCCTCCGCTTCTTTCCCTCGTCCTCCCCGCCACTCTCGACCGCCAACTGCGCACGCACCTCCGGGCCGTCGTCACTGTATCTCTCCTCCGACATGAGGCCCACGCCACCGAGGGTCGACGCCCACGACCAAGTCGGCGCCACGCCCTTCAGCTCAGGCGGCCTGCTCAGCTCGCCCGGCCGGCCGAGGCGCGACCACATGAGATGGGTGGCCAACGCATCCGTCCACAGCCCGTACACGCACTCGGGCAGCTCTTGCTTGCCGCTGCCCCTCAGCCTGGCCAGCTCTTCCACCACGCCGCCCAGCGCGACCAGCCGATCCGTCAGCACCGCGCACTGCCTGGTCGAGAACTCGGTGACCAGGCGCGCCCAGTCCGTCTTTGTGCGGCCGTACGCGTAGTCCAGCACGCCGTCGTCCCACAGGGCGCGCTTGCGGCAGCGGCGGCAGCTCCACACGGCGGCGCCCCGCGTGAAGTAGACGATGCGGCGGGCGAGGACGTACTCCTGGGTGGCCCAGGCGCGGGCGTTGAGCGGGGCGTGCTCCGAGTCGGGGCTGAGGACGGCGGCGGGCGGGCGCAGCTCCGCGCGCACGACGCCGGCCGCGGCGCCGGTGGCCGCGTCGAGGAAGGGCAGCGTGACGGCGGGGCGGGCGGGGTACTGGCGGAAGATGCCGGAGGAGGGGGTGGCGGCGTCGGAGGCGGCGAGGACGACGCGGGCGCGCGAGTAGACGGGGCCCATGCGGGCGGCTTCGCGGCGCCAGTCGGACTCGTTGTCTTGGACGATGCAGAGGGAGTCGATCCAGAGGTGGCGGAGGCCGAGCTCTCGCGTTGCCTGGACGGCGTCCTGGAACGTCGCGGGGAGGCTGGCTACGGCGATGCCCGCGGTGTGGGCGGCGAGGTTCGCGCTGGTCGTCGTCGGCGGGTGGGACGAGGGTGGGCCCCAGCAGTAGGAGAGGGCGGCGTAGTGGCCCCGTTGTCCTGGCTGCGTTTCGAGGAGGCGGATCGAGGGGGACGAGAGGCTCGGGTCGCCGAGGTCGAGGATGCGGGTGGGGAGGGCGGGAGGCTGGGACTCGTCGATTAGGGTGCCGTCGAGGGTGAGGGCGCACTCGGGGTGTTGGGCGATGCAGCCGGAGATGAGGTTGTTGATGTGGGCAAAAGAGGAGGGTGAGCCGGAGGAGGTGATGTTTGGGCCTGAGTAGACTTTGCCGGATGTGGCTGCTGGGCTGCCTGCGGGAAGTGTCAGAGAAGTGATGGCTCGTAAATGGGCTGTCGAGGGAAATGCCTGGCTCCGCGGAGAAGCGGACGTAGCTCTCGAAGCCGCTAAATAAGAAGCAGTCGTCGTCGTGGCTGTTTCTATTGTACTTGATGGACATGATACATATGCCCGGCATGTCGTCATCGGTGTAGTCGACGGCGTCTTTCACATCGGCCGGCCGAACCCAGAACTGGAGATAGCGTGCTTCCAGCAGCCGGCGGCCTTCCTCATCGTCACGAGGTTCCAGGTCCTTCTCGTAGCCTGCATCTTCGAAGGCTTTTTTTGTGAGGTAGCAAAGGGAGCAGGAGGATGCGGAAGCCGCAAGATCAGATAAGTGACGGTCTCCTAAGCCGTTGGGGTCGTGTACAGAAATTTGTTGGATCACTTTGGTGCATGCTGCGCACAACTGAGCGGCGGGCGGGTCCATGGCAAATGTCGTTGGCGCTGGTGGCTTAAGGAGGGCGTGGGGCAGGTATTTGTATACTTATTTAGCGTGGGAGGCTGATGCCTAGCGCACTGACACATCAAGTCTTCCCCTGCGTCATGCTTACGTGAGACGGTGGTCTTTTTTTTGGAGCGGAAACGATAAGATTAGGGGTTCTTTGAAAGCCTGCAACATATAGTTGTATGGACTTTCGGAGAATACAATAACCTTTAAGTTGGCGAATATTCATGGCAAAGAGCAATGTCGACACGTACGAGAAGCGAGGATGTTGGTCGTCTTTCAAACACAGTGTGACTTCTGCATTAGCTACGACTGAGATAATCACGGTAGGTCCAAGAAGATCTTCCTCAGCTTCTGGTAGTCCGGAGTTCCCAGTCCGGTGACAGGATCCCAGCCAGGCTGAGCAGCAAAGCCATCCGTGCCGCACCCGGGGTTTGACCCGGTAGTAATGTCATTGAAAGCCCCCGGATTGGCGTAGAAGATGGGGTTCAGGAATCCCACCGGTCCTTTCCCACGCTGCATGCGCTCCTCATTTAGCAGGTTGACAAGTGAGGCGACGATGGGCGTGCTGGCCGAAGTTCCACCCACTCCATACGTCTTGTTCAGATAGACGGTGGTGATGTTTAGCCCCAAAGCAGACACGTCAGGATATGCACGCGATGTGCCGCTGTTGTTGTACGTCTTGTGGTCGTACGGCGGCGGGTAGTTTTGGAGATAGTCGTTCACGGCGGATTTCTGGTAGTCTGGGACGGTGAAGATGTTTGAGAATCCCCCTCCACTGTAATAATCGAGCTTGCTGTTGGTCGCATCTGGCTTCGCAACGGCGACTTCGCCTCCGGTGATCGAAGATGTCGCCAGCTGAGTTGCACCCACTATGGAAGAGTCAGCACGAGAATGCGGCCAAGATGGGACGGCGGGCACACATACCGACAGTAACGTAGGGGCAGTTGCACGGAAATGACGGGGAGAACCTTGTGCCGTTTACGTCTACGTACAGCTCATCCGCATTCAAGCAGCTGTTGTCGTAGCCCGCATTGTAGCGGTTGGCAACGCCAGAGTCACCGCTGGCGAAGAGAATACTGACCCCTTGCAGCCCGAGCTTCATCCATTCGTGGCACTGTCTCCACTGATAGAACTCTGGCAGAGCGCCCTCGATCTGGTTGTACGAAAACGAGAAGACATTGGAGGTGGGCGCACCCCCGCACTGTAGGGGACCGGTGTAGCCGCCGAGGTTGGGGTCCGGATATGCGGGATCAACGTAGGGCGCATCGCCGCCCTCATAGGTGCAGTAGCTGGCATCAAGTGCGTCGAGGAAGATGTTGAAGGTGCCGACACTGTCCACATTGACGCCATCGCCAACCTGGTACAGGCGCAGCTTCTGCGGCCAAATGATTGAGTATGCTGTCTGGAAGTCCAGTGCTGACTCGATGACGTTTCCCGCCTCGGCTTGAGTGATGTTGGAAGGCTTGCCTCCGTCAATGCTGATGAACTCCGGGATAGTGTCGCTGGGTATCCGTGGAGTGGTCCAATTTTGGAAGAAGGGGACCAGATCGGGGTCGTAGAGGTAGTCGGCCCATTCGGCAATTCCCATTTCGTTGCCTGGTAGACTGGAGTTGAGGAAGGTAAAGTTGTAGATGGCACGCAGGCAGTCGATGGTGATGAGGGTGCCACACTCTTTCGTGCCCGTCAGCCCGGTGAGAGGGCTGGGTGCGCTCAGGGCAGGATTGAGGTTGGCCACGGGACGGAGCCCGTCAAGTTGAACGGTCGGCATCGCAAAGTCGACGTGCTGCTGGACGTGCATCGGAAGATGGTACTCATCACAGGCAATGCGGAAGCCGCCAGTCTTCTTGTGCTCAAAGAAATGGTACTCCGTGTTGAACAGACGCTCCGCCTCCTCGACTGTGCCGTTAAACTGGATCCAGTTGCGCCCTGAGACAGTACATCAGCAAGATTCCAAGATTACTCACGCCCGATACATACCGGTAGAGTATGTCAGACGAGAAGAATCGATGCCAGAGTCCAACAACCAGTTGGTGACACTGCCCGTGGCCTCGTGGGATGGGGCGAAAGTATTGGCGACCTTTTCAGCACTCCAGTGCTTGCCGAAGTTTGGGGATGCAGGGTCCGACACGTCCATGAGAAAGTCATCGGCCAGGTGCAGATTGCGTTGCTGGAGACCAATGCGAATAGGGAGGAGTTCGTGGCCATGTGCACGCGACCGTTTGGTCCACTCGTGGGGATGACCGTTCCGCCTCTCGTGCAAAACATGGCTCGAGGGCGCCGGGGCCGTGAAAACAAGGGTGCAGCATGCTGCGATACCAAGGTAGCGAGAGAACCGCATCGTGCCGCGGTTCTTTGACGCCTTTCGCTGCGTGCAACAAACTTAAGTACTGCGCAACATCCATGTCAATCAAGAAGGCCAACAGTACCACCTGCCTTATCGGGTTGGGCAATCTGAACAAGCACGACAAGCTTTGGATCTTCGTGCTTGGCCAGTCCATTATTTCCACGAATCCACATCTGTCGTTCGCATGGAGCCAGCTCATGGGTACAGATCCTTCAGCAATTCCTTCACTAGTGTGTACTACGTCATGAGCAGCAAGGTTGTGAGAAACAATTGCCGCAGCGGACCCGTCACGGACTGTTACCCCGCTTTCCTATCAGCCCGAATCGGGTTCCATCCTCGCCGGCCATCCGATCACACCGCTTCCAACTGCAGGCTCGTGAAACATGATTGGAATGGTGACTCGTGGCGATGCATAACCGAGTATGACCTGCAGGTCCTGATTGAGGTTTTAATTTCCCTTTGTCGAGCCGCATAATCAATAAATCAGCCATTGTGGCGTTGGCCCGCCTGCTCGTAAACAGCGATACCATGCATACACCTGCCTCTTCTGAACAATAAGATCAGCCATGATTGGCTTGGGCTGTTGTGCGTATGCCACTGTGCTCGCCTTCGTTCCCAGATGTTTCTCTCATTGATTTCTTTAAATCCTCCTCAGGACCTACTTGCAGGTTGAAAGCCTCTTGATGAGCCTACGCAGCCGCGCCGGATCGTTTTTCAGGCTCCAGCCCATGCTGCCTCTTGCCACCGGGCTCTAGTTTCTAACCGTCTTCTTCACACCTCCGACCTTTACAGTGTTAGTATCAAGCCTCTCTCTTGCCGCCTAGACTTTCCACCGTGGGAGGATAGTAAAAGCATGATCCTTGCCATGCACACGGGCTCCTCAAAGCGCCCGTCTTTGAGCTTCAAGTGGCGCGGCTTGTCAAGCTGCTGGTGAACGCTCGCCGCCGCTGTTGCTGGTGGTGATGCTCGCCGCCGCCGCTACTTCTGGTGAACGCTCGCTGCTGCCGCCGCCGCCGCCGCCGTTGCCGATGGTGATGCTCGCCGCCGCCGCCGCTATTACTAGTGGTAATGCTCGCCGCCGCCGCTGCTGCTAGTGAACGCTCGCTGCCGCTGCCGCCGCCGCCGCCGCCGCCGTTGCTGGTAGTAATGCTCGCCGCCGCTGCTATTACCGCGCGCGGAAGGATAGATAGGGCGGAACGGGTTAGAGAAATCGCGTCGTCGACCCGAAATTATCTAACGTCTACTTTAATTTAGCGGGCGAGTTTAGAGTAAACTCTTTTAGTAAATTAAATTAAATCTATATATATTATATAAAGAATAAATATTCTATTCTCTATATAATATATATAGAAATTAGAAAATTTATTTATAAAACTAGTTCTCTTATTATAAATTCTAGAATATAAGGGCTTTATAATTCTAAAAATAAAAAGCTATAATAGTAGACTTCTTTTACTAAGCTTTAAAGTCGCTTAATAAATAAATAAATTAAAGAGTTTATTTTAAAAAGATAAAAGAGAGATAATAATAATTAGATAAAAAGATATTATATAATTATATAATATATAGTAAGTTAATTATCTTTAAATTAAAGGGTTTAAATTAGAACTTTAAGTTAACTATAAAAAGCTAAGTATCTAGCTAAAAAAGCGTATCTATATACT